GGTCCAGAAGTATTTACAACACTTGGCAGAACGCGTACCGCGTCCAAACAACAACATTCTCCCATATATTGGTGGATCTGCAATGCCCACTTTCAATCAAAGAGCCAACAAATCAGAGAAAAAAAAGACATACAACAGGAGGGATTCGCTGGTGGTCACCCACCCAACTACTAACCTCCCGGCGTGTGGCTTAAGTACGGCTGAGCGGACGGGAAGCCCTGTTCTCCACACCCTGTGGTCGTATGTGGTAGGTTAATCTAAGCACTGGAATAAGTGAACCTAACTCTGTAATAATGTTCATGTTGGCTGGAGGAACAACTGCCCTTAGCGGTCGTCGGTGATATCGCAAAGAAAAATCTCGGACGTTAACTAGATTCGTCATAATAAGTCCATTAGCGCCCGCTCATTAGTCTCTGGACAAAGAAACAATCGATCTAAGACACCAATGCTCAATTGACCATTTGCTGCATGGCCTGATCTAGGTCGTTTGGCAAAGCTTCCTCCCCAGGTCGCGGGCCAGTACGACCGCCATGTCGCGCGGGGAGTAATCTTCATTCGTCGCACGTAATTATGGATGCAATTTTCTAGATCGTGTAATCCCATATCCCATTCTCCCGGGCTCTCGTTTCCTATATTTTCAGGACCCTCGTTGCCACCTCGTTGCCTCCCCACCATCACCCGTTGAATCCTGCATTCAGGCGATGAACGCTCGCAGTACCCCACGGGATCGCACATTGAATCTGGATCAGGCCAGTTCTGCAGTATGAGAGCCTGAATCACACTTGGAGGGCGCAGAAAGACCTTGCTCGTGCGGAATTCCTGCAGTCGTGGAGTAAGAGGGATAGTCTCGAAGATCTTGCGGGCAAGAAACTCCCACACGAAGAGAGTCACCTGCAGAATATCTAATTTCTCGCGCAGGGAAAGATGGGTTTGACCACACCACTGGGCATAGATAATTGCCTGCCATTCATTTCGTGACTCGGGGGTGGGATATACCGTGGCCTTTGCAAGGGCCAGGCATTCGATGGAGAGCCAGTGGGAGTTTAATGCCTGGTAGAATCGGTGGTACAGGATGCGTTTTTGATCAGAGGTGCCATGCACGGTTCGGCCAGAGAGCTGGGGAAGCGGGTCGTTGCCGAGAAGTGCAGGGGTTTGACTGTGCCACCAGGGCGCCCAGTCGTTCATGTATATGTCGTGGATGGTTGTATCACTGTACAGAGAAAAAAGAGTTCGCATACCGTGCCAACGACAGACAATTTCCCATACCTGTTCGTCGGATAATTGCTGTGGGTGGGCTGGGAAAAGTGCTTGGTGGAGGACCTCGGGACCAGGTTTAGAAGCTATCTGTGCATGTCCTGTAGTGGAATCTGGCGACGAGCGATATGTTTGATTGTAGGATTGAACGATAGTCAGCTTGGTGTCATACTTGTGTTGATTTTGGCTTTGCTATGTAGAGGTTAGCTAGACAGGTGGATCTTCCGGGCGGGCGATACTTACAATGATGCAACGGAAGATGTTTACCCGTGACAATGGACTGTCGAAGATGGTATATAACCTTTTGCATGTTCTGGCAAGGTACAGAGAGTCATCGATATCGTTGAGACTTTGATAAATGAGGAGAAGAACCTCCACTGGAAGACTGAGGATTAACATCGCAGTTCTACGACCTCGGGATTCGTATATGCCATGTTTTTGCACGTGGTCTTCTTTTAGATGTTAGGGTGTGTTTATCATGTGATGTCAAGAGGCGGGTAAATATGTTCTGATAAACTACAAGGAACTGTTCGTTAGAGTCAACCTCCAGTGCAGAATGAGCTAGATACAAGTCAGAGAGTGAAGCCTTAGTTTAAGAGCGGTACCACCACCAGCTCGCGGTCGCGGCAGCTACAGGGAAGACGATCCATGTCAGCCATGGCTTGAGCACCCCAACCAGCCGCATCCAAAAAATGATATAATGGAACTTCGTAATGAAATCCCCTTCATTAACATGGGGGAAGGGATGGTTCGGTTTCTCCTTTTCCTTTCCGAGAAACTGACAGAGGGGCTCCCAACCATCTTGGACCTTAAATTCCAGCACCTCGCGCCCTCGCTTCTGTGCGGCGGTACGTACAAGGTCATAATGGGCAGCGAAGCCGTGTGGTAGACGACTACTCTCTTGCCACGTTCCCCCAGTCCACACAGACAGTGCAGATCGTAGAAGTGGGATGTAAAGGCCAATGTAAGTCTGGTGGAACCTCTGTTAGTAGCAGGAGATTAAATGAGGGGCGGAGGCTGGTACAGGATCAATGAACTCCAACAGGCTCCACCGCTTCCAGCCCAGAATGGCGTAGAAGGTGCGCTGCATGGAGGCCAACCATGGCTCAACGGGGCGGGTGGTCAGCACTATGCGTGCGTCGGGATAGGCATCCATCAGCTCCTCAACAAAGAGAATGCAGGGAATATCAGTAATAGCCTGGAACTAGTGTCAGCCCGCCCATGTTGATTGACCAGCCGAGGTAAGCATTCACATCGTAACGCCAAAGCATCTGGTCAAAGTTGGCGCCTGCGAATTTGTGACCGTTCCCATTGAACTTCGCATCTATGGCGCGATTCCAAAGACGTAATGAATCATTCTGCTGGTCGAGGTTACATTCGGCCATATGGTAGCAGGTGTATCCTAGTTCCTTTAAGGCGACATAAAGAGCTTCGTAGACTAGTCAGCCATGAATCATGCCATCATTGTAATAATTTTCGTACACATGGTCCCAGTGCGGGACATGCCTAACGCCAGGACTTTCATTTTCTTCTCACGGTGGGCCGGAGGCTCCATCCGTGGATAGGGCACGGTGGGAAAAGGGATATTTTCCATCGTAAAGGTCAAATCGCTAGAATTGAACCAGGACGGTCAATATGGTAACGAAGCGGATTAAGGGGATTAATATACCTTCATGGACTTATAGTTCGCACATCCAGGCGGCGAAGCGGCTGATCATCCGGCCAGTAAATCCGTTGGACCATTTGTTGCTACCTCAGAAGGAAAGGTATTGTGTAGCAGGGAGTGGTACGTTAAAGGATTGGCGCATAAAATAGCCACCAACAGCTGTGCTGTCAGCCACTCACTGTTGGTGTAGATCTCCACTGTGGAATGGTTAATGCATGTATCCCTGTTATAGTTGGGGTTACCTTCCAGGCGACGCGGCGGGATTGGAGATGATGACAATCCAAATCAAACTAATCACAGCTACCCTACAGCCTGTCCATTAGGGCACAATGTCAAGCCCAGTGGGAAAGAATTCTTACAGTCCCCCAGACAAATATTAGACAGGGGGAAACCTTTCGTTTTCGGTCTAAATGTAACGGTTGGGTAACACCGACTAACATCAGCGCAATCACTAAATCCTGGAAGAAAGTCTTTGTATGTTAACTCCAATTAAACAGGAGTGTTTTTATTTCTCCATTCTGGGTATATTTATTCATAGTTATATGCGATTGAACAACTGGGTATCTTCGTTATGAGGATGTTCTGGTAGAGTGAGTACTTAGGGTACGCATGTGCACCTGATTCGACCTCTCCCAGGCCCTTAGAATTGAAGACCCACAACACTACCACGGATCGACAATTCGAATCCCCCACCTCTTTGTTTTTGCTGATCATCATCCATCAATTAATCTATATTGCCTTTTCAGTCATACCTACAGCAAAAGAAAAGTCCATATCCCTGGGTCTTTCCCATTACCAAATCACAGCCTTACCCACATCATCCCAATGTCCGCTTCGCAGAGCCCGATTCCGACTCGCGACCAGCTCACGGGGTTAGCGCGAAGCTATTTCAAGGCAGTGGATGCCAAGGACCTCGACGCTGTGTTGTCGTACTTCGCCCCGGACGCGACATTCACCATCGAGACTGCTCATGTCACAGCGACTGGTCCCGACGAGATCCGCCGCGTGTTCGCCGACTTCCTGAATAACACCAAGCATATGCGACATGACATAACAAGTCTTATGGTCGATGAAACGAATGGAAGGGTCGCAACGGAACATCACTTTACTGGCGAGCAGTTGGATGGGTCAAAAGATGATATGCACAACTGTAACTTCTTTGATGTTGGCGCGGATGGAAAATTTACGCGAGTGGTTGTTTTTATGGGAGGCGCGAGCCCGATGAAATAAGGAGATGCACCAATTTGGACACATGTATAGCGTGGAACCATGCAGCAAAGGCTTTGAAGCCCGGTATGTGTCGGCTCTCAATATTACATCTTCCTTATCAATTCTGATAGGTTATAAAGAATAGGTTGTGGAATGTTACCCTGCGAGGTTGTATAACCTGTGGTTCTTATATTTATTAGAGTCCATACTCGTATATCAATCATTGCTGGGATAACCTTATACATACTATTCAAGCTGTCCTTTAATCTGATGTTAGGGCGGATGGGGCTGCTTTCTGAATACGGGTCACCGCAGCAAGCAACAATGATGATGTTTTCTATCAACAAGAATGAGTCCAAATTCACCCTTCGGCCTCACAGACCCTTTCCATTGTAAGATCCAATATTCGGCCGTTCCTCAGACGACACTTCGTTATTCCAGAAGTCTCTCCCTCCATTATCAGATACAACCACCCCTTTCAGTAGAGCAGGGCTCCCCGATCGCAATTTATACCCATCCACCGAGTCGATGGTGTCTTTCCCTGTCCCCGGATCCATAAATTGTGCCTCTTCAGCAATGCCCGCTGCATCATCCGGCTGTGGCACAGTCTGAAAAAGGTTTCCATGCCACTCAATTGAATCACCCGTGGGCAAGGTCGAATCCTTAGTGCCAACCCAGATATTGTTCGACAAGTTCGTCTTCGGCGGGACGGCAATCTCAAACTTCTTATCCGGACAGTAGACAACGTTGTTATAGAAGTCCATCTCCACATTGTCTCCATTGCTATACATGCGGCAATCGTTTTGGAAAATGTTGTAGCGAACGATTTGCCTCGCTCCGCCAGGGGTACCGCAGCCATCGCAATTCAGAAATATACCGCCAGCGTTATCGTGGCTGTAGTTGTACTCGACAGTACAGGTACCCTCATTTCCCCAATCACAATCGAAGGCCTCACTGTCTATCTGCGACATGAGAGAGTCGTGCACGGCATTGAATCGCATGACCGCATCGCGACAGCCCAGAACCCAGATTCCGGCAAAATTGCCCCCGGTCCAAGGATACTCTCCATGTCCGAGGAATCCGCAAAGATTGCTTTCAATGAGCGGTGAAGCGCCGTAGGATACCACGATTCCGTCTCCGCCGACGTAGGAGATGTTGTTGGCGAACACGTGTACTCCTTCGCCGCGATTATCCATCTGGCCTACACGGACCTTGATGCCGCCGCCCCCGCAGTCATAGACTGTGTTGTTGAATATCTGGACGTCATCGTACCGGCTTTTATGCTCGGTACCGTTAACGAGGATTCCGCCCGAGGCGATGAATGCATCGGATTGTGTGGCCTTGTTGGTCTCACCGGCGACGTTGTAGACTGTAACGTCGTGAATGGATAGACCCCGGTGCACGGTTCCGTCGGACGACGTTGCGAGGATACCGCGGCGCCAGGCGATGTTAGCGGCCGGATTGATCACGGCTATGTTGGAGACATCCCAATAGTCCTGGTTGGTAAGGCTCACTGCTTCTGCGGCTCCGGACCCATTGATGATAGGCAAGGGACCGTCACCATAGCTAGTGAGGACGATGGGCTGATCTTGTGTACCGCTACCCTGTGGTGAAAGGGTGCCAGAGCATGTGGTGTCTGACTTGATATTCAAGCTGTCTCCCGCGCTTAGCACAGCTTGATTGGCTTCTTTAATTGAGCTGAACGGGTTTGTTTTGCTGCCATCGCCACCGCTATTGGAGGAGCTGCAATCGAGATATAGATCCTTTGCGGAGGAAACTTGCAAGAGGCATGCGACAAGCGCAATGACGCTACTCCGTCGCAGAGCACCAATGGCGATCATTTTCACAAAAGAGAGACTGTGAGCTGTGTATTGAGCTCTCTTCGACATGCCGCATGCAAGGAGTCATTGTTTATATTCATGTCCCCTGCATTGCAGATCCTATCTAAATCAAGAAGCTCTAGCATAGAAATGCAACGTTAGCGCTCATCCCCGCTTTTACGATTAAGTGCAACTCAAGCCAAACTTCACTCGGGCGGATTCTTCGGCCGGTGCAGTTGTGAATTCCTCACGATCGGTGGAATGCTCGTGCCGCGTCTCCGATACACGACCTGAAACGAGGATCCGAAGCAGAAAGTCCTCCTTGACTGAAGCGAGATAAGAGTGGAGCAATTCTGTAGAACAATGTCATTTATAAAGAGCAACATACTGGAGCACCAATCACCACCTGAGGGCATACTTCATTAACCTCACAACATGATATCCTGGAAAGGTCTTCCCTTAGTTCTCGCTGCTATAGTCCAATCAGGGTATGGACAAGACATACCAACGACTGACTTAGCGCCGGCGAAATGGGTCCATCCTGGAGCAATGATCAGTCAATCCCAACTGGACTTTGTCATATCCAAAGTGAACAAGCGCGAGCAACCCTGGGCGGATGCCTACGATGCGCTTATGGACGACGAGTTTGTCAGCAACCCCCAGGCCCCATCGCCGCATGTCATCGTTGAGTGCGGCCCTTACTCGGACCCGGATGTCGGATGCAAGGCGGAACGTGATGATTCCCTGGCAGCGTATGCCAATGCTCTGGCTTGGGCGATCAATGGCACCGAGGCGTACGCTCGCCAGGCGATTCGGATTATGGACGCGTACTCGTCCACAATCCAAGGCCATAACAACTCCAATGCACCCTTACAATCAGGCTGGGTGGGCTCTGTGTGGGCACGAGCGGGTGAAATTATTCGCTATACGAACGCTGGGTGGTCGGACGATGGCATCCAGCAGTTCGGGGATATGTTGCGTAAAGTGTATATGCCACTAACGGTGAACGGAACGGCAAAGAATGTTGCGAACTGGGAGCTAGGTATGCTATCAATCCGTCACGGGTAGGATAGACACAAGCACGAAGTAGCTAACCCCGTCCGGCTGTTCAGTTATGACCGAAGCGGCTATCATGATGGCCGTATTCCTCGAGGACCCTGACTCATATAACACCGCAATGGGGTGGTTCTTGAAACGAATCCCAGCCACAGTATACCTGAAGAGTGACGGAGAGTACCCGGTCGCAGCTCGCGGGCAAAGCTCCTCCCCAGACGCAATCATTGCTTGGTGGTTTAATCAAACTACATTCCAGGAGGATGGTCAGGCACAAGAGACATGCCGAGATATGGAGCACACTGGCTACTCTTTTGCATCCATGGCTCATGTGGCAGAGACCAGCCGCATCCAAGGGACTGACCTCTACGAAACGGACTTGGGAACGCGACTCCGAGCTGCCTTAGAGTTCCATTCTCAGTTTGACAATGGGAAAGAACCTGAGTCCTGGCTCTGTGGTGGAAAGCTGAACCTACACTTGGGTAACATTACCGAAGTTGGCTTTAATGCGCTGTCGTTCAGAATGGGATTAGATATGCCGGAGACAGAGAACCTCACTGAGAGACAACGACCAGCTAGGCAGAATGGCCTCTTTACAGCATATGAGACGTTGACACATGCACAAAATGATGCCTGAGAGTATTAGTATGTTTATAAAGGAAACAAACCGTTGGAGCGAAGCGAGGGAAAGCAACTTGTTATTTGGATCAGTAATAGTGAATATAACCGGAAACATCATATTTATATCATTTCTCTAGGTTCTATGGGGTATATATAATATTAATCAATATATGTTAGATTAAGCGTTCAAGCCAATTAAGTGGTTCAATAGACAGTTCAGATTCTCAGATAAATTAGACAGGTAAAGCAATTCAAGCAGTGTAAGTAATCCAGGCAGGTCATGCAGGCCAAGGAGGACAGGTAATCTAAGCAATCTAGATCAGGTCCAGCAACCCAGCCAGACCAGACAGAACACACAGAGCACACAGGACAGACAGGTCCGACAGGTCCGACAGGTCAGTCCAGCACTGGCGTAGAATGCTTTCCACGCATAATGCCAAAAGGGTAGCTCCCATATTTGATAGCAGATATCCTGGTTCCTGAAGCATATCTCGCACGTGATCCCACGATTGCCCTGTAGATTTACTACTGTGTGCTTTCTATATCTATTATGCTAGTGCCCAGTATATTTATGTGATATCGCTCAGCAAGGGTAACATGCGAAACCAACCAGGAAAGCAAAACAAGGTCAAGGATGCAATTGCCTTTGTTATTGACTGAGAATAAAAAGGTAGGCCAAGAGGAATATCGTAAAAAGCTTAGTTACATAAATTATGAATACAAAGTAGTTATATATAGAATACCTGATATCTAGTACTGTATTGCAATTCTATCTAATTATCAAAGTAACCCCATGTCTAAAAGGCGATTCCCGAGCTCAAGAAAGTAGTAATCCGCATACACCAAGCCATGATCCCAAGAACGATCAGGGTGGTTGCCATTAAAATTGGCCGTTGACTTCTCAAGTATTGCATCAAAGCGAAGGCCCTTGGTAGCGTCGTATGATTCAATCTCCGTAACCCCATCCTTCTCACAAAGCCTCAGCCGCATCTCATCTTGATTATATGCGAGTTCCACAGTATCCTTTGCGATATTCAGCGCATAGGTTAAGTACCGTTTCGCCTCCACTACTTCCCCAATCCCTGCTAGCTGTCCATACAATATCAGCATCCCGTTGGCAGCGATTAATCCAGCGGAAACATCCCGCAATGGGCCCTGATCACCGTTAGTACCTGTATGAGTGATCGGCGCGTCAAAGTCCCATAGCGGAACGTAACGCCCCCGACCTTCCTGTTCCACAACTGGCGGAGAGGATTCCATGCGCTGTATGAAGTAGTCGGCAAGCCCCTTAGCAGCGTCAAGAAACTCGACGTTCTTAGTCCAAGTATACGTTTGAGCGTATCCTAAGATCGCCCACGCTTGACCACGGGCCCATGTCGAGGTGTCGGAGTAGCCTTGTGCGGTGAGCTTTTGCTTGACATTTCCTTCATTCGATGGAACGAAGTTTACGACATGATATGTAGAGTAACGCTTTTCACCGCTCGGCCCGGACTCGAGTCGGAGATGAGTCGATAGTAGGGTAGTAGCATGGGTGGATGCTATAGATAGTAGGCGTTCGGAATGGAGATGGTTTCCGGCGTAAAACAGTAGATCAAGATCTAGTAACATGTTAGTCCTGCTATTCTATCGTCACATGAGAATAGCAATTTGCCTTACTGCACAGACTATCTATGATCACCAGGAAATCATCATCCATGCTTTTGATGTCATGGTGGACATTAGTGAACCGATCCCAACTTCGAATCGCCCCGACACGCTCGTCAAATCTAGTAGCGAGGCTTTCTGCCGCGGTAAGAATAGAGTCCAAACTTCGTTTATTTCCGAAGAGCTCCCAGTCTCTTTGCAGGGCAGGTTGGATAATAAATCCGATATCATGGGTGTCCTGTCGAAGGGACATGGCATGCAATGGCTCTGACCATTTGCGACACAGATCGGTAAGTTGAGAAATGAGGATATCGTGATTCCAGATTCCTCTTGAATGTTCACTGGGTGCTATATGTGGACCCTCTGGGAGGCTTTGCAAGCTTGCACCAGGATACTTCCTCATACGTTCAAGCAGGCAATACAGGCTACCGGGGAAAAAGCCACAAGTCCAGAATTCGGCGTCTCTGCATCGGTACACCCCTCGGTCAGTACCTGCTTGCGGTACTGTTTCTGGGAATCTGGTAGGAGGATCCTTGGAAAAGGTTAGTTATAAGTACGCGGTTTATGCGATAGTCAACGACGATCACCTGCTTACATTGTTTTCAAGCAGTGTCTCAGCCACACCGATGATCTTTGCTAGGTTGTTTTCATGGAAGAGAAAGGCGAGCTGGGCTTTCAGATTGTCATTGTTGGCTTCTCTTACAGGTGGTGGCTTGGCAACTGCCTTGTGTGTCCGTCCATCATCCATGATGGGCGACGTACTGAGGACGTGAGGCGCCATAGTGAAAAGAACAAGATGCGCTGGCGTTTTCGTAGATTGCTAGCTCACAATAATCTGTCTTGCTAAAGTCGAACAATTATCCGGTTGGCTAAACTTTTTAAGTGGGAGAGCTGTATAGGCAGCGTGCAGCTCGGGTGGATCCATCGCCCGAGCCCCGAGGATCTTCATCGGTTCACAAGCTACATGATTTCGGCCCTGGTGCGGAAATTGTGGAGTGAATATACACGCGTTCTAGGGAGTATGGACACTGCTAATAATTCGAAAATGCGTTACTGAATCAAGAGAACACCTTCCATTGTCCTATGCCACTCATCATCCACAATGCTCTATCGTTACTAATGAGTGAACGAGTCCTGAAAGCTGATAATTCGGTCCATGTCCAGATATTGAGGGTCCAGAAGGAAGTTAGACAACGCTGCAAAGCTGTCTGAGCCATCGAGTGGTGAGGCTGCACTGGCTGAAGGGAATAGGCCATCCACTGGGCCAGTCTGAGTGGCATATGCATCCCGAGTACGCAACGTATCCATACGTTGCTGGTTTGATATCTGATTCCCATTCCACTGGCCCATATCTCTAATTGTCGCGTCTGACGCTACCTGAGGACCAGAAGGCGTCACGTTCACGGATGGTGCTACAACCGGTTGCGACGCGTGGTCATGATCGCTACATTGATCAGATCTGTGCGCGCAAGGACTACTGTTCATATAATGGGAGCGCTGGCCATTCACCGGTATGATGCTATGTCGCTGTTGGGCCCGTCGCTCCCTGATCCACTGACTCTCACCTAAGCTGGCCGGTGGACTACGTATTCCAAGGGCAAAGCTTACTTCAATAGCATACCCCAAGGCGTCCAATTCGAAAGGTTCAACGTACTTGCACCGCTCCTGCAGCTTTTGAAGCTGAGAAAGAAGGCCACTGGCAAAGTTATCGGTTTTCAGTGTCAATCGTAAGTTTGGGTTCGATGACACCCATCGGGCTGACATTTGCTGAAGACTCCATAGAAGAACGCTGTATCCCTCGGGAAGCTCAGTGCGGTGGAGGTGTGAATGTACTAGCATTTATGATTTAGTGAGTTTGACCAAAGGAAGTGCGATTGGCACTTACCAAGCATTACACGGGCGCTGACGAAAGCGCAAAACACGAACTGAGCATTCACAAGCCCCACAAAGGGTGTATATTGTAGATACTTTTGAACTATATTGGCTGTTTCCGACGCGGCTAGCTGGCACGTCTCAGCACTCGAGATACTTGCTTGTTTCAGCTTATCCACGAGGTTGGCCCGTGGATAGGCAATGCACTGATGTAAAAGAATCATTGACGTGTTGTGGGTAATGTGAGCCAGGGTTAAGTTGGGATCCATATGCACGAATGCAGGCTCTTTGGAAATGTTAGAGTCTTTCCACCGCCGAGGGAGGAACATCTTCCAGCTAGACATGGCACAGAGTGTTAGTAAGAGCAAAGATGTGATCGTACTATGGGGCAAGGCTACGCACTGGATAAGCTGGAGATCCAACTCCTTGAAGCGAGTCAGCCAAGCACCGAACTCCTGCTTGCTCTGGAAGTTAACTGGTCGTTGGAGAAAATACTTCACAATACGATTCAGTGATTCGGTCGCCTCGATGCAATATGAAAAGGAGCCTATTGTAGAGAGGTCCACTGACCGGGCTCCAGGTGCCTGCAAGACCGGGGAGACACGTTCGGATCTTGAGGGATTAATATCCACATCTTTCTCCTTATCGGCGATCGAAGAAAAGTGGCCTGGGAGGAATGACACTGATTTTCCGATTTTTGCTAGGGATGTATCCCATATGTTGAAAAATGGTGTAGTGACTGGCTCCTCTTTAGCCCAGTATGTTCCATCACTGGGAAGACGGAGTCTCACATCATCACTGGATAGGCTCATATTCCATCTGCCAGGCAATAGGAGGATGGATTAGTGTAGTTGATCAATGAAATTGAAGCAGTGCATTACATACCCCGTGGTGAAGGAACAAAATCTGTATGGATGTAAGACGATGGCCACTATCGATGAAACTTGGAGTTCTTACCGGTCCAAAAGAAAGACGTTCCAGAATACTCGACGTCGCTCCTCCATTTCCGTCCACACCCGAACTGATGGCAGATATCTAAATGATTGAACGCAAGAATCTCCCTGCTGATCCTCATCTGGCTCGCAGTGAAGTCCCATGTACACAACAGCTCTAGTCAGAGCTCCAACAATTGGCCACGCTTTGCTTGCGTTACCATCGCATATATGAACAAAGGCAATGATAACCAGGGACTGTGCACCTTCTACCGACAGGCTATCTATACTTGAGAGAACTACAAAATCTCTGGACTTCTGGAGCGCGCCCGGGTGGGATGTACTCCATTCTGTAGCAAGCCTTTCGTTTGCAACGTACCGTAAGGAACATACCATCATTGCATGAAGTATGGGCATAAGCTTTGGCCTTTCGGCTGGGTCACGAAGGCGAGATCGGAAGAGTGGTTCATGTAGAATTGGGATGAAAGGATGAACGACCGAGAAGTATGCATCCAGAATGCCACTCATCAAGTTATCTGGGGGCAACTGCACTTGGAAAGTAGGATCCACGGAGCTCCTGGAGTCTGGACATGGTCTTTTCCGTGATGTTTCAGGACTTGAACCTGACACGGTAGAATCATGCACATCTCGATCCTGTGGGGAGTTTAGACGTTGATCTGACATGTTATTTGGCGAAGTGTTATTCTCTCGCCACTCCTCCATCATTGATGAAACTAAGGTTCGAAGAGCGTTCACATCCTGAACCGTGCTTGCAGGACTTGGAATGCCACTAACAGCCTGATGTTGGGTGCGTAGTGCTTCCAACTGAGCTTCCAATGACTCTAGTTACGCCATATCAGCAACCTGACCGACTCATATTGTAGGGTTATCCTAACTACGTACCCACTCGCTGAGTAAGCGTCTGAATGATGCCAACTTTGACCCCTGGTTTATTCTTTGTATAGTCATAGTAACAGTCCACACCTATCACATCGTTAGTCTAAACCCCTCGGACACAAGGCAAGGGGGCACTGACCCAGGCGTTGACATCGCGTGCAGGAGGGAAGGTCCCTGGAGCACCGCAGCTTACGGCTCCGACAGGATTGGCAAGCGGGCGTTTCTGTGTCCGAATTGAGAGGTACTGCAGTCCCTCGGACGTCGGGGGATTCCATCTTGTTGCGTTCGTAGGAAGATCGAGCCCAAGGAGCAGGTCAATGCCAGCAAATGATGGGGGGCTTGAGGTCCCTTATTCCAGCACCCCCACCCTCTGTGGGGTTGAATCTAATAGACCTCGTTTTTGTCCCCGAAATCTGGGGCAATTGTGGGGAAGGACCGAATTAGCGATGCAACTCTGCCATCTCACGGACCAAGGAATCGGCCGATGTCACCCCACTACTGTAGGGTATTATGCCGAGGATAAAGTAGCGTTGTACTCACGGGATGATCCTTCAGTACGCATTATCTTACTGATTACAGCGGGGGGTTTTATCTTCAATTGACGGGAGCTCGGGACTGCAGCCCTTCAATAATATCAATCATCATACTGGACGTTGCCAAGAAACTCGGATTCAATGCCTCCTCTTCATGGATTCTCCGACAATTTCTTTCGCGATAAAGAGGATGTGATTGTCGCGACAAGAGCCCTTGTTCAGGCCCTTGAACCATATTTTTCGCCAGAACAAGCGCGGGTACGACTACCAACATACTCAGGAGCACACTTCGATGAAGCAGCGGCAGACCTAGAAGGCTTTGCACGGCCCATATGGGCTATAGCTGCTGCGTGCGCAGAATCATCCACGGCGGCGGACCCAACGCTCAAGGCATATGCAGATCGCTTGGTATCGGGACTTGCCAACGGAGTTGATCCAGCGCATCATGAGTACTGGGGAGCGATAGAAGACTGGGACCAACGCATGGTGGAGGCTGAGGCGATATCATTTGCGCTCCTTTTAGCTCCATCCACGTTTTATGAGCCATTACCAGCCGAAAGTCGCAACCACCTGGTCGAATGGCTCTCGGGGCTGAATGAGAAAGTGATGCCCAAAAACAACTGGCGCTGGTTTAGGATCTTTGCCAACCTTGCTCTCCATAGAGTATGCGGCGTTCCTTACGATAATGTCAAAGAATTCATCGAGGAAGATTTTGCTCTCCTCGACACGTTTCAGTTGGGCAATGGATGGGCCGCGGATGGCCCGTGGAGAAAGGATGCGACAGATGGAGAGGAAACATACGGTCGCCAGGCAGACTATTATTCCGGTAGCTTCGCCATTCAGTTTAGTCAACTGCTGTACACTATATTCGCTTCTGACTCGGATCCCGAGCGTGTATCTCGATACATCCAACAGGCGCAAGAGTTCGCAGATCAGTTCTGGAGGTATTTTGACGAGGAAGGGGCACCAATTCCATTTGGCCGATCCTTAACCTATCGATTTGCCATGGGCGCGTTCTACGCAGCGTTTGCACTGGCCAAAGCCTGCAATTCTTCAAGCCCTTACACGTCCCCAGGATTCGTTAAGGGAATGCTACTTCGCCATTTGAGGTGGTGGGCCACACATTCCGATAATGTCTTTGCTTTGGACGGAACCCTCACCATTGGCTACCTATACCCAAATATGTTTATGTGCGAGGATTATAACTCACCCCAGTCACCGTACTGGGCTATGAAAAGCTTTATCATGTTAGGACTGGCGACCAATGATGATTTCTGGACGGCAGACGAGCTCCCTCATCCTTTGGCCTCCGGTCGCGAATCGAAGTCACTTGTGTCAGGCGTCCAGTTGCTCTCGGCACCGTTCCAGATACTGTGTGATCACCCAGCAGGCCAGCATCACTTTATGATTTCTGCTGGCCAATTTTGTGTCTGGCCCCTCAAGGCGACACAGGCCAAGTATAGCAAGTTCGCATATTCTTCCGCGTTCGGGTTCAGTGTTCCAACTGGGCTATTGTTGACGCAGATGGCTCCAGATAGCACCCTCGCTATCAGTAGAGATGAGGGGGACACCTGGATCACTCGATGGCAGACAATTAACAGTCCTACCATTGAGACCATTCTGATTAACAACCGGGAGGTTCAATGCTTACGCAGCGGATGGAAGCCATGGCGTTCAGGCAGCATAGAAATCCACACACTCCTTGTTCCTCCTTCTGACGAGTGGCCTGATTGGCATATTCGAGTTCATCGTATTCGGGATACCCGGTCCGGATCTTCCACTGCTGAAAAACTTAGACTCGTTGAAGGGGCCTTCTCGATAGAGGTCAAACAACCACGCCGCATCTCCATCTTGGCGGAAAACTGGGATGGAACAAGAGACGGCCTGGATGTCGGCTTTGGAGGTCGCATGGAATGTGACACGGGCTCACTAGTTATTGGCGATGGTGACGCTAGCGGCATCAAGAATCTGTTTGCTTCGGAATGTTCACTAGAAGGCAAAGTGCTAAAGCCGGATCCAAACACCAATCTGATGGTCCCGCGAACGTTGATTCCTACTATCGAGCATGAGATCTGTAGTATACCAGGGCGAGACATGGTCATCGCTACCGCCGTATTCGCTGTTAGCAAGGGGAAGAGGCAGTTTTCCCGGAAGGAACTTTACGAGAGGTGGTGCCAGCCTCCGAACTTGCCGCAAGATGTCTTGACCCTCCCATGTATATAATATAATCTGGCAAAGTCTTCTATTCCATAGAATAACATAGTGCCGTGCTTAGCTCAATTCCTCGCTTGTGTTCACTATTGACATAAGGCTATGTAGGATACCTGCACTGGGCCATGTTAGCTGCCGCACACCGAACAAATAGTAGGATAGGCTGAACAGCAAGCAAGGTCCCATATATTAGAACTCATGTTTATTGGTGGCAATTTTCTCGCAGTTTCGGTATTTGACCTCAACATAGCGGCATGCACATAACGGTTCAATGGCTTCCGTGGGCCAGGAAACGGTGCATAGTGTCTACCACCAATATGATTATGGCTACAATACGGATTCCACTGTTTCCCCGTATTCTCCGGTAGTCTATCCCGACTCATTTGTGGGGAAAGGGGAGAGTTTAGTGTCGGAGGAAGCCTTCGCCCGAGCAGCGGAGGAATCCCCGCCCGAATATTATTGCGACTTAGGGTTTAAGCTTCGGTTGGAAACGTGGACATGGGCCCACTGGTATAGTGACACTAGCGCCTCGTAATCAGCATCCATTTTTGTGTCTCCATGGCCAATAAATAGGAGATGCTAGCTCTTGTTTCATAAGTTACTGCACGAGTGGTGTCGGACAAACGACCGTTAGCTATCATTCCGAATCCTCACCATGGCGACTTCACTGCCGGTTGATGAAGAAATGATCGACCAAAAACTCCCCATTGAGACCACTACAAGCAACAGCAAACAGGCTCCTAGTCGCCAGGCCCTAATTCAAGCTCTTCAAGCGGAGAAGCCGTCGCCATGGTCTCCAAACCTAAGAAAATTATACATCTTCTGCCTGATCGCATTTCTGTGCTCGACCATGAACGGTTCGTAATTTCCGATGCAACAGTGTACAGAGAGAGATGTGCTAAATACTTTACAGGTTATGATGGATCTATCTTCGGGTCACTCCCTGCTCTAGAGTCGTTCAGAGACCAGTTCGGGGTGGAGAAAAACGGAGCGAAAATCGGGTATATATCCGCCATGTATACGGTTGGTGGAATTTGCTCGCTGCCATTCAGTGGGCCAGCGTGTGACTTTCGTGGCAGACGATGGGGCACTTTTATCGGCTCCTTGATCGTTGTGGCCTGTACCTTCCTCTCCGCACTATCTCATGGAGTGCCTCAGTTTGTGGCTGGCCGTTTCTTTCTAGGATTTGGTGTGAATATAGTACGATCAACTAGCTCCATCTGGTGTGCCGAGGTCTGTCCGCCAGCATATCGTGGAATCATCATGGCATTTTACAACTGCACCTATGCTGTTGGATCGCTCATCGCTGCCGGGGTAACTAGAGGGTCAGCTGGATATGCAGGCAATAAATCCTGGCAAATCCCATTGTGGTGTCAAATGATCTGCCCTGGAATTGTGTTGGTATCTGTGCTGTTCTTTCCTGAATCTCCGCGATGGCTTTATTCCCATGGCCAGGAAGAGCAGGCCCTGGAATTCCTTGCGAAGTACCACGGGGAAGGAAATCCCTCCCATCCTCTTGTACAGCTACAGCTGCAAGAGTACAGAGAGTTTATTTCTCTCTCCGGCTCGGACAAACGTTGGTGGGATTTCCGCGACTTCTACCAAACCAAAGCAGGACGATGGCGTTTTATCAACGCTTTGATCACCGGCATCTGGGGCCAATGCTCGGGAAACGCCGTTGTCACGTACTATCTCCCTGCGATGCTTCTTACCACCGGCATCACCGACTCTAATCAGGTCTTGAATGTGAACCTTGGTTACACTGTGGTTTCCACAGTTGCATCCTACCTGGGCGCGAGCCAAATCGAGAGGATGGGTCGTCGGCCAACCATTATCTGGACTGCTGTCGCATGCTCAATTTGCTTCGCTTGTATCACCATCGGTTCCGGTATATTCGATAAAACCGAGGCTACCCCCGCCGCCTCTGCTGGAATCGCCTTCATTTTTATTTTCGGGTTCTGCTATAATTTCGGAATGACGCCTCTTCAGGCACTGTATCCAGTGGAGGCGCTCTCGTATGAAACGCGCGGGAAGGGCGTCGGCCTTACTTTCTCCATTGCGCACGGTTTTACTTTGCTCAACCAATTTTGCTTTCCCATCGCCCTCAAGAATATTGGTTGGTATACATATATTGTGTTCATTGTGTGGGATCTGTTCGAAGCAGCTGTCAGCTACTTCTTCTCCGTTGAGACCAAGGGACACACTTTGGAGGAACTGTCGGAAATATTCGAGAGCCCTAATCCTGTCAAGGCGTCTCTTCAGAAATCTATATAGGCTATGCTATCAATTAGTCATGTTACTACTACCCAATTCATGGTGAATATCTTCTAATACCATCTATGCTCTTGCATTTGGTATCACTATATTACGAAGCATAATAGTATAAGACATGGTACAATATAAATATTCCTCACTGTTTAAGGGCAGGTGAGTACTATTCGTAAAGCTAATGAAGCGAAAGTATGAAAACTAGGAATTTCTTTCCTAGTTACATCAACCCCTGAGCCGCATATACAGCAGGCGATCTAGGTTGTAGGTACGATGCTCAGAGGTATTAAGGCGCCCTGCGCTTCCCTGATGACTTGCTGAGCTCCTGTGGGGACCGTTCCTGAAAACGAACTCTTTTAGCTTTCTTTTTCGACTCGCGTGCTGCAGTAGTCTTAGTGGTTGAGGGCGCAGAAGAATTCTGTCTAGCCAGGAATTGTTTCTCTTCATCTTGCCTCTTATGACGAAGAGGGCCGAGACGATCCTTAAATATCGTCAGCATTTCTTTAGTATCGTCAGGAATCTGATAGGGTTCATTCTCTGATGCTTCGCTCAGTGAATGTTGGCTTGGCCATTCATGATGCTGCGGTGATTGGTCTTCTGAGTTTATGCGAGGGGACTTTTGAGTCGTTATACCTTGGCTCTGCGGTGGTTGACCTGGCGATTTGAAGTCCTCCGTACGTCTGCCCTGCAAATGCTGGCGCGTCACCTGTTGACTCTGGGGCTGTTCATCTCGCGATTGTCGATAGTTCAAATAGTGATGCTCTTCTGAAAATCCACTCTCCAACGGTAGTATTTTAGGTTTCAATTGGCGATGGGACATCTCGATCAGCGTCTGTTGTGTTTATTGTGCTGTAGAATGACGATGGAGGGTGGTCTAAGGTATTTTGCTCCAGGGAGGCGATGGGGTTCTTTATAGTTGTTACAACATTGTCTGTCGCGGAGGTTAACCGCCATCTTTCGATCAAGCTCAACCGACAGCGGCTTGATTACGGAAGTTACAAGAAGGCACTGGGCTATAGCGACTGCTGGATGCTAAGCTCCTTCATTCGAATTATGGATTATGCTAAGATCCTAGGACGAGACGATCCTTGCCGGGTAAATTCATAGAGGACACGGAACCATCCAAGATTGCTTTATCGGTCGCTGCGTTGTTACGAATGGACTTCACAATGGAAGTTTTGTTTTCTAATGTATTTAACGTGAAACAAAGAATCATTTGTTTCACTTTCGCATTGTCGTTCGCCCACTGATTGTCTCTCGGGGGAGATACCTGAGACTCACTGGGTGGTGACGAGCTTGCCTGGCAGGTAGAATAAATGTTGGATATTACCGCACTTACAACGACATAGTGGAGCATCACTCTGAACATTTGATTATCATCCACTATCTTGCTTTGCAACTTGGGCGTAGTAGGACTTTCGAGACGCGGGTGGACGAGGCTCTGTATAGCAGCAGTCGCTCTGGACAAGCGCCGCCCATCGCATAACCCACACTCCATCCTTGCTTCAACCCACGTCGGCTTCCACACTCTTTCGCGATGCAGCTGAGCTAACCCAACCAAGGCTAGATTGCGCACTCGCACAAGATGCATGGAATGTAGGTTAAGCAATGCCCTAAATCAGTAAGCCAACGAATAGGATCCATTAATGAAGAGCGGCATGAAATGGGAAAACAGCAATACAGGCATACATGGACCCACTATTTGCGAAATATTGGTAGCCAGAGACAGTAATTAAACATTTGGCGCGCATTGTTTATTCTGTTAAAGCTTAATGCCTCGCTTGCCACAACTACGTATATTAGCCCTATGTAGGCGAGTAGTGGCCTGATCAGCGCTGTAAAGCCCCCGAGGCTCGAGTTGATCAGCCGGTGTAACGGAGGGTCCACTAGACAGGGTATAGCCCCTGTCAGTTGGGTAAGGAAGGATACGGAGGTGGCAAGAAAGACCCCTATTTTTGACTGAACAGTGCGAATCTCTCTGTGGTACTATTCATAGATAGCTGGGTATCCTCCCTCGTCCACAAGTGTTGCGGGATCAGGAATTAGGCTGATTCGCTAGGTGATGCTTGTCAGGCCGGTTCGAGACTACAAGATGGACCAAAATGTTCAGGGAACCGCGTGTTCCGTGTGGTTAACGGGCCGAGCACGATCTGGTCCGTGTGGGCCGGTGGCCCTTTGGCTATCACTTGGCTAACCACGGTAGTTTGAGTGATTTACTCGATGCTTTGAGGGCCCTCAATTCCCAGAAACCCGAAACACAGGAGTGAAAAACCACGAGACGCTAAGGAAGAACAGAACCATGTCGAAGTTCAATTCCTACTAGTTTGGTGGCGGGTGCAACATCCGGCAGCCTCTCGACCCGCTGCACAATGTCTGATAGGTGAGTCAGGCCCTGACTACCAGTAGGATGGAGATCATGCAAATTATGTGGATCCTCCGAAGGTGCAACCTTTACTAGGTACGGATTTCTCTGTGGCCCTTTTGTTCGAATAATGTTGGAATTCGCCTTCCTTACAGGGGAGCAATGTCTTAGGGCTCTTATCTGTTTGAGTTTTCATCAATCCTACTAAATGCTTTTATCTGCCATTTACGAACAGTCGCTACATCCGTTCGAATGTATTCTCGCCTAAACATTGATGGCTTGCTCTCAAACTAGGATGAAAGGGGTATGGGCTGCCTTAGCAGCCCTGCTAATTCAATCGGCACATGGACAACAACCTGTTGGCACTCAGATGTTTGTGGACTACCCAGGACTTAGTGATGGATGCAAAGCGGCCTTGGCAACCAATGTGTCTTGTCCGCCATTTCTCCCTGCTGTCTCTCAGGAGTGCGTAAGGCGTTAATCCACATTTATTGGTTCAATACTGAGGAGGGCTAGCAATGCTATTTTGGATTACGATGCAGTCAGGGAACTTTGCGTCGATGATTGCTATAGGTCTCTGAAAACAGCCAGAGCTACTGTCCAAGCCGCCTGTACTGCAAGTATCGATGTGATTGTCTACGAGGACGTAGCATATCCAGGTGATTACCTTCATCCCAGCTTCAGCTTGGTGTTAATGGAATTCCTAGCTACGTTCATCGCCGATAACTACCTTCTGACCTTTGAGGTGTCTTGTAAAACAGACGAGTAGGTGACTTTGCTGCTGCCCTCACCATCTAGTTCCTGGGCTCTGACGTGCTCTGCCCAACAGAGGAGGAAATTACTGTGATCCTCTGTTCCTATCCTGGCAGAGTCATTACGTTGTACCAAATGTGACGGTCGCCTGCTCGGAATGCACGCTGGGGGTCCTTGAAGTTCAACTAAACCACCCCTTGGGATACGATGAGGGCTTGGAAGAGAAGTTCCATTCTTTGACATCCAGCTGTGGTATCGCAGGTTATAGTGTCACTTCTCCAGTCCCATACGCCCTGAACGCAACGGCGACGGTAACTTCAGTTATTACCACTGCTACCTCCAAACCAGCTTGTGATGTGTCTTACGAGGTGAAACCCTCGGACGACTGTAACTCCGTGGCGAAGTCTTTAAGTGTGTCTACATATAACTTGCTGCAAGCCAACTACTTGGACCTTTATTGTCAGACCTTTTCACGGCAGGTGGGTAAGAGCCTTTGTGTACCACCCAAGTGCACTACGCACACCTGGCAGGCGAGTGATACGTGCGATAGTGTGGTCAGCGGCCTCGGCAATGTAACTCTGTCGCAATTCCTCGCGTGGAATCCCAACTTCAGCTCTCTGTGTCTCAACAGTCCATTCTTTATTGGATATGAGGTCTGTATAAGGTAAGCAAATGCGGCCGGCTCGGTTGGCAGTCAAGTTCCAGTGTGTGCAAAGTCTGTCAACATTCTAACTTTCTCTCATCAGTGCTCCAGACGGTTACCTCAACCATACATCAAACGACAATCCTAGTCCCACAGTAACCGCTAGTAATAGTGGTGTCGCAGAGGTCCCGACCAATGCAGCAGATGGCAGCTCCCACGACTGTAGTCTGTGGTATACAGTAAGTGATGCTTGGCTTCTGCATACTTTGTTCATCGAAGAGATCACCAATGGCTTCTTTAGGTTATGGAAGGAGATGATTGTGGCCCAGTAACCCTGGCCCAATCCATTTCTCTAGCCGACTTCTACTTTCTTAATCCGGGTCTAGGCAAGAATTGCGGTAATCTGCAGTTCGGCAAGGCGTATTGCGTGAGACCTGTTGGTTCTATCACCAACTACCCCAATTATACCATCACTGGGGTTTTGCCAACCGCTGTACCCCCGGCCACCTTATCTTCTGTGAATACTGCCATACCAACAAGCACCAACGATCCTGGCTATGAGTACATCGAACCCCCACTCCTCCCTACTGCGCCAGGTACTATTCCAGACTGCTATCTATACCAGAATCCCCCTTACTTTGCCACCCTCTGCAGGGATCTTGCGCGGGAAAACGAAATACCGAGTGAAGACCTGGCAGAGTGGAACCCAAGCCTCGAGAAAGACATGGCCAACTGCACTCTCACATCGACTTACAGTTACTGTGTTAAGAAGTACGAGAATAGCACTTGTAAGTAGCACACCGATCCTTAGATAAATTGCAATGCTAACCGTGCACATAGTGCCCGAGGATATATCCACTTACTGCCTGCCTATTGATGCCACGGAGCTTGGTACAGTTTCCAACTGTAACTGTTTCACTTCGATTGACGTTTATGATGCCGAAGGTATGGACTCCCACAATTCCCCGAGAATCACTACTAACCCCTGGACCAGAATACACATGTGCGAAATTGGCTTCCGATTACGGAGTGAAATTAGCCGAGCTTTTGGCCTGGAATACTTGGCTATCAGGCGACTGCGACACCGCTCTCTTTGCTAATCTTAACTACACTGCTAGGCGCGCTGTTTGTATTGGCGTCGGCTCCAAGAGCGCTGCTACCAGCACCACGACTAGCACTGGATCTGGAACAGCCACCAGCACCACAGAATCCATGGGACCCACTCAAACTGGAGTTGTGTCTGGATATCAGCTCTTCCATACCCTGGTGGACAGTGAACAACTGCCCCTCTATCGAGACTAGGTATAGTGTTACCCTAGCTTAGTGATACCGATGGAACCCGAGCATTGGATCGAACTGCCAGAGTTTGGGAGTCGGGTACTCCGTTTATGTTGGGGTTTCCTCGTAGATATATTACTATCATGCGCCATACGCTTGAAGGGATCTATGAAGCTGTCGTCTTACACAGAATGATGTATGCGTATACCAACGCTCCTGTTAGGACCTCCAGTTAGCCTTGGGGTTAATATTAATAAGCTCTGCCCTAATTTCGAGCAATCCATAGAGCAGTCTAGATATTTAAGAAGTCGCTTTCCCATGTTCGACTCGATATTATTGTTTAGTTATTTTACATATACATCGCGCGGACCATACTTTTCACCATAGTATTTCCTTCACGTAATCCCAACTACACACAAGAGAATCATGCGTTGCAACATTGTCACATGATTATATTTCTTCCTCACCTCACCCCTTTTAACCCTTAACCACGATGTTTTCTACTTCCCGTCACCATCAGCCACTCACCCCAACTCAAAAAATCTCTCGAAACTTACAATGAACACAACGCGGATTCTTCTCCCTATCTGCAACCGGCTCAGGCTCCCCGCCGTCTGTAGCCTTCGCCTCGTCAATCGCTTCCCTACAATGATTAGTCACCCATTCTATCCCTTCAAACGCCAGTATCTACACCAGGTCCCAGCCGCAATGAATACTCCCGACAATTATCGACCTGATGTCCTATCAAAACGGGACCCTACCATGGAATCATTCTTGAACAACGCCGACAACCTGGAACGACTCATCCAAATGGATGGATTCAAGACCTGGGGCTTCGTGATTTATCGCTGCACATATCAAAGTGACTCTGATTGGGAAACGTTCATGACTCGCTTCCTCTACCATGTTAGGCATTCTCTCGATTTCTACAACGGTCTGGATCTACTAGACAGCTTCGCCCCAACAGTCTTCGAAGATAGATCCTTTGATGGCGCAACTACCGCTCTTGTACGCAAGCATTTCCAAGAGTGGGCTGCGACGGCGCCACCAGTGGAGCAGCCTATCGGCTACTCTGACTATCCAGAAGCAGGCCGGTATAAGTTTTTCCTTATGGTGGACCAGGAGGCTTTAGAGTCGGTCCTGAGTGTACCTGATCCGGAGGAGTGTGATAGCGATGGCTTTGTGCGCCTAGTCAACGGATTTTGGGAACCGGAGGTACTGGACGCGGATGAACTGGCAGAGCGTGGAGTATCTAGCCAGTCGGAACTGGAGCAGGAGGAGCCTCTGGAAGGGCTTACCATGCTGGATGTCGGCTGGATGAAAGTATGTTATAGTGACGCACAAACATGAGGGTATTTGAGTATGCTTGACGGCTTTCGCTGGTTGACGTATTACCAGCGTCCTCCACTTATTCAGAAATATTTATAGTGTGTATGGGTGAGAAATATGATGATTGCGGCCACTTGGGATGGGTGTCTTTGTTTTGATATGTTTTTATCTTTATTGGGAGCCCTTCTTTGGATTGACATACACTATGTCCCTGTTCTTTCCCAATGGTATTTTGTATTGACTGGGAGGAGTCAGATACACAGCCCTAACACCAGTGTAAAGGGCAGATGCATGATAAAGCGCATGGTTAGTAAATTGGAGTCCCTGCTTTCACTGTTGAGTGTTTTATCATCCAAGATGAAGTCAAGGGGCTATCCGAGCCCCATTCCGCGGCCAAGGTGTAATTAGGTAGTCTCACCTTATCGGTCCCCAGCCAGGGTGATATACGCCAGCTTGAAGTTTTTTTTTTTTTTTTTTTTTTTTTTTTTTTTTTTTTTTTTTCAAAAGTCTTGAAGATCAACCAAGTTGACAATTACAAAGCTCGACCTCGAAAAGAGATATGACGGCGATATGTAAGCAAGCAATCCAAGAGGCGATCCATGAATACATCGCGGGATTGCAGCCTTCTATGTGAGAGTTAAATCTCAAAGTAGTATACTACATGAGATGATGATATTGACCTATCGCTTGATTGAATTTTAACTATTCTAGATTCACCAAAATCAACAGCTGGCCTACAGAGAATACCAAGCCCATGATATACTATGCGAATTCCTCGAATGACAGGGAATCCCAACATACTCCCACGATTTGAATTTATTGATATAGGGCTGGTCCGTGTTATCCTGCATCTTCCATATTATTATCTACTAAATCTGTTCAATCTGCTCAACCCTATTCATTTTCAAATCGACATTCAATAAATTAGCATTTCCAGCGATCACTTTATTTTTTTTACATATTTTGAAATCGATATAAATTTTAATATTTGTTCAACAATTCTTAGTTGCAGGGGTTCGGAGTATTAAAAGAATCCAAATAGATTAGTAGGTTTCATAATACTTGTGGACGAGGGCAACAACGTGAATTATATATTACAAAAAAATTAGAAACATTATATCATATCCCATTAAGACACGCATTACGTAGCTCCCAGCATCCAGTTAATCTGCGAAGTGTACGGCTTCTCTCTCACAACCTTCTTAACAATATTTCCATTCTCGTCAAATTTACCTTTGACAACCACTTCCCGCCAACCGTGACCCCAGTCTAGTTCCCACTTTTCCTCCTTCTTCTTGGCCTGACGAGAAGCCGGGAGCCGCTGTCCAGACTCTCGTGCGCGTTCCACGGAAGCGTAGAAATGGAGCGTCTTTTGGATTTCTTTTATACGCTCTCGGGAGAGACCTTCCGTAGATGCCTCCATTCCACTTCTGCCATGGGCATCCTTGATACACTCGCAAGCCCAACAGAGACAACAGGTATATGGCTCTGCAAACTGCTTCTTCCATAGATCAGCAGTGGTGGTGTCTGTTATATTATTTGCCATAGTTTCTTTGGTCTCCGAGGGCCTTGGAACTTTTTCGTAGCTCAAGTCTCCACTAGAAGGTCGGCTGGCGAACGTGTGAAAGTTGTCTGCATAAAGCTGATGGGTTCTCAAGGCGAGTTCAATATCCCAAGTTGGTGTCAAACTCGTACGTCTGTCTGGATGTAGCTGTACGAGAAGGAGAAACTTTGTATATCTCTCCACGCAGCGGCTCAATGATCCTGAGCATGCTGGTGAGCGGAGCCAGAGAAGCTGATGTGTGTCATGAATAAAGCTGTCTTGCATCATCACTGCATGCTCAAGATCAACTGAGCACTGGGCGCCCACCGACGCGGTGTACGGGGGTGGGGACGCAAGACAAGAAAGAAGGTCCACCGACTGTGATGACATGGTCGTAAACATATTCGCTGCCGCCGTCGGCAAGTTGTAGACAAGTTTTTTTTTGATCAATGACTTCGTAGAGCGCGTGCCAAGGGAAACAAAGCATATATGCGGTTTGTTTACCAAACTCCACACAGTCTGAGGGGTAGGAAGGGTGGATGATGTAGCTGTACCACACTAGCAGCACATCTAATGGAGGAAGATAGTTTTTAGAGAGAGTAGTAGTGTCCTGCTGCGCTGGACCAGGGGTTGTGTATGCTTTTGCATGTCGTATTGCCTTGTCGACATTTTGCCACCAAATATTAAAACGGCCAACGGCTGCTTTTACGAATAGTTCCCATTTCCTCATCTGGCTTGTACGAACCATCTCCGCATCTGCAGCCGTAGGGAGTGCTTTGGAGCCTTGGGGGTTTTCTATTGAGACAGGATGGCTCGCAGTTGGTCCAATAACAGCGTCTAAGTCCTTGGAATGCATAACGTCGTTCTGTAGCTTATAGAAACATTCAATGAGGCATAGATGCATTGCTAGGTGATTCGTCGATGGGTATAGAATGTCGACTTTCTCGATGTCCGAGACATCGGAAGCACTGAATGTGTGACTGGGAGGAATAGAAATTCCTCTAAAAATCGCTGGGTCTGGTATCTGTATTTCCTCTTCCCTAGACCTTGCGGGAGTCGGGATGGTTTGGCTTATCTTCCATGAATGTTGATGTGTTGATGGCTCCTGTCGATGTCGCAATCCACTGAGTATTGATGACATATTGTTTCACAAAGTAGAATACGAACAGTCCTTTTTCTCCGGAATAATTTATTTTAGCTTTATAGTAGTAAAAGGGTGTGGTGGCGACTGTTCTGTTTAATCGCAAATAATAGGTATTTCCCTTCAAGGTTAATATTGTTAATGGGCCAGCGTCGCCTTAAGTACTACTTGGCTGACAAGCATAGCCACAGACCATAGCCACCATAGGCAGACTGTGTCGAACATCATCAGCCCCACTGGTCTGCTTGGCTGCCAACCTAAGTTACGTAACCGGGTAGCGGTTCGGCCATCACACGATATATTCTAGAGCTATTCCACCACTAACCCTACTACCAAAAATGTTTGGAAGAAAGTCCAAGGAATCTGTTGAAGCAAAAGTGATGGCGCCTATTAGCAATCTCTGCTCTAAAGATGTCAAAGTTTTCTAGTAGCTAAAAACCTGCACCTGTGTATAAAGTGCTCTATTTTGGTTCATCTCATGAAAGTAAAGGGCTAAAAATTCAATGGAAACTATATATTAATAGTTACAGATTAGTGTTGAATAGAAAGGGTTTATCAAGATAGTTATCACTAACTGAACATAGCACGGTCTTTGATCTGTGCGTATATGTGAGGATATGAAGGTGTTGTTGGTGTTGCCCCCGGAGCAGCGGAGCTTCGTTCAAGCACTCAGCGACCACTTAGTTACATTGGCTAGATACGACTCTCCGACGAAGTCTAAAATCTACTAAAGGCTAACAACCGTGAAGAGTGGCCTTAAGGCTCGAATGAGAGTGCAAGTACGAGCCAATCCGAAGACTAAAAGTCGAAGGCTGAAGGGCCAGGTCTATTGAGTACATATACTCAATATTAAGGCGGTGCGAATACCTGCGAGGCCTTATGCCAGAAGAACCCGGATATGTTGTCCGATATTGGCAGATATTGAACTCACACGCTGTGTGTTAAGGCAATGCATAACAGATCCACTGGTAACCAGAGCCGTTGGCTGCAGAAGCTAATGTTCTGGAAGTTGAAAGGTCAGCGCGCATCATGCCGTTATCACTAACTGTGCCAGAGCAAGTACAGGAGTATATTTCTTTTTAACGTTCCTCACCATATCGTGCTGAAATATGGAAATTTCCCCAGGATTACTATACCCTTGCTTCTCCGGCTCGAACCCCGCAGCATCGTGCTGTATTCTCCACTTTTAACCCTATTTACTGTATAATTTGCCTCTAACGTGATAACCGAGCCACCCGAAACCCCAATGGTATCTGGGGCGCGGATTAGCGGACCGCATTACTCAGTGGAAAATTCTGTTGGTCAGGAAGTGACCATTGTTTAGGGCTTTCTTTCCATGGCACCTTGTCTGAACTGGTATTATATCAACGCATCCAAAAGTGCTTCCCGACTTATTCTTTTACTATTTCGTAGCAGCTTCCTATCTTGGCCCTCAATAATATGCCTCCGAGACCACGGCCCTTAACATAAGCAGTGGTCAGCGAGCACGATCGATTAGATAAATGGTACTAGCTGCGACTCTTCCAAAAGTATCTACAAGGTTCTTAAGCCCTGACTCACGTATGACTCAGAGATAGAACTAATTTTGAGTGGCCCGAGTTTTAAAGGTAGTCAAACTTCTTCAGGCCTCTCTACTCCGAAATCATACAACACTAGCTCTAACTTCGTCACAACGGATCTTACCGTGTCCTGAACCAGTCACAGCTAGCGCTCATTAGATAAAGGAAATTCTTCTTGTCATGGCTGATCAACCGCTGTTCGATCTGAGCTCCTTTCACCCCGCACCAGGCATTACTCATGTTTGCACTGCTGGTGATAGCCTTCCATTACGAGCTCACAGTGATGCCCTGTCGAGATACATGACCGACAAAGCTGGGGGACACAAAGGTTACGAAGACCAAGGCAAGCTCCTCGATAAAGCACGTACTTTGATTGCCAGCTCCTGGAAGGTTTCCAGTAAAGAGATTGGATTCACGTCAAGCGTCGCAGAGGGGGTCTCCATGATTCTAGAGTCGCTGGACTGGGCGGAAGGGGATAATGTTTGTATTGACGCTGATGAATACCCGAGCCTGGTAGCTCCTTTCGCCCTCAAATCCCAACGGAGTCAGGATTCATCTAGTCACAGAACACCAGAGATGCGTTACTGCACAGGAGGAGAAAGCATGAATACCATAGTCAACAACAAAACAAGGCTTATTGCGGTGAGCTACGTCTCGTATTTGAACGGGGCTCGAGTCGATCTTTCTTTCTACCGCGCCCTTGCGGACTCAGTCGGAGCCATTCTTCTAGTTGATTTTACCCAGGCTGCTGGGTACAGCCCCATCCACGCGTCTGTTGCAGATTTTGCATTCTCGGCCTGTTACAAATGGTTATTGGGCACGACTGGAACAGCAATCGCTTTTTGGAACCAGCAGCGTCAGCCGAACTGGACGCCTGGGACAGCTGGATGGTATTCTCTATCTATGGGAGTGGCACGGCCACGGTGGGAGACGGATCGGATTGATGTTCGCGATGATGCGATGTGCTTTAGTCGTGGCAGCCCCGCATACTTGTCTACATATATTCTCGTGGCTGGTGTTGAATACCTGGATCAATGGGCCACTTCTGACATTGAAGTGCATGTTCAAACACTAACTACCAAACTCCTCAAGGAGCTGGAAAGGGTTGGAATCCATTCAACAACTCCAAGATCGGTGGAGCGCCACGGAGCCAGTGTCGCGGTTGACTGTGCAGGGGCTTCAGAAATTGTGGATGAACTACACAACAGTGGTATTTACGCATCCAATGGCAAGGGACGCGTTCGTTTCAGCTTCCATGGGTACAATTCAGTGAAGGATGTGGAGCGGATCATGCAGGTGTTTCCTGGCCTGTGGAAGAAGTGGAACTAGTGATAGCGTGTAGACTAGTTTCAAACAGGTCAAATTTACTAGTCTTATAACTGGATATTTCGCAACCTGCCATTTATCCCTACGGCTCTAGGAATACGACAAGGCTGGTAGGGAGGTACAGAGCCCATGTGGCTACGGACATGTTGGTGTGCACTATCAAAGTTGTTCATGTAGACAGTAGAACACCAAAATGGTTGCCTAACTCCCTATCTGTCCAAACGATCGATACAGAATAGTGATTCATGCTTAAATCGATAACTTATTAGGTAGTAGATAGAAATAACTTTGTAAAATCATATATTGGAACTGAAAGAGATATATAGTGATCTGTACCAGGCTACAACTTCTGTTGAACTTACTAGCATTAACAGTCAACTAAATATTATTTCGTGTTAAAAATAGTAGACTTTTTCAAGACCGGTACTAAAATAGGGATATGCAGTTGTTAGAAGGTATATAATCCCCGAGAGCTTGAAATATCATGCTGACGGCCTAGTTTAGTAAAATCAGTCAAGAACTCAAGTTACAATATATCAGTATATTTCGGTACTTACATGCCTTTTGCAGATTCTCTGAGCATTGGCGAGTGATCCTTAGTCGCCGAAAATAGTAGTGATCCAGCCCAGGAGCTGTGCTCAAGTAACCAAGAGGAGCTTCTTGCGTTGAAGAAGCGGCCGCTAAATTTCACCGGGAGCTATTAGAATTGTTTGTCCACTTGGCGTTTGGAAGAAGAGTCCCATAAGAACACTTGTGTCTTTTGGTATAGATTCCCAAGGTGGCTCTATCAGCTCAATTCGAGGGGTTGGGACTTATGAATAATAGGCCACATGGAATTTGAACATCCTAAGTTTAGCTTAAATATAATTCAGATTGCTCGGTATGATCGAGATCAGACAAGGAACCAAGCAACCAGGCGAAAAAGAATCAGAATATGTCCTACTTGAACGAAAAAGCTATACATTAAATGCAATCAGGAAACTGGAGGGCAAGCAATTAATACCAAGTATAGACCTGTGGTCGCTTGCTACCATTGTACCCTCCGGTGAGACGGCAATGAGCTCATTTATCAGGCACAATCCAACCACCTTCAAGCTTGCCCAATTTTTCCAACCGCTTTGGGCCAAACTTGACCGTCTCAATGCCTGCAGACTTGTCGGGCATTGTCACACTAACATTGGTTAATCAGGGTGTTGGTTAGGATTGACGGCTGGGATATAATTACTGGTAGATGAAGCTGTTTGTACCGGCAGCAGCTGGTGCGCTGTTGAGCCGAGTCACTCGACCTCCCAATTTGGCAATATCGGAAATATACCTACAATAATGGAGAATTAGAACCACCCACAGAGCTACATCGATGCTGCTAATTACCTCTTCTCCCATTGCGTGGTCACCTGGTTCAATTCGTTCTTCTGGAACAGCAATCGCATAGCCTATAACGATTAGCAGTGCCCAGACACAGGTAGGTTGGATACACCCACGTAGGTTTTCGGCATGTTGGAGATTGTTGGATGATGTGCTGCAACTTGACTTGATTCTCAATGGCCAGCTTCTGGGTTATTCAAATATTTAAATGGCAATCCCTGTGGAGGTCAATCGATTTTTCACTAAGCGAATTGTAGAGCGGACACGTCAGTCGATCACCTTTGAATGTGACGTGTCCAGAGAAAAAAAAGTAACGGAGTCCTGTTCGGGTCTCAGTATTCAGATGGCTCAGAACATTATGCACGAGTAAACTACCAGTATTGATAGATGATCATTACAAGTCCCCACTTTCTTCCTGTCTTGAAATGTTGACTTTTCCTATGTTGTTGTTTCTGCCCATGGACTAGTGTGACGCGATATGCGCAAAGCCTCTCTGGCGGTACAGGGGATGATCTCGACCACCGAACATCAATACACAAATTCCTAAATTCTAGGGAGATTATCATTTAAGTACTGGGGAGACACAACATCAAATAGTGTATAGCCTATAACCATTGGGGCTTTGAAAGGTTGGTCTTCGTCCCATGAATTTGCCCTATACACCTCCAAACTAACCCGGTACGGAAGCGTATCTGCCCTGCAGTGCACGACGGAGTGTTTTAGTGTAGCTGGAAATCTAGGTTTCCAGCGCCCTTGAATCCTTCAGCAGTCAGCATCTGGAAGACGGGGTTGCCTGGCTGGAGTCCAAGCTCTTTCCAGCGCTTGAAGTGAGCTGTTACATCGACTGAACCGGTGGTACGAGGATTGCGACGGACAGACCACAGCTGGTTGAAGTTGGTGACACCGTAGATTTTCGGTACATTCCTGTAGGGAAGCATATAGACGTCATATACCCCGCCGTCGACATTGACCTGGCCAAGGATATGGCCATTACCCGGGGTGCCCGTGCCGTGTTGCTCGACGATGTACCACTCGGTGACAGGGTCCGTAGTCCAGCCATAGACTGCCAGAGTATAGTCACCCTCCGCCTTAAAGTGGCCATCCCAGGTTAATTTCCTAGCCACAGACAGGCGTCAGTGGAAATCACAGCTGGGGGCTAACGGAACAGTTTACTCACCGCGTGCTACCGCCACGATAGCCCTTCCCTCCCAGGAACTCTTTATCCACGTTCCATTTCAGTTGGAACCGACCACTGTCAGGGTACTCGGTGTACTCGGCGCCGGCATGGTTGTCATTGTAAAGGGAGTAGTAATATCCCGCGGCGTTGACACCGTCCTTGCTGGTTGTGAGTTCTGTAGCGCGACGATGAAGTCCCTCGCTGCGTGTTGCATTGGATATATTTTCTCCGATCTGCGGAAGCTCGTATAACCCCTCGCCATGAACAACGGCCTCGGTGAACGTGGGGTCAGTGGGACTCGCCAGAGCACCAAAAAAAGCAAGGAAAGTTAGAAGCCGATTGGCAGACACCATGTTGGTAAGTCGATTTGGATTCTTTGTAGAAGGGAAGTTTGCTTGGGGATAAGGAAGAGGGTTAGCCTTTCTTTTAAAGATGAGCATAAGAAACTCCAATTTGTCGCCTGTTACTGAGACATGTGCCCCTGACCTGGAAATTGATATATCCTGGCCCGATGGTTCCAGGAGATATTTAATTCAACTGTAACCAGGGGTCAGTAAGAAAGTACAATGGCAGGCTTCACCGAATTGAACTTCTTGAATTGCCTGGTCAACTGAGACTAGCTGTCTCAAATTAGACCCTTTTGTACGTTGGCTCATCATCGCTTGGGAGCCACATCAGAAGGCCAATGGGAAGGTTTCTATTTGATCAACCAACAACAGACGAGGGATCCGCAGTTGAATTCCTGGAGTGTAGATCTATGTATATCCTTCGACAGCAATATGAACTTAGCGAATCCTCGTGATAGGCAATTCGGGAAAGTTACGTTCGTTGTTACATGTACCCAGGGTCGGATATTAGCCGTCGGTGTCAACCCAGGTGGCGTTCCGCTTATTAGGACCCAAAGTAGCGCTCCTCTACGTCCCAGCTTCGACCCCATACCAGGGTTACATGCTGTGGCCGCTCACCACCTTTATTGTACATATTCTCGCCGGGTCGGTGTGGTTTGCTTGTATCGTAGTTTTCTGGGGCTTTGAGGATTATACTCGCGGCCGTTGATGGTGGACACCATTGGCAAGCACATGCTTTTCACCGCAACCCGAAGACCTAGTGCCGTGGATCGAAGTGGGCCAGAAGTGTATGAAGGCGGCTTGAGCCGTTGTCACTCGAGGAATTATATCACAAGGGATGAGTCTTAGGATGGTGAAGAGTTTAATTGGATACCGGACAGCAACTTTATGATTAGTGATGTGGATACACGGATGGTTGCATGATATAACCGCCAGACTGTTTCATCGGAAATGTCCCTGCCCACATAGAAACGAAGGCCCGCACGAAGGTTTGTTGGACAGGAGGTATGACCCACATTGCTCGCCCGTGTGGGTTTGCAAATCCCAGCTACTAGCGGAGTCTAGTCGCGACCATCGCCTGTTCATAACCATTTCCAGGAAGACCCTGTATATTGGACAGGACGTCGTCTAGAGCTATTGCAGGATGATACTGTAAGGACATAGTTATTTACAAGTCACGGGAGTTTAACAAACCACACCAATTCGAAGTTGGTTCGAAGGATCACGGAAAGGAGGTAATCATGGCCATTCACAAGGCATATCGTCGGGATTTGCGGCCATCGTTAAGAATCGTCCAAGAAGCCAGGCAGAGATGAAGAAAGCGGACTCAGGTCGCTTGCATCACCCTGGTTGATTCATACTGCAACAAGTTTTGAGACAATATGCAGGGAGTTACCTTGGACCTTCCGATTTGCGTGGGCTACCAGAGGATGTGATACAAGCCAAGTAAGTTGGGTTGGTATGTGAAGATCTCATCGGCAATGAAGTACCACTGGCTCTGCCGAATACGAGCTGTGCTCCCCTGTCCTCTAGGAACTCGTTAACATCAACTCTTTGTGGTACGGGCTGGTTACCGGTGAGGTTGGTCTGGTTCGATGGAGCCTAGCCTACGCCTTGTGGGGCCTATTCGCCTTAGTAAGGGCTACATAAGCCGCTACATACGGATCAAACTACTATTTAAGCATTGTGGGCCGGATGTGGATGTAACATGAATAAATAGAAATGTTATACCATAGCTCTATTATACGAGATTCTATTGACAGCCTACTGCTTTGAGCAGTCAGATATACCATTACAACCATTGGCCCCCTGAAGACCGAACCTTGTACTGCGCAGTATAGTGCCAGATTCCTTTGTTATCAAGTAACATATGACTATCATGATTAAGTTAGTTACTGAAAGGCTTGCGCTTCGGTTCACCTGCTGCATGCTAAGTCCAAATGCCTTAGACTCAGGTTCGATATATTAGATTACTTTAATGTTATGGCGGCTCAAGAAACGCAATATGGCCCATACAGATCCCTAAGGCCAAGAACAGGATCGTGAAGCTAGTTACAGGGGTTGGATAGAGCCAACAGCTATGGTAATATTAAACCCTTCTAGCTAGTGGGCATTTGAAGATTGAAGACTTGGCATTGGCAGACCCGCTGATCTGAGACACGGGTGACATAGGCTAGCCTACAAATCTTGACGGCCTTGGCATGTTTCTGATATAGAGATTGTCTATACTGCCTGGGGGAAATGCTATGGACATCGGCATCATATTGATACCAGACCCTGAAATGCGTATGTCGCCCGGACCATACTTATAATCTATATAAGACCGAATGATCTCAGAGAACAAAAACTTCATCAAAGCCACTGTGTGTCTATCTCTTTCGCTCATTTCTGCTATAGCACGTTCTCTATTTTGTCTGGGCTGGCCCTTTCATTCACTTGTCCCATCCTCTTTGTATTGTCAACATGAAGCTCTCTCTTCTCGTCACTGCGGTCATCGCACCCTTTGTCTCGGCCCATTACTTCTTCGATACACTTGTTATTGATGGCCAGGAAAGCACTCCTAACAAGTATGTCCGTTCCAACACCCGGCCCGAGAAATATAACCCGACCAAATGGAAAAACACCCGCGATGATATGACCCCGGATATGCCTGATTTCCGCTGTAACAAAGGCTCTTTTACCTTTGCTGGACAGACTGGCACCGCGGAGGTTAAGGCCGGGGCTAAGCTTGCCATGAAGCTTGGTGTGGGTGCTACGATGAAGCACCCTGGCCCTGGCCTTGTATATATGTCCAAGGCTCCTGGTGCGGCCAACAAGTACCAGGGCGACGGTGACTGGTTCAAGATCCACGAGGAGTCCATCTGTGATAAGAGCAAGGATATCAAAACCGATGCCTGGTGCACTTGGGGAAAGGACCGTATCGAGTTCACTATTCCTGCGGATCTGCCGGATGGCGAGTATCTTATTCGGTCGGAGCACATCGGTATGTCTTCCGCAATTTATGGAAATATAAACAAGAATGCTAACACTTGGGAAAGGCGTTCACGGAGCACATGATGGTCAAGCTGAGTTCTACTACGAGTGAGTTATTCTTCCCGTCTCGATCATGACTCTAGTTTGATACTGACGGGGCTTCCAGATGCGCGCAGGTCAAGGTCACCGGCGGTGGCCATGGAACACCCGGACCTACCATCAAATTCCCTGGCGGTTACAAGAAGGATGACCCCTCGTTCAACTTCAGTATCTGGGGTGGCATGAAGGATTATCCCATGCCCGGTCCAGCCGTCTGGGGTGGTGCTTCGGGCTCTAAGCCTGCTTCCAAGGTAGCTAATGTCAATGGTGCCGGTGCTTCCCACCAGGAGGAGGCAGGAACTTGCGGAAGCCACCGTGAGCATGCCCGTGACTTCAGCTACTAAGGAAATATGCTACGTTCATTGCGGATCTCTTGCTGATCCGCTTAGGTGAAAGCTGTGTTTCCAGCTTTTGGTCGATAGTTTTGCATTCTCGAATGGGTTGGAATGAGTACTCCTTAGTCTGTTCCAGCTACACAGTCTGGTCTAAGTCCGTTTGTTGTCGTCGCTCTTGTTAAGTGCTTCGCTTTGGAGCGGAACCGCGACCTTTCGTTATAGATGGATTTAGATTGACACTTTTTTGAAATACATTTTATTTGTCTATAATATACACAGAAGAGTACGCAGCTGCAAGGCTGCTATCTGAAAGCTCAATAGTGCATTTGTACATGACAGGTCGCCTTATGTCTGTTGTAGGTTTCTGATCGCTGACTATGCATACATTCGTTCTTGGATGATCTCTGACATATGATCATGTCTTTCCAATATCCTAACATTCCCCCAATAATCCGTTTATGGTCAAATGGGGCGATATATAACCATAATATGGGTCACGACCTCGAAAGCTATGCACAGTATTACTGATCAAGGTCGTTGGTTGAGTCAATCTCCCCGCTAACAATGCTCCGAAAGAACGACTCGAGATTTGTGCCCTTCTGAAAATCTGGAAACAGCTTCCAGAAACCTAGGTACCCCAGGTATTCGGCGTACTCTGGTGTGTTATCTCCTCGTACACACCAAGATATCCGATACTGCCCCATATTGTAATTGGCACAGTCCATAATATTATCTGGATGCTGCATTGTATGAGGACTATTCTCGAGTCTTTTTCGGTAAGTCTCGATGATCTCGTGGATATCTGCCAAAGACACCTGAACATATATGAGAATTAGCCAGCCATTTCTGTATATGGGGAGTTGCTGCGTTCGTAAAAGAATAATCAATATTGACATACGTAGTCCTTCTCCGGTTCCTTCGCCCGTGACTATGGCCATGGTATCCCAGATTTCATGCATACTAAGCACCTCTGTGTACGCAAACACATGCTTGTTGATAGTCCTAGGATCCGCCACAATCTGAGCAAAATACTTGCCAACATCTGCTATATCAGTCAAGGCAAATTTCTGGTTTCCATCCTCCACAATACGGTGATCAATATAGGGCATATGAGCTTTATCTGACTTGCCGGACGGGACCTCAGGGGCAAAGACCGAATACCAGCAACCGACATCAATAACGGTATAGGGCAGACGTGCCCGTTGAATTGCGCCTAGGATTTCAAGTTTCTACAAGTGCTGTTAGTAAATATGGTCATTTAGGTACCTGAAGAGCAAAAGCGCACATGGTCTTTGATCCAGTGGACACCTTTAGGGCATGGTCCCACCCATTCCGAGGGAATAAAACGTTTAACGCCAGCCTCCTTTGCGGCTTTGATCCAAGGAAGCTGCAAGTCGAGATGTTCGCAATTTATACTGGAGATAAGAACATCGATATTCTTTAATTGGTCAACGAGCTTTTGATGGGGACCGCTTATATCATAGCCGACAATCCAAACACCATTTGCTTTGAGCCTTTGATTTTCCCAGCGATTCACGGAGGATTCTCGGGTGAAAGATGTGACGGTCTATATAGTGTAGGTTAGCACAGCTTGAGAAACAATCGCCAAGTACAGGCAGCGTACGAAGGCTATTGGTGAAGACAGTAGACCATTAACCACCGTCTGGCCTGCGTTGCCAGTTGCCCCGATAACACCAACGGTTATTGCAGTCATTCTTGAGAGAGATCCAAAGTTGTGATGGTGCAGATGAAAAGAAGAGAGGATTCGAAAAGAGCAGATTCGATCACTTATATAAGTTTCACTAAAAGTTTAACAAACCGCCACGCTCAGGGGATCTCAATTCTGGCTCAAGAAAATCGGTGGTATTATCTTCTGTTTGGAGCTCAGCTCGACGTTTGAAATGTGGTGCTCCATGGTCCAAAATACCCAAAGTCCATTTCGTCCGAGGACCCACCAAGTAACCGGAAGTCGAAAAGCGATCACTTCGGACCAATTTTGCGCTAGTACGCAGTAACTCGGACGAAGAACAAGTACATCGTCCGAAGTCTACTTCGTCCAATATGTGGGCCATTTTTCTTATTCCTTTAGTGAATCATCTTGAGTCAGCATTACTCATATTGAGGTCCACCAGAAGCAGATATTTCCTGGGGCAAAGGTAACCCTGGATTAGGACCAAGCACCACCATCCGCCTTATTCAGAGATTTCTACAGCCCAGTTGCCATCACTATCTACGTAGATAGCAACGAGGTGCGTGATATAAGCCAGATATGGTCAGTGATGCTGGAGGGTAAGACGAACCGGATGGTCTCGAGCTATCAAACCGTCTTGTGGTTTCTGTACTTGGTACCTACTTAATACTGTAGGGTGACAAAGATCCGTGTCAATTTTACTTGCGGTTGCCTATGTTCAAAAAGAATCAAGGAGCCGGTATCCATTTTCTTATCTCGTATCACGCCCGACATTGCAGAAACATCACAATGCGCGCCACTCCTGTTCAAATCATTCCGGCCCTGGCTTCCTACCATAGACGACATATCTTGAGCGACAGTTAGCAAAAGATCACCACAGTGGAGTACCGAAGGCGGAATCCCGAGAAACGTACAGCTTCCCATAAATATGCAAAGACCTATCCCGAAGTTGCTCCTTAACAAGAGCCTGGTGCAATTTGGCCTCAGATTCCGGCCATCCCAACACTTGTGTGTACAAACGAAGACCGTAAGCCTCCACGCCCTCTGGGGCCTGCACATATTGCCATTTCCCAATCTCTTTAAGCTGAGGATCCTTGGGCCATGGTCCGTACGGAAGCACGTAGACCGCCTCAGTCACACTCTCAAAACCTGCGTTCTTCATCCAGGCCTGCAGAGATGTGGCAACATTCATCGGTCTTCCGGTGATGTCACCCGCTTTGTTGAGGTTGTTGATATACTCTCGATAAGGCGAATCTTGTTTGAATGTCCCATCATCGCTGAAAGCATCTATGGCGAACTCAGCACATTCGAAGTATCCGTTTGGTTTCAGATGGTCGTAGGCCTGTTTCATTAGACGTCCCCAGTCTTGGACACATCTGACCCCGGTTATCAGTTGACTGTGATCCGAATGCTCAGAGCCGGGATGTATTGTATACGTACCCTGAAATTGTGCGAGCATGAACATAATCGAAGTAGTTCCGATCGTGCATCCATACATTCTCGAAATCATCGACAACAAATTCGACATTTGGGGGAACCCAAGATGGCTGGATGGGGCTCAGGTCATTCCCGATAACCTTGGCCGAGGGAAACTGGCTACATGTAGTTAACCGTGTCCTTTGCATGGAAACATTTCTAAAATACATACTCAGCAACATCTATCGCCCAGATACCTGTACCTGTTCCCAGGTCCAGAATTGTCTGGGGATTTTTGACGGGCGCGAGAAATAGCTCTCCGTTGAGTATCACGGAAAACCTCAGGAATAGTTAATGTATCATTCTCCTCTGCGGTCATCAATTCAACGGCTCACATATGATGCACCTGCACCAGTGTTAGTAATTCATAAATTCGTTGCCATTGGACTAATCTCTGACATACCAAGTCGAGGCGATCCTGCTCTGCTTCATCATTTGGCATGCTATATTTTGTATCAGTAATTCAGGGTCCTAAACGTATCATATTCCTAGATTACATGTATTGTGCCTTTTGCGACTGTTAGTATGAGACTAATTTTACAGTTCGATATAACAATACCTGACCATATTTGTGATATCGCCGACCGTTCTCATATTCGTAGTTCAGGACAGATGATGACAGAGAAGTGGTATCTGATGGCAGAGTCTCATTATAGATACTGAACTCATCCTAGGCCCTCTCGTTAGCTTCATTTTCATAACGATGGACTCCCGTCATATTACATCAATCGGTATCTCGCCTGCTGTATTAACGTATGGCTGTAGTGAGCGCGATGGCTGGCCTTGTTCTGGCATCATTAGAACCATAGGTAAATACCCGAAAGTAAACAGAATTTACAGGAGCAAGCTTAGGAAGAGGAAAGAATGGGTGGTCACGCAATGGTGCGGAGGTGGATTCTTCGTGAGTAACCCTACTGATTCCCCGAGCCCTAGCTGCCGGCCTAAATCATACCCCTGGCATCCTACTTCGCCAATTCATGCTGCGCTACACGCGCATTATTAAGAAATAAACCAATTCCATGGCCATTTATGATGTTTGTCCTACTTGAGGGACATTATCGCTCATGCACTGCACCCAATGTGACAGGATGGGTGACCCACCGTCAACGGTCATTGCTATCATTGGCTTGCTTCCGATATTGGCGTGTATTAACTACATGGATTGACCGTTAGGTGCAACCTCGATCCCCGATTTCCGAGTCTCAGTACTACGTGTCCATTGGTTTAAACAAAGAGATACCGGGTGGAACGCATTCCCTGCAATAAAGGTCCTTTATGCCAGGAAAAGATCCTTCGCCAAGGCATTGGCAAACCGAGGCCCAATTATTCCATAAACCGATACCTGTAGGTCTTTTCTACTCTCTCACTCAGTAACGTAATTAGTTTGATAGAACCAAAACCCTTCTCCCAAAGATCAATACTCCAGAAACAATGACCCAAACCCGAAACATCCCACCTCTATAACTCCATAAACAGCCACTTCCTTTTAACACAAGGACGCCCGATTCCCATACGAAACCCGAAACTCTGTAGTCTGAACCACCCCATCTTTAGCCCCGTACATAATGGCCGAAAAGCTGTCCATAGACCTTGGTCTGCTGGTAACGGTGTTCGTCCTCGTTTGTCTTTGGGTTTCCTCCACATTACTAAAATCATGGAAGGCCTTCCGCGCACCGCTTCCATGTGTGTATCGATCATTGAGTTCGTGTTCGTAGGCGCGCCTATTCGTGAGGCCGGTGCTGCCAAAGTAGACTTTGAACAGGGATCGCATTGCCGGGACCGAGGCACAGATAAGGGACATGTTTATCTCGAGGCTGGTGGTGAGTTCGGCGGCGGACCAGTTCCTAGACATAGCACAGGAAATGTGAGGTGGTGGTGCTAGGGATGCGTGGGAGATATCCAAGTTCAGACACACCATTGAAAGTCTCTTGATCTCAAGGCGATCACTGTCGTAACCTGTCTTGCGATCGATGCACAAATGGTTAGGATACCGATGCCGAAGGCGATTATCAGGCCGACTATCTTTTTCAGTATTCTTACTCTTCTGGATTGGCGAAATGGACAGACTCACTCTTGCGGCGGTTATTTGTTTGTAGTTTCTTCACGATGGGGATGGGAAGGAGCGCCAGTAGGATATCCGTCGTAACATGGAATGCACCGTTGAAGTAATTGAAACTCATCAAGTCGAGACAGCCTTGGGGGGATTCGGGTCCCCATAAAACGGATATAGGCTCACAAATAAAGGATGCCACCTAGGTTTGTTAGTGACAGGCTCTTCGATGCGTTTATCCAACGACACTGGTGTGAACGCACAAGAGTCGCCGCAATTCCATGGCTAAGTATAACCGCTCTAACCCCGTAGAGAAACCTAATATGGGTTTTATTGGAAGCTAATCGTACATATAATGCGACCATGCTACCTTTCGCTAGTCTAAATATTTGGTTCATGTTAACGTTAGCCGGGCCCAAAAGTTGAGGTTGTGCATTGTGTCGCGATATGTAAGAGTACCCGAGACTGAGAAAGTAGAGAACCTGTGATATCCACGCCCACTAGGTGAGAGTCAACGTCATGTCCGAAGTATGGCGGTCGAATTCATTGAAGGTAACGGACCTTTCGCGTACACTCCTGTTTTTTCAGTGTCAATTCCATAAGGTGGCGGCCAATCCCGCATTCATACATTTTCGGCACAGTTACCAACTCGCCGATCGATGCAAGCTATAAGATCCCGATGAAAAACATCATCAGCCTATAGAAATGGATAAGTAGAGATAACCATACCGAAGCTAGAATAATCAGGATGTCGTCAGACCCCAGCTTGCCCAGCAAGAACTGCCTCGCATATAACCTACGGAATCACCCCAGCTAGGTTAGTGGCGTTGGCTCATCTATTCACCAGAGACCACACACCTCATGCCAATCATAATCATGGCAACCCCAAATATTACATAACTTCCAACTTGGAGGTCTTGCTGCGACCCCGGCTGAATGGAGACCATGCTGGTAGCAGGGTATCACATTAAGCCGAAGAGTGCTGTTGGCTCCACAGGTAGAGTCAAGTCTTATAGATCTCCGCACGTGGGTGCTACATGACTTTATACAACGGCACCATAGCCGGAAAGGTTCCGATTTAGCTTCTTGATGTGGGTTAACAAGCGCAGATATATGTATTTAGACCCTGTGGTCCGTTTCTTGACTTGTGGGCCGTAGACACCCGGGGACCCTGAACTATACCTTGGACGTATAAAAGGTATCGGATAGATTAGATCCCCACTATTCAAGTTTACGCTTTTAGGTTAAACCTAATGGTATCCATATACCCCTCTTTGTTATTCTTCAACCTTGACCTCACCTACATCATCACAGTATCGCAGTTCGGGGGAGAGCGGGTAAACTCGTAACAATTCAAATCTACCATCCCAGAGCTCACCCATCAGAGTTTCTCAAGCAGTCCGGCCAATTCCACGTCAATAGAACACTGGGCGCTGGGAGATAGGATATAGGGTTGTCTTCATGTTGTCCCTTGCCACGTGAGGTCCAATGCCCTTCGGGATCTAAAATGTCCCAATGATTTAGAGGGTGGGCTACTGAAAAACCAGGAACTCGAAGCCCCTCCTGATACTGTGTAGACCCTTAAGGATCAAATAGTTAACCCGGTGACGTGGTCAAGAGATTCGATGCGGAGCTCGATCCATCGCCGACACTGGCGATCGTTGCCAAACCATGATCCTGCCGGAGGACTGTGAGACGGTGAAAGTTTGGGAACTTCGGAAATTCGTAGGGGTTTTTACCATCGGCTAATCCGTGGAATATTCCACCGAATAAGCGAATTAGGGGAGAAGTCTAACGTGATTCACCTTCATGGTGAAGCCTCAATCAGCTACCAGTTCTCCGTGGCCAAGATTTGGGGATACACGACGAAACTGTACATACATAGTGGTTGTAACCCCACCTACCATCTACACAGTTTTTCCATGGGTTATATCTGCAGTCATTGCAGGATAATTATAGCCAATGCAGGAGGATCGATCTTACCTACACAGCCTCACGAACGGTGTTCATCTATTCCATTCATAAAACCGTTTGTTGGGTCTTTGTAACTTGCGCACTCCGACAAGGCCTCGGAGTAAATGCCACTACTAGTAAGTAGTATCCGCGATCCACAAACTAATAGACTACTATACTCCGTGAATAAAGTCGCATGCAATAGTAATGGAGCACTTGTTATTGCCTTCCCATGCTGTGCATCGGCTAATCGACTTCTCCATACGGTTTTCTAAAAGAGAGTGCCCTGCAAGGCTGTACCTTAAACGGGGGAGCAATTGATCCAGGGCGAAACAAGTGGTGTGCGTCTTGCATACTACACTATCGCGTTAGCCATGCTCTAGGCGAGCAATCGGGCCATCAAGTACTAATAAATGCATCTTAGCTTTTCGACGGCGGCGTCCCTGTGGAACCTTAACAGTTACCGTTTGCTATTATATGATTATTAGACGCTATCGGGATGACCAAGGCGATAGTGTTATATGTTCCCCTTTCTGCAGAATGGTGGTCTGGTTTACTTTTTATGCCAGGTTTGGACCATGGAGCGACGATCTTGAAGAGTAGATACGACTCTACTCGAAAGGATGTAGTTATAATCACCGAAGGCAGTTTCGGGCAGGGTTTCGGAAACGAGCTGAAATTCACATCCGATACTCGCACGTACGGTTGAGGGGAAACTACGGAGTAATTATCACCGGATTTTCTCCGACAAGGAAGCATGCAAAAAGATACATGGAAAGAAAACAAAAAGAAACGACCGAGACGCGACTCGAACGCGCAACCACTGCCACATTCCGGAACCGGAAGGCAGCGCGCTACCATTGCGCCACCCGGCCGTTTGTTGAAATCTGAGCTGATTTTCTTGCTTTATAAGCTAGGGTGCAATGTTAGAGTTTCCACACTTATCTTCACTTCCATGTCATACCTCGAAGTCGAGTCTTCTTTGGGGAGCAGCTTTGTTCTCCAATTTACAAGTAGTTATCTCTGTCTACTACATTCCTAGATGCTTTTCAATACTTGTAGCCATGTTTATGGTCGGTTTTCACCCATTTCGTGGTCACTCTGTTGTGACCTGAAGATATGTAGTCGGCTATATATATCGGAGCCCCAACGTAACTGGTGAGTGGCTACACCTGTTGAGTAGAACTCTGCCCGTCATTTATTTTAGAGCTATTCAATTACTAGGTTCTCATGCTACCAGGAGCTTTAAGAAAATTGAGGAATTTAGTAGAGTACGAAGAACGGCTTAAAAGCTATTTAAACTTCTGCCCTATCCACAGCGGTTAAGTCAACCCTTCCACATACTCTCCCCGCTGCGATTATGGCGAGAGTAAGGGAGGCCACTGTGGGTACTAGGTTAATCAAGTCTAGTTTCAAACAGAGAATACGGTGCAATGGAGCATGGCCTCATGTTCTGTTCCTTCATACTTCTCGATTGAAGAGAATTGATCCGGATAGCTTTAAACGAACGAACGAGCAAACATGGAGATGAGTCAATTGCATTACAGAGGACCAACTATCTTGATATGCGTCAGTATTATATATTTTCATAATCAGAGAAGAAATGAAATGATCGCTTCCATTCCTAGCAGTCGCTTCTCTGTAGCAAGATTGAAAGCCTTGCAATTACAACTAGGCCTGTATGGCTTACCAAAACTACATACAAGACTGACTATGATGGAATCCCTAAAATACACAACTACTCAGGGTGATAGACCAGTAGACCCTGGTCAACAGGCTGAGGTCATAGACAGGGGCTCAAGATTAGCCCTATCTTAAAGACCGATGGCCGGCGACTGGATCCATGCTCTCTTTTTCTTTCATTATTTTCAAGGCTCAGGTCGTTGCACGGGTCGATGCAAGACTACAACTAGTGAGTAGCCACAGATGCATGTGTGAGGTACTATTGAGAACTAGATTACCGGCTAGATCCGTCCCTACTCCACAATAAAAAGTGGATATTTCTACTTTTCCCGGTATTTCCTGTCATTGGACTTTTGTTGTGGTTTGGAGTCTACTCAACGCTTTATATAAAACCAGCGAGAGACAAAGGGGGAAAAGCGAGGAGTTAACTAGGTAACTAAAACTAAGGCTCACGATACTAAATGGTTCTTGCTAACGAGCTAGTCGAGGGACCAACCTGACTAGGAAAATGCGTTTCTCTTTATCAGCTGGTGGAGATCTCAGCTCATTGTGGAGTCCAAGGGTCTTGACTAATACCAGAAATAAGTGGTCCGATCAACGAACCATTGTTCAGAGAACACTGATCTAGACCCGATCAACCCTGTCTATGACCGTACTGCGTCTCGAATGCATTAACGTCACAACATTCAAGTATTTTGTACCCCTAACCGTGGCTAGAGCTACTGACGTAGACTAGCTATACTAGTAGTCACAATACCTACTCTGCGCAGTGATATATCTCCCTCTGTAGGGAGTCACCACACAAATAGCTTTCTGATTCGGTGGCTCTAGAATTAAGCGTTAGAGTGAAGCGCGCTTGTATGCAGTTATTGACCGCACTAAGACATCAATGATACTTCCCTTGGATAGGAATGCATTTGGAGACAGGGTAATAGTAAATACGACGTTGTCATGGTCATATGACCTTCACTAGAGTGGCATAGCAGGGTTGAGTGTGGAGTAGAGAGGGTATTGCGGCCAGGGAGAGCAAGTCCCTGATTCAATTGTTCGACTTCATGATTCACCCCATGTTAACCGTGATACGACATCGTGCCAGCCTGTGAAACTATGCGATGCGATGCAGATATCACAGTGGATATGCTCAGCTCATCGACCTGCCAGGGAACACATCTTCGCCACAAGAGGGGAAACGATTTAGAATTGACTGTCTGGTGTCCTGTCTCCTGCTCACTCAACATATATAAACCCCTTCGTCGTTCCCTAGAACTTTTCTAAAACCATCTATCACAAGCAAGCTTTCTTCCAGCCAATTTTCACAGATCCAATTTCCAAGCTCTCACCCAGTTCTCAAGTGACCCAACCAATCCGTTCACCATGCGCTTCACTGCCCTCATCGCAGCCACCATGGCCCTGGCAGGCTCTGCCGCGGCACAGTGCCACGCTGGCGGCACTGCCAATTGCAAGCCGGGCTTCAACTACTGCGCCAAAACCTTGAACGACCGAGGTAACACTACACGTTTTTGTGTCCGTATTTTCCGGCGATGATGACTAACTTGATTGCCCATTTGAATAGGTGATGCGAACTCCGCTATCGCAGACGCGCTGAGAGCTTCGGGCCATGAGGTGAAGGCAGGACTTCCTGGCACTTGGGACAACTTCATCTTTCATTGCAATGATGATTACACGCTGGAGCTGGTGCAGCAGTGCGATAGCAGCTTTTGTGTGGATGGTGGCCTCAACAAGAACGATCTCTGCGGGGAGAAATGGCACCCTTTCTGAATGTATCTACGCTTTTCTGGCCAATCATTGTGACTGTGGATGGGTGCTGAACGGTGGGATTTGTTGCGACACAAGGGGGTATTCGAGTTCAGAATAGGTGCAGACGTAATCACGGGGTTTAAGATGAGGTTTTGTTCATATTCATTTCAGTAGAAAGTAAAGCTGTAGTTTGTCTTGGTTATTAACTCTGTAGGATATGTCCAAGTAAACTATCTGGTTCGCGGTAGAGAGTCCACTCGTTTGGATGAACTAAATCCATTTTCTATAAGACGTCAAAGCGGGACCTTCCTGGCCTTCTTCAATCTCTTCTTTCATGAGACAAGGCTGGTATGTCCGTGGACAGTGGATTTGCTAGACTTTGATTGAGCGGCTCGAAAGGAAGAGATAACGAAGCTATGTCCGAGAAGGTAAGTTGGGGGTCCAGACTGTACAATGAACATAGGATACTGGACGATCTAGCCACAATCAAGGACAGCAAAAGTTGTATATTCTGGTAGGACTCAGGTTAGTCTACTAAGACTTCTATACATACTACCAGCTTTCCCTCTACTGTTGTCGCAGTGTTGTGATGACTCTTCCCGATGCGGTTAGCCTAGCCTATTGCGGTATAGCGGGACAACAAGCCCTGAGGAATATTTTTGGAAATCTCTGCGCCGTCCCTGGCTCGAGTCACCAATCGACCAGGCGCAAAGGTCGAAAGCAAATTAAAAAGGAATTAATTCACTTAATAACATTCCCCCGAGCGGTGAATTTCCGCATTGTTGTATTGGCAGTAGATTTGACCAAAATACCAACACGTGTTACAGAGAAAACTGGGATTGTACTACTGATAGCTCCACATCTTGCCATCAACAACCATTAAACTTCATCCCAAGTACCACCACGTGTTGCATTTTCATCAAGAAATAAGTTGCAAGTTCCTTGAGATATAGAGCCTCGGCCGTCATGCAAGGTCCCGGAAACAACGATGGCGCGCAGCCGTACGCAACCATGGCTGGGAAGCTGGACCCCAAACTCCTTCAAGCCGTCAAGGTGATGGGCTTTGAGTACATGACGCCTGTCCAACACCGTGTTCTAACAGAGCTTCCAAACTGGCGCAGTGACTGCCTGGTCCAGGCCAAGACTGGTACCGGCAAAACCCTTGCCTTTTTGCTACCTACTTTACACTGTTTACTCCAAGGCCATTCAGCTCCACCAAGGGGTCAGGTCGCTATCTTGATCATTACGCCAACACGAGAGCTTGCTCAGCAAATTGCAAAGTCATGCGACCAGCTTACATCGCAGCTGGCGACGCCTCGTGAGTGCCACATTGCAGTGGGTGGAACGGCTCGGGCATCTGCTCTTTCACGGTTTATGAAGGGAGCGCCGTCCATCCTTGTAGCAACTCCAGGACGACTAAAGGATTACCTGTCGGAACCCTCCACTGCGGAAAAGTTGTCTAACATTCAAACGCTGATTTTGGATGAAGCCGACACGATGCTTGAGAGTGGCTTTCTAGCTGATGTGAAGCGAATCCTGCAACTCATTCCACCAAAGAGCACGGGCTGGCAAGGTATGTGCTTCTCAGCCACCGTTCCACCCAAGGTCAAGGATGTGGTTAGTGTTGTGTTGAAGCCAGGATACACTAGCATCTCGACAATTGAAAAGAATGAAGCGCCAACACACGAGAGAGTACCCCAGTACCACGTGTTGATACCGTCCGTGGCAGACACCTTTACTACGTTGGCCTCCCTTCTCAACCTTGAAATCAAGAGCAGTTCTAAGATCATTGTCTTCGGGGTCACGGCAAACATGGTTGCTCTTTTCGCAGCGGCCTTTTCTCAAGGTTTGACGCCTTTGAGGGTGTTTGAAATCCACTCCAGGCTTAGCCAGAGCGCTCGCACGAAAACCACGGCTCAATTCAAGGAGGCGGCGACGGGAATCATGTTCGCCTCGGATGTTATTGGTCGTGGCATGGATTTCCCAAATGTCGATTTGGTCATCCAGGTCGGTCTGCCATCGAACGGCGAACAGTATGTTCATCGTGTCGGCCGTACAGCCCGCGCTGGCAATGATGGCCGTGCTATCATCCTCCTCACAGAAGCCGAGTCTTTCTTCATGAAGGTCAACCGTCACTTGCCCATCCAGCCCCACCCCCAGACTGACACGATCAACGCGGCCGCTGCCTCATGCGCCGATGCCGTCACTCAGGCCATGTACAGCATTGGTGAAGACACAAAGCAACGTGCTTACTCGTCCTACATAGGTTTCTTCGCTGGGTCGGGTCTCCTGAAGCAGCTGCGTATGGATAAACCCGGCCTCGTTCAACTCGCAAACGAGTTGGCCATAAAGGGCATGGGATGCCCCGAGCCCCCACCAATGGATAAAAAGATCATTGGCAAGATGGGGTTGAAGGGTGTACCTGGATTTAACTATGCAACTGGAAATGACTTGAATGGAGACCGCCCTTCTAGACCACATGGGCGCCCTGGGAATAAGACTCGTGATGTATTAAGTCCCGGAGCTGGTCAAGGAGATCGCAGAGGTTCGGTCTCGAAGAAACGTGGAGGAGGTCGCGGTGGAGGGCGTGGAGGACGTGGACGTGGAGGGAAGCCGAGAGCAGCATAAGTTTGTTAAAGTCGGAGGTTCGCTTGTACCTTTTCTTCTCTAGTTGTATCTGCATATCGGCAAGCATTATTCTTTACAGATGTTATAATACAACTCTAGACCACTGTTGTTTTCTGCACAACCTTCTTACGAGGTCTTTAAATAGGGTTGTATGTCCACCCACACATCTAATGGTACCATCACAGTACATGGAATATAAAGCTCCCATATCATTAAACTAGCGACGTGTCTTCGGTCAGTAAAAGGTTATCCCATATGAAGTTAAGTTCTGAAAATGGCGGCTGGGAGACATCGTTTCTTGCAGCTGGATCCTGAGACGGCGGATCATCGCAATATGGGAAGAGACAATTTGCTTCAGGCATAGACATCAGTGCCGCCTCCTGTCTCAAGCTTGTCACCCATTTAGGATTATCGGCATATGTCTGATCAAAAGGGTCATTGCTTCCGTATGCTATCTCACGGGCTTTGTCTTGAACCATCTGATCAGTAATGTGGTTACCCACAGCAGCCTGCTCGCGTAGATAAACAATAAGGTCGCGTCTGAGGTTAACATAGCGGCTTAGGGCGTTGGGGATATCATTGATGAAAGGCAGGACTTCGTTACCCCCCATATCAAGAGCATCCGTCGTTTTCCAAGGATCCATGGTTTGCCGTTCATGCCCTACGAGGTAGGGGGGCATGGCATTTTCCACCAACCTGGTAACATCAGGCTCGAAGCCCCAGCAACCCTTCCATTGAATCATATCTGCACCCTTCTTGAAGTGGTCTGCGACATGATCGACTCTCTCTGGCCATGTGTCGAATCGTGCCTCGCAGAATCCACAGCGACACTTGATGTGCGTTAACGAATCTCGCCACTGGTCCATCGAGGGGTGATAGTCGACATAGTGTGTGAGTTTTAGGTGCTGTCGAAGATGATCCTTTCGAGTAAATATTCGTTGCTCTGATGATCTCTCTCGGCAGGCGAGGTAACCATGAGTTTCGAGATGATCGGAGTCTACGCCTGGGGTCTGGCAGAAGACACAGACGCGGGTACCATCAACTTCGATAAGCCCGCCTTGGGGTGCGCAAACCCATCGATCCACTGGTAAGTGAAGCGCCTTCTCATGTCGCTGCCAGTCGTATTTAGTATTGAATGTATCGGAACAAAACGTGCATTGATACGGTCGCTGGCCCTTCAAGTTTCGTTTGTTCTTGGCCTCATTAGGATGTGGAGGCTTCCGGCGACGACGGCGAGGTCTTGTATTGATGATAGGGGTGGGTGGTCTTTGGCAAGTTCGATTCGACCGATTGAACGAAATATCAGAGCCGGAGGACTGACTGTGTTCGTAGCTGCTGATTGAAGGAGCCCCTACCACGAACGAAGTGCTTGAGCTATTACTTGACACGGCATCCCGGCGGGCCGGATATGTGATGCTGTCGTCAGAAGTATATGGGATATCTTCCAGGGCTCGCAAAATGTCGCACGTTTCAGCGGGCTCACTTTCTGGGGGCGAGTTTTGCCACCTCTCAAGTGGTGATAGCAGAGAATTATCGGCGTGGTGTGTCTGTGCCGTAGGTTCACTACCGGCCAGTCTGCGACGACGTGCATTGGTAAACCAGTTCGAGATCTGGGTTACGTCTAACCCCGTCTCACGCCTCAGCTGTTCCTTTTCTTGCTCGGTAGGATATGGATAATCCTGGTGTTGTTCGAGCCACGACCGCATGATACTCACTGCAGTAGTGGAAAATCGTCGGTTCTTTCTTTTTGCTCGTCTTCTACTACCGAACCCTATGCTGGTGCTGGAGGAAGGCTCTGGCTGAAGGCTCTCGCACGAAGAACTTATGTGTGAATGCCGTTCAGATAATATATCCGAAGCTACCCTGTCAGAGAGCCCAGAATTATCGAATGTGGGCAAGTCAGGAAAATCCCTACTCAAGGGGTTTTGATAGGCATAGTTTAGACCCCCGTATGACTCAAACAGTTCTGTCGGTAGTTGAGAGTGTACACTTGATCCTTGAGACGCCACCTCAGGCTGTAGCTCATCGAATGAGGCATGGCTTGAAGGTCGGCCAGAATGTGCAACTATCTCTTCTTGGAACAGTCTGTAATCTATGTCACCGACCAGGGCTTCGTTCGAGCTTAGAGGTGGGAGCAACAAAACGTCTTCGCAGTAATGGGGAGTGTCATGGTGAGCGCGCTCCATCCGAGTATGGAAAGCTGGAAGATACTCCGTACAACAGCCCGTTCTTTTCTTGATCAGAACTCCTTGAACAGAATTGAAGCATAGGACCTACATACTCAGCGTGTGGCTGAACGATAATCCTGGATCGCTGGGTGGTAGCCACGAAAGCTTTGAAAGGAAAACTCAACTGTACGCCGGAGTAGGCCGTTAATACTGTGCAAGACGGATTCCGTGGGTCTTTTACGCCCTTTAATTGACGGCGTTTTTGGTTCCACAAGTGCTTGGCTGCTTACTCTGGTTGGGCTGTAGAGCGTTAACCGTGGATCGGATCTAACAAACGATCCTAATTTTCTGCAAGACTTATGCGTTAGAACTGACCATTCACAGGTGATGACTATCATGAATCAGCAGCATTATCCTGGATATGGAAGGCGGTATAGTATCTTCCCTCTTGACCGCCTGATCCCATGACGAGACTGCGCCCTGTGTCATTGTTAGAGTCTCCACACCCACGGTGATCCTCTCGCCGTAACCCTTTAGTAGATGTTGCAGACAGTCTTGAGTCATCTCACCGATGGGCTGCTAGGAATGGTCCTTGGAAATCAATAGCGCACAGCCAGTACCATTTGCCGCCATCGAAAGACCACCGTTTCTTCCTAGGTCAACCTGCATGACTAATACGCTGTAGTCAAGACGACCTCGACCCCGAACTTAAAGATCGGATGCATCCCGAGTGTACAATATTAAATTTTTCGCTCGATTGCTTCTTGCATTGTACAATATCTCTCGCTGGCTTCTCCACCCGGAGACACGCGTCTGTCAAGCCGTCAAGCCGATTCAATCCATCCCCGAAGGATTCACTATATCAGAACAATGGCCACAATCACCCAGTCAGTTTCCACAGCAGTCGAGCTGCAGGAGCGCAATCAGGTTGGAGGGAGACTTACCAAACATACTGGGGATCCAACACCGCCGGGGGATTCAGATGAGCTATTACAGGCCTCACTCGCAGCGGATGCCGAGGTTCCTGATGGGGGCTACGGCTGGGTAGTTATTTCTGCATGCGCAGTAATTACCTGGTGGTTCATTGGAACGTCCTATTGCTGGGGTGTCCTCCAGGCGGCATTGGTTAGGGAAGGGTTATCATCGTCTTCCACCCTGGCTTTCATCGGCTCGCTGGCCACAGCATGTATCTCATTTTTGGGCATAATCAATGCGAATATCATTCGGAGATTAGGCACTAGGATTTCGGCCCTACTTGGTATCTTCTTGCTCGGCCTGGGCCAGGTTCTCAGTGGCTTCGCCACCAAGAATGTAGGTGGCTTGTTTGCGACTGCCGGTGTTCTCTTCGGCCTTGGAGTCAGGTAAGCAAGTCGTTTCTGCTTAGCCTATTATCCAGAGAGCTAAGCCGCGATAGCATTTGTTTTATGGTAGTCTCTGCAATCCCTGCGCAGTATTTCAGGGCAAAGCGCGGCATCGCTAATGGGATAGTATACGCCGGAGGGGGCCTCGGGGGTACCGTCATCAGTTTTATCATGAACGCCTTGCTTGGTAAAGTGGGAATAGCGTGGACCTTCCGGATCATTGGTTTCATGATTTGGGCTACGGGCCTGCCAGCAGCATGCTTCATTAAAGAACGGGTACCAATTCGGCGCACGCAGTTTGTGGAGTGGTACGTTCCCCTGAAAGCCTTTTTAACATGCCTAATGCAGGACCCCGTTTTTAATTTTCTCGCAGGCGACTCTTCCGTGACATTCGATTCTCTTTGCTGTTCGCAGCCGGCGCAATTGCAACATTCCCGCTTCTTGTTCCCCCTTTCTTCCTTCCGTTATACACAGAATCGATGGGAATGGCCTCGGGGGCAGGTGCAGGAGTGGTAGCTGCATTCAACTTCTCCTCTGCGGTGGGAAGGCTGATGTGCGGCTTCTGCAGTGACCGACTGGGACCGCTGAATACCTTGTTTATGTCTCTTTTGCTCAGTGCCCTCAGCATCCTGGTCCTCTGGCCTGTTTCGACGTCTATCGGTCCGCTGATTGTCTTCGTCATTATTAATGGAATGGCCAATGGTGGGTTCTTTTCGACCATGCCGACGGTCGTTGGAAATGTATTTGGCTCCGCTCGAGTAGGCGTCGCAATGGGCATGATTGTGACCAGCTGGGCCGGAGGTTATTTGATGGTATGTTCTGCTTCCCTTGCTATCGTTTCAGCTATATGCCCCATGTCTATCCCTTTGCCAGACGTTGACGGTTCCACACAGGGCGCTCCAATTGCTGGGTATATTCTAAACGCGTCTGGCGGAGAGGATGCTGGGATTGGAGCCTATCGTCCGGCCATATTCTACGCAGGAGGCATGACCCTGAGTGCATCTTTGTTAGCCATGCTCATTCGCCTTAAGACTGATGCACAGCCGTTCAAGAGGCTCTGATATGAATGAGTTACACCGGCTTATGTCGACTGCTGCAACTTCTGGGGAGTGGAGGTATGTCTTGGGTCTACCCCATTGAGGGTTACATGGTATCTTGCAGCCTATCATTATGCTGTGGCGTCAGCAATTAGTGTCTGGCCCCCCTGGAAAGCTAGAGACGCCGAGGTTACTAGAATGCTGAAGCAAGCCTCTACCAGATTGCTGTGGGTCCTTAGTTTCTGAAATATGTCTTCACAATGGACCATCAAAAGTTCCTTGAATATTTGCCCGTCAAAGACAGCTCTGTATTGTAGTTCGCTCTTATGTTTAGACCTCATAATATTTGAACAATGCCATTTTTCCAGAATCAGAACTTCAGCCAGGTTAACAGTAGTTTTAAGCTATCCTTTCATTTTCCTATAATATCGCACAGTTAAACTAGCCAGTCAACCCTGCACCATGATGTTTACCTCGGTAGAGACACTTGTGCATGCCTTGCCCATCATAGGGAGCTGCCGTCGCCTGTGCGCGCCCCGTCAAGCTTCGTGAGGCAACTCCCAGTAGGCAACAATGTACAAGTTGCATCCACAGGTTTCTCCATTCGTCCGAAGAATAGCTCGTGTGACCTAGACACTTATGAATACTTCCTCCATGCCGACTCGTCGTGCGCCGTAGTGGGTCTGCTAACTGATCCACCCCTCTCGCGATACTCGGGTGTACGCAGCATATACCAGAACGCCGGCTTTGGAGAAGCCACGAAAGACAACACAAAACGTTCACAGATCCCCCCTGACCGCTATGTACAGTATTCGCTTTTCCAATAAACAGACAGAGGACAGTTCTCTGATATTTTTCAACCAACCGCCCCCATACCTAAGAGCCCAACAACGCAGGACTTCCTGAACAGTTCAACCTTGTTCTACACGTTATCCATATAAAATGCTCACCAAACCCCTCTTTGCATCCCTTGAGATACTCGTTTCGACCTCGCTACAGTGTCTTACCACGGCTTCCTCTACCCAGGGATGTCCTTGTCCGACATAGTTCCTATTCGCCGTTGGGTAAGACCTCTTCGGACTCCCGCAAGAAAGTAACCATCCAAACACTCCAAACCATGTACAAAAAGGGCGATCCCATCACGGTACTTACAGCCCACGATTTCCCTAGCGGCCATGTAGCCGATGCTGCGGGAATGGACGTGGTTCTTGTCGGAGATAGCCTGGCCATGGTTGCGTTAGGAATGGAGGATACAAACGAAGTGGTGATGGAAGACATGCTGGTTCATTGTCGAAGCGTGTCTCGTGCTGTCCAACACGCTTTCACTGTTAGTATTTCCTTATTCACGTCACTTGTATCCAAGATCACTCACGCCGAACAGATAGTAGACCTCCCCATGGGCTCGTACGAACTATCCCCTGAGCAGGCACTCCAATCCGCCATTCGGATGGTCAAAGAAGGCGGCATGAAAGCCGTGAAACTCGAAGGCGGAGAGGAGATGGCGCCTACCATCCGGCGAATCACCCAGGCTGGGATCCCCGTCCTGGCACATATCGGACTCACGCCGCAACGACACCATTCTATCGGCGGGTTCAGGGTCCAGGGCAAATCTGTCGCGGGCGCAGTCAAGGTATTGCGGGACGCCCTTGCCGTGCAAGAAGCTGGGGCGTTCATGGTTCTGGTCGAGGCTGTCCCCGGCGAGGTTGCTGCTTTGATAACGGAGAGGCTTCGGGTTCCGACGATTGGGATCGGGGCTGGGGTTGGCTGTTCGGGACAGGTGCTGGTGCAGGTGGATATGTTAGGCATTTTCCCGCCTGAGAGGTTTGTGCCTAAGTTTGTGAAGACTTATGCGGATGTTTGGGGAGAGTCGATCAGGGGTATTGAGGAGTTTAAACGCGATGTTAAGAGTAGGGCTTTTCCTTCGTGCGAGTATACTTATCCGATTTCCGAGCAGGAGCTGTTGGAGTTTCGGAGTGTGGTGGGTGCGGTAGTGGACCAGGAGAGTGGACAGAGTGAGTAGAGTTGGATAGTTATATGTTTGGTGAATCATGTTATTACTTCTCTTGCTACGTTATACGAATTCCACTACATGCATTCAGGGAGATAGAACAACTTTAGCACGGACAGAAGCCTTGCGTGGAAAGCCTATGATAAAACATAGTTTTATTGAAGAGTATTTGTTGAAGCGCAACCTAACATGGCAGTGGGCCTTCAGTGAACTCAAATGTAAGCAACGAAAAGGTAGACAGTGGGAGAATTCATGCATCGTCTTTGGAAAAGATTACAACGGCCTTGTTGATTAACGACTCGTCTTCCTCCCTACCATACCGACAGTATCGAGTGAGAGTGGGCTGCAACATGAACAGGACAGTTCTACCCTTATCAGCAGGGCCGGACTTTTCCTTCGCTTTATGTTCAGAATAACAGTGCTTCTTCATGTGCGGAGTGTCCTCATGGAATGGCCCCAGGGAATCGAAAGATCCAAATTCAAAGTCCATCTCATTAGTCCACATCCCAATGCAAAGGTCCCCGGCGATCTGATAGATATGGAGAAGCTCCTGGTATCGTTTAGCTTTCGCCGAGTCAGAGACGGTTTTGAGCAACGGATGTAACAAGGAAGACTCGTGGAGGAGGTTGTACGCGAGTTGTTGCAGTTTACAGTCTCTGAACAGTTTCATGTGCGTCGCAAGCAGTGGGTCAAACGTGGTTTCTCGAGTGAATGCATTTAGGAAGCGGACTGTGATCTGGAGCCACTTTCTCGAATTCCACTTGTCTCGCACGCCGGAAGGTTCAACTGTAATAGAATTAACACAGGAACATATTCTTTGATTTGATAATATACCTTGTTTACACCATTGCCATAGGTTATGGACCTCAGCACGGGAAGGGATAGAGACTTGGCCGTGCTCGCCAGTCACCTTCTCACCATCCTCGTTGAGATAGAAAAATGGATCCTCGATCACATTCTGAAACAGGTCCTTGGCCACTAAGGCTTGAGTGAGAACGAGGGGGAGAAGCTCAAGGATATTGGAAGGTAGTCTCTCCACCAACGAGGTCCAGTCGCCTTGGAGACAATATCCCTCCACACCAGCAATTAGCTTCTGCTTTTCTTCGTCGGACAGTTGCCTTTCTACGGTTACCCACTCCGCTGACCATTCCTGCAGACGCTCTTGTATGACCTTGAGCTTCTTACGAATTTCATCATCATCGTAAGAAAACCACGTAGCCCCACACAGGTAGTACGCAGGACAATCGGCAGGATCAGGATACTGTGCTTGGTCTGTGTCGTGGGGTTTGGTCTTCTCGTCAGTAGGATCCGGATGTCGTGACTGGCGTCTATCGCGCGACGAGGTCCTACCGGTACCTTCTCGCTGAGTCTGAATTGGGTCTTCCTCTGGAACGGAAGATTGGGGCGCAGGGGTCGAATACTCTCCTTTGACCTTCGTCTTCTTGGGTGGAGATGGCGGAGTTGCGGGAGCTTCCTCGGTGGGAGAGACGCTTCTTTTGTTCAGTCTCGCGGATCGTCTTCTTTTCTTCAACCATGACTTGCATTAATACAATGGACATTGTGTAATGTGAATAGTAAGTCATCTTACCACCTGATGTTTCTCTTCCTGGATACTAGGCACTGGACTGAGTTCCCGAGTCTCTGGCTCTGGGGTAGTCGGAGGTTGAGCCGTCTCGGGGGGTGCATTGGTATCTTCCTGTGATGCCCCAACATCAGTTCTTTGAGCACGGCTGAAGAATGAGTACGGCCAAAGAGGCCACCTGAAAAAACGTGATGTAGAATAGGACCGCCATACTTCAGCTTGCTTGGTGTCAGAGCTTGCAGGCTCCTCGCTCCCCTTCTTAGTCATAGCGAGCTTGGTGCTGGAACGAGACCACTAGTTGATGGATGAGAACATAGACAATACTAGTAGGGGTACTTTAATACAAGAATAGCAGAATTGAAATGAACTGGGATTGATCTGATATTCTGACTTTCGTCATGGGCGAATTCAGACATTCTTATAGGTACGGTCTTCCGGCACGGCATGCGATCTGAGAGTGAATGCTGCCCTGCCTTACGAATAGCAGGCGAAGCAGCCTAGAAGCCCACATTAAGGACCCAATAAAGTCGTTATTCTAAAATTAATGATGGGATCCAAAGATCACAAGACTTGACAAAAGTGCTTTGTGCAAGGCGCGTTCATTTGCTAGATTTGTGCAACCGCTCTTTTGAACATTGTTTACTTGCTACCACATTTCCTTAGTATGGCAGAGGTGACAATGATAGAATCTACCACTTATTCAGGGCATCCTTCGCATAGATAGAAAGAGGTTAAGCTGAATACTTGCAACATGGGCTTGTGAAACAAGAACGTAGGCAAAATATAGGCTACTCTCTTTGTTTCCCTGAACAAACAAGAGTGTATGAACAATCGTATGAAATCCTCAGGCTAAACACAAAGACGACAATGAACGAGATACTTTTTAATGTAAGCATTGAGATGCTTTGATGATAGGTGATTAGGCATAATTGTTGCTAGAGATTGATCACAAAGACCCTACATTTTGAACTGGGTGACATTACGTGGCAAACATTGGTCAATAGAGTAGGAGAAAGAGTAAGAAATTAGGTAAGAACTATGAGACAAATGCCATATTACAGAAATTGGCAAACATGCTTAGAGCCCGAATGTATTGAGCGGATGAGGGCAACCCGTACCGTGGTAGGACAACAGCGGTTGAAGAGGAATAAAGAGTAATTTATAATAACGAAAAAGTGACAGAAATATACCACTACAACTCCAATGTGAAGCTATCGACTGGAGAACTCAAAGATCTCTTAGATTGTAAAGAGAATCTGCAAAGATGCAACTGTGTGTCACGTAGTTTCTCTTTATTCTTTTTATATGTCTGGGTGGCACAGTCTACAGGATAACAATGTAAAGCTTGTAAACTGCTTTTCTTGTACGAGGCACAAGGCTATCTATTTATCTGCACAATTCCGATGCCGTTCACATTCAAATCATATATATCTTGGGGAGAATAATACACATTGTAGACAAAAGAGCGAACACCAAGTCTGCGATCAGTATTGCACAGGTGCCCCATTTAACTTGAAATATCCAGGCTGTAGTGTTTGATAGACGCCACGAGGGTCGTATGTTGCTGCCACTTTCTGCAGGCGGGCCTTGCTGTCTGCACCGTAACCCGCAATGACATCTTGGAACTGGCTGCCATAATTCATATAGATATACTGATGGGCAATACCACGCTTCTTTGCTTCCTCGGTGATGACTTTAAAGTAATCGTAAATGAAAGCGTAGACGGCATTGTCGTCGGCCGCGTTATCCCACCAAAAGGCCATATTGAATAGAATCAGCGGTCCTTGTGATGTATCCAAACCCAACGCATTGCCACCAAACTTGGTCATGTTGGCCAGCATCGGCTCCGTCAGTGCCTGGTAAATTATCACAGGGTTGCCACCCGATATGTTGGCTGCTTGCGGCATGACCTCGAAGAAGTATTCAGCCGCCCAGCGGGCGAATGATTCATCTAGCTGCGCCGCAACTGTCCAGTACATCTCCCGGTGGCCGTCGGGGTTTTGGTCATTGATATACTCGGCGTACTCCACTAGGCTCCTGGACTCGGTGATATCGGCCAATGCGGGGATGTCTCTGTATGGCTTAAAGATAGGCGGGTCTGTTGTATTCAGCGCGTATGAGAGCTCTGCAGATGCGACAGTCACTCCTTGCATACGAGCAAATGCGACGTATTGCTGGGCGTTGCCATCGGATGTTGCGCCACGGGCGACACTTACGAAAGCACTGACGACCTCCGGGAGTCGAGCTTGCTCAATGGCGCGCGTAGTCCCGCGCATTGTCGAACTCGGGATTGTATACAAGTTGAACTTGGTAACGAGACCAAGGTTATTGCCTCCGCCGCGGAGAGCCCAGTAGAGGTCTGAAAAGTGTTTTGCGCTAGCAGTCACAATCCGGCCGCTGGCCGTCACGATCTGCGGGTTGTAAGGATGTGCTGTTCACTACCAGGAGCAAAGGAAAAAGAAAACAAAGTAAAACCGGTGGGCTGGCTCACCTCAAAGCTTTCCACATTATCCAAAGCCAAACCATATAAGTTGGAGTGAAAGGCAATGCCACCGCCTGTAACAAAACCTCCCACGCCGAGGCTACTCTCACGACCGCCGACAACGGCCAACCCATACGGTTCGAGTGCCTTATAAACTTGGCCCCAGAGGTTCCCTGGCCCGATAGATGCGACCGAACGATCATCATTCAGGCTTATATCATTCATGTCAGTGAACCAGATGGTAATTCCCCCCGGGCTGCTGGACGCGCCCCGGAAAGCGGCGTGACCGCCGCTCTTGGCCGCGAACGGACACCTGGTTAGCCGAGATAGCAACACAACTATAGCAACATCTTTGTTGACGCCAGGCTTGAAAATACAAGATGGGCGAACTTCTGCCTGCTGGTTAGACCAGAAAGAGTCCGTAAAACTTGTATAGCTTGCGTTCCCCTGAGCTAGGACTTTCTCAGAGCCAAAGATGGAGTTGAGGCTAGTGCACTATTGCCATGTTAGATACGCTGGATTGTTTAGAAACGGATGTGTTTATGAATGGAAACCAACAGCTGCAAGACAAGACGATTCTGTTGATCGCTGTGCCAAATTTGTCAGGGTAGGTAAACTGGATATCTCAACGCCATAATCTTTTAACGCAGCAGTGACGTTGAAGTTGGCCGGCTCAAAGCTGCTGTCGGCTTGCGCTAGAGCAGTGCCACTAGCAACAAGCCAGGCGCCTATGAAAGAAAGCGTGCGTATCATCAAGCCAAGTAAATCACTGTATGAAAAGAAACTCCAAGGTCAAGGATTAAAAAGAGTGAGCCCAATGTGTGAAGGGGATTATATATCTTGAAACCGTATCAACAAGAAAATCATCTGATATACCCATCGACAGAGGAGAACAAATTGAACCTATAAATATTCCAAATTGTGTGGATCTGCCCATCCACCAGCGAATGCTCCTGTTGCTGAAGGATGACGGCGCAGAAAGAATGCAACGCTGCACGCAACCTGGCCCCATATGCCACGTTTTGATCAAACTAGTCTGCATGAAACTTGCACTAATCATTTAGTAAACCACATTGCTCTTCTATCTTGCAGACAATATGCCTCGGTAGATGAATATGCTATACCGCTTCGTATCATCTTGCAATTTTTGCAGTAAGACTTTGGTATGTTCATTAACCGAGAATCCTCGCTTAAACCAAAGGAATTAGTTCTTACTCAGACCTATTCCAATATAAACCTAGTCTATATTGGCCCCCAAATAATTATGGGTGAGGCCCCTGCTGATCATCCATACTAATGTTTTCTAGAAGAATTTTCCTTGCTCCTTCAAGTGGCACTTGGTATGGTTTCACCAGCCATGCATGACAATTAGTGCTTATGCTAATCAAATCCGCGGGGCCCCGTGCGCCATTGGCTTGCCGCTCTTTGCTTTACAACCCCACATATCCTACGCGACAAGAAAGTACAGTATTGCACTAAAAGGGTTAAATAGGCCAGATTGTTACTCACCGGAACTGCTGTAGCAGAAAAATGCGGGTTGGTTTGCTACGTTGTGAAGAAAAGGTCTTTCATCACTCCGACCTTTATGAATTGGTATCTTCCTAAGAAACCTAAAACAACTATATCCCTTTATCAGAGGGTAATGTTGCACTTCAGTTACGATCAAAGGTTGTACAAGACGGCTGGGAAGGTCTCTGGACGCTTTTAATAGGCCTGAGCCATTGACTTTCGTACCAACTGAAAGATTATCAAACAGTAGAATGACCATGCAAGCCATCAATAAACACAACTGCGCTGGAGGCGCTTACTTTGTTAACCGGAGGATGAAATCGTTGATTTGAATTACCCTGAGCCACATACATGACTTTGTAAACTCAACGACGAAATAGTATTATATATAATATGTCCAATCTACCACTACTTGTTAGCATCTGCGGCGTGTTGGAAATTACGACGCGACATTAACATGGAGCATACTAGGGCATAGTCCGCCCACATGACCACTCTTCTATATCTCTGTCTTTCGACTGTCGTTGAAAGACATCCTTTGAAGGCTTCATTCAAGGAACATACTACATTTTATTGGATTCCAACACTAACCCCACAGTTATCGAATACAAGAACATGCTCCTCTCAACCAACATAAATCAGCCCTGCACCAACCCCGCGATAACCATCTGTCCCCAAAAATACAGTCCATACCCAAAAGTACTCTGAATCCAACCACGGCTTCCAGGAGATTTCTTAAACGCATCCTTCGCGACATAAACGTCGCTAGCAACGAACATCGCCGCGCCAAACACTCGCTGATATTGCCAGCGGGACGAAACATCTACCGGGGTTGTCGAAGCCGCTGTGGCAAACATCACGCTGATGATGGTGGCATATACCAGGACCAATGGCTTCATATCTGCAGGAAGGGCGAGATCCAGCACATTACTCGCAGCCGAGGAGTCCGGCGGAGGATAGATTACGCCAAGCCATTTTGCGACCGCCATAGTCGCGAGGAATGTTGTTGTGAAGGTTCCCCACGAGATCACCTCATTGTCCTGGAAAAAGGCCAGGATATAGGCTATATGAGCTGCCGCAAAGGCAACAACACCCAGCTGGAAGGAGACGGAGATTTTCTTTTCCTGTTGGGGGTTGGAGTTCGCATTGTGGAACTCGCTTCGCGAGGGGATTAAGAAAAAGTCTCCCGCTAGGGAGAAAAGAAGGCCGGCAGTGATGAGAGAGCGAGTGGAAGACCACTCCCCCGAAGTCAGGAAGAGTGGCCCGCTGAGGAAAGCGACCGAAGAGAGCATCTTGAATAGGGCCGTGCCAGTGTGGGATCGGGATACGGACTCCGAAATGACCAGCAATGGGAGGGATCCCACCAGAAGGTACACCGCCGGCGGAGGTGGAATCGATAGACTCAAGGACATCTTGGCTGAGTGTAATTGTGTAAATATCTAAGGTTGAGAGGTAGATAGCAGTGGCTCCTGTTTGGCTTTTGCTTATATGTGGCAGTCGGAAAAAAAACCAATGATCAACAGTGGGGACTTGTCTGGGGAATCCATTAGCCAATTGATCGGGTACTACCGAGATCACAAGCGGGATCAGTCTGGATACCTCGGTCGAGTTCTATTTCCTATGCCATTCGTAGACTCTGTTAGACTAGTGTATGCGTTTGTTGAGGTGCAACATTAACACAAATCCTCTTGGTGCTATTTCCCCAATGCAACCGGAAGGGTAAGACACGCTACACATGCTGACCTTTTACAGAGACATCCGAACTGATACCTCCATATATAAGCGTGCAAAGGATACTGTACCCAATTTGTGGCCATTGGGTGTAAAACTTGATGGACGGAGTAGCTGCGATTGAGAAGAAACTTGAAGTACTGTCTTCCATCCAACCAAGAAAATCTTTGGACGCACACTGATCTCATTGTCGTGTTCATATAACAAAATACTCGTCGGAGAATGATGCACGTTTACTACGGCAAAACTTCACAATATTCTGTCTACATTTCATCAAGAGATATGACCTACTGTCACCAAGTCGCCTACCAATATCTGGGCCACTATAGACGAGCATCCTTTTTCTAAGCGGATCGTACGATCTGACATATATTTTGCCTAGCATCATAATTACATTTCGACCAATAAAGACTCGAATAGACGACTACAGTACCTTCCCAACTAACAGGCCAATGAAAAGGTGTCGATGTGATTGAAACCGGAGACTCTTTCAAAGTATTGAAGAGATATGTAAAACTGTGAGTACATTCACCTAAGTCTCTCGCTGGCAGAAATGGACCCTTTTTGCAAAAGCTGGGCTTAGATCCTAGCCAATATATTTGTTTTGTCGGCACAAGACTTGAAGCCAAGCAGAGGAGCAGCCTGAAGTTCCTGCCAGGTTAGGTTAATGTGGTCCATTACTTCTCCGTCATTCATATTATGTGTCCCTTTATCGATATCTTCTATAAATAACTACAAAGCCTGGAATGATGCCGAAGAAGTATACGTCAGGACTGAATGACCGTATAGAATGTAGACAAAGGGACGAGTATTCATTCACCAAGCCAGTTGATTTCATCCTATCATAATCTGCTCTATTAGTGGCTGAATACACAGCTGGGGATTAATTCAATGAAAAAGATGAATTTTTCCTATTCACCTACCGGCCTAAGCGAATGCTATAAATACCAGATATATGCCTTACAACTTCCTCCTCCTTGTCCACTTATTCCTAGGCTTCGCACGTCGACAACCCTTCCAAAGTGTATCATATACCCATATCCAAGACTGAACAGAGCCCCATCACTGCACACAAACCTATCCCACAATGAGGCTTCAGATTGTGATGCTTCTTTCTCTCTTCAGCCTAGCAGGTTCAATAGCCATACCTCCCCATGTCCGTGGTGAAGCTGGTAACTATCTTTCAAGATTTTCATACCCAGTACCATGCACAGAGGAACTAACCATATACCAACCCAAGACGAAGTCATCGCGGACTACAACACCGCGGCCGAGATGGATGCGCGGGACACACTGGAACCCAGAGCCTATCCCCATTGCCTGAGTTATAAGGAATGCAAAGGTGGCTGGTGCCACAAGGGTAACTGTCTGGACAATGTGTGCAAGGGAGCCAATATGTGCCCCAAGGGCTTTTTGTGTGATGGCGCCAACTGCTATAAGCATTTGCCTCCTTGGACGTATGATATTCCCTAGATGGACCGGTAAGTGGCATGTGTGTTTTGCGTTGACGGAAGGATGGTTGTCTGACTTGCTTTCTCTAGGGCGATGTTCCCATGGAGGTTTTGGATGATGGGGGTTTGGCTGTTGAGATAGTGGAAGAGTGATGGTCAGGTGGTGTCGTGCCCTCTTGAGCATTATTTTCCTGGCTGTGACTGCGATTCTTGATTGTTGATGCTGGACATCTTACAGAGATCTTGCGGGTAGTGCTTCGGTGGAACTGGGTGATTCTTATTGAGTGCAGTCTATTGTCTAGGAGAGTCACTCGTATGTACTTAAGTTTACAACAGGACAATATATCCGTTGACAATGCAGCTGTAAGAATACAATCTGTGCTAGTATCAAGAAAGCTAACACGATATATGGGCATAATTACAATCCATTCTTTGAAGTAGTGATATTGTAGGGAGCGACGCATATTTTATTCCTCATGAACATAGGCATAGTATTTGCTCATTAGGCCCGCTGTACATGCAGACCATATTATAAACTACATTTTTGATAACAAGACTTATTATTTTAATTCCCAATTTTAAACCCACCTCATTACTCAAACTCGAAAGAACAGGAAACACGATAACGCCACGGGAAGACAGATGGCACCTGATGATGCGATTAGCGAACAGATCATCGACACAAAGCACGATATACACTTACCCATAACCATATTCATATAGAAATAACCGACCGTTTCGGATAAAGTACCTGAAATCAGGGGACCTAGCATCGAACCCAGACTGAACGCCACTTCGGTTATGGATGAGACCCGGGAACTACCACCGAATTCTCCGAATATCTTGGGATTCTTTGCTTCCATGTCCTTGGTAGCAGCTGATAGCAATGTTAATAAACATAACTCTATACTAGGTAAAGGGAGGGGAAAAAATTCCAAGGCGACTCACCAACCAACTGCATCGTGCCCGCGCCGCGAATCAAGGTGAAAGCAAGACCGATACTAATCAGACTAGTGATAAAAATGGCTTCACCATTCGTCTCAGGGCTAGCCCAGGAGAATTTCTTCTCGCCAGGAACACCCAAGAGCCACAGCAATGGGGCCGTGAGCGCCCAGCCGATCGTCGCCGGCCAGCGGGCACCAGCTCGATCTCGAAGCCACCCAACCAGAGGGCCAAGGCACATAGAGGGAACCTGGAGGGATAGGAAAATCATACCCACGGAGAGGGTATTCCAGTGAAAGACATCGCGCAAGTGAAGGGGAAGAGTGGCATCGAAAGCGGCGATGAGGGTTGCAAATATAAGTGTGTTTGCTACACTAGCTACAACGCGGATATCACGTAGTATGATGCGATAAAAGGAGCCAGATGATCCGACTTGTTTAGTCTCTGGGGCAACTGTGTTGTAATCTCGGGACTCATTGGTATCAGATGATGGTGGAAGCAGGGGCGCCCTCTCGCTCTCCTCTGGCTCGCGAGGAGCCGTTAGCTTTGGGGAATTGGGTCGGTCAAGCGGTAGTTCTCGCCCTTCGATCATCAGTAGACGTGCGATAATATCCAGGCAGAGCACCAGCAGAGGAGCGCTCCAAGTCGGCCAGTATCCCACCAACTCCAGTAGCGTACCGGCGACGATAGGACCGCTGAGCTGGCCGGCTGTCACGAAGGTCATGGCCGTTCCCAGCGCCGTGCCCATATGGTCCAGGCCGACATTGTCAGTCAAGGTCGCAAACCCTACAATCCAAGTCGCGCTGCCAGACACCGCTTGCAAGATCCGACCGATGAAAAGCGCCTCAACTGTATGCCGGTGAGTTTCAATGAAAGCTTCGCTACAAGACATGATAGATGTGCATACTGGAAAAAGTGGAGGCCACTAAAACAGTACCTGCAAAGCATCCTGCAAGAGCGAGCAGGAGCGGGATCTTGCGGTTCGGCGTCTTATCCGCAAAATGGGCAATGATGGGCGCAGAGACCAGAGATACAAAGCCATGGACGGTGAGGACAGCAGTGGTCATCCGCTGGGTGCTGGATGCGTCCATGCGAAGACGAGCTTCGAGCATATAACTTAAGATGGGAACCACGAAGCCATATAGGAAGGTTTCTGGCCAAGGGTTGTTAGGACATTGGACGCCACCAGAGTTACAAGACTAGAGGACAATACCAGCAAACAAGGCGATAATAATAGTACAGATGATGAAGCTTCGGGATGAGCGCCATCGATAGCCCCATGGCAGCTGCTTTTCGCTCGCCATGGCTTTGGATCGCCGATTATAGATGAGTAGGTAAGAATCCTCGTGTCTTTGAATTCGGAACTTTGGCAGCCATCTTGTCTTATAATACGAAATCTGCTGGAGTTTCGCGGGAATAAATGACAAATTAACTCGACCCATGCAACACGCGATGAGCGGGTCAATGGTTCATGCGCATTAATAGTCGCTAAACGAGGCAATCCGAAAATCCGATCAACCCTGTCTGGCCAACGAGAGAGAAAGAAAGGACCCGCGGTGGATACGAAGACCTTCAGCTCAGCCGGAGGTCCGCTGCCCTAATTGGCTTTTCGTGCGTCACTCTCAGCCGCAAAGATACCGAAACGAACACCTCCCTGGGAAGTCTCATTCCAAGACAAGCTTGGGTTTGGACAAGAGTTGGCAGATTTCACTTGTCGGTTCTCCCTTTCAACCCCTTGCATCTATGTCTCAGTTTCACTCTCGCTGGGGTGTCACTCTGGATATGAAGAAGCTATTACTCCGTACATGAGCCAAACACGTACTCAGATGTCGTCCGGGAACTTTCATATCCCCAGAACGCTGATCAGTTAATCATCGTGCAGGTTTGCTCGAAAGCTGAAGCAGAACAGATCCAACAAGGGCTGCATCGAAATGGGTTGGGCGGCCCAAGCGACGAATCAACGACTGGCGGAGGAAGTCCCGATCACCTGAATGTGGATACCCTAAAGACACATCATTTCCTCTTCCTCTCAGGCTCGCTCGCATTCAGCTCACGCTGAGCATTAGGTTGATAAGCTTGCCCCCCCACCCTCCGTCCCGACCCAAGAATCTAATTTAGGATATGCCACCACTCATAAAGATGATCTGCAGGCGGCCCAAGAGACATACTATGTACCTCTTAGGGTGTATACATCCAAGAAATAAGTGCATTCGTGAAAGTAAGGGGTTACTCTTTGAAATTACTGCCACAGTCGAACCCTGACATCCAATCCAACCCAGCATCGACTTGATCAGCAGTCAAGCCTGAATAAATCGGATTGGGAACCACCCCTGGACCAACATATGAGAACAATAGATCATCAAACGAAACCGGCACATTATATTGACCTGCGTCTGTAGTTCCTGGCCCAAACTCGTCCAAGCCAGTCGGAATGTCTTGCCAGCTCCCATCATCTCTTTCAACACCGTCATCACACTTGCGATGAACAGTGACGATACCAAAATACGGTACAGCGATTTGTCGACTGGTCCCCTTCGCTAAGGATTGACAACTGGTTACTAGCTCTTCTAAGGCTGTATGGCATTGACCGCTCAGCGAGCTTGGTTGGTCTTCGGAGCAATCCTTAAGAGCAGAGCGCGTCCGGCTGATGAGAGACTGATCATACCATTCGGAGTCCAGTTTCGACGTTTGTCTCCCACGAGGTGTCTCTTCCGAGTAGATGAAGGAAGACAATGACCGCAGCGGTAAGTGCTGAAAATCCGGAGAGCTTTACGCTGTTGTCGATGCGCGCTATCGTAGGGTTACTCTCATACAAGCATAAGTAAGCTTCCAGCAGCGACCGTGCACTTTTCACACATGAGGCTCGGCCATACGCTTGCCCACTTGTACCCGAAGACTGCAAGAAGAATGGCAAGTATAGGTGTGCCTTGAGCTGATGAATGTTGGCCAGCCGATACAGCCGTGCATGCTTCTCAGGGATATCTTCGCAAAGAGAGATCTCCTCCATGTCTAGGTATCCTGCCGGGAGTTGCGAGGTAACCTCGTCGATCTGCTCATCGGTTCGAATGACTGCCGAAAGTGTTGGCTCTTTGTTTATTTGCAAGCAATCAATAAACCGGCCAGTCAACACAGACAGATGTCGTGCATGGAACTTAATCGGCGTGGTCTCTTCCAAGGGAGGGATGTATAGGTCGCAAAGGTTCTCCGGAACTGAGTACGGAAGCCCAATCATCAGGCTCACCCACCGATCTGCACTAAACAGCTGCCAGAAAAGTGAATCTAAGAGTTCTGAGTTCCTATGCGTCTGGTGAATACCGGCAAGTTGGGACAGGGTTTTGGCTCTACGGTACGCGATCCACGCTTGCCGAGGCTGCAGGGAACTCATATAGCATAGTCCCAATGCCATTAAGCATTGGAGACCGTATCTGCCAACAGCAAGATCATCATCATGTAAAATCAGCTGTTCCACCGGACAAAGGTACTTCCCAAAGTCACCGGTGCTAAATGCAAAACATAGAAGCAATATTGCCTGGAGGCAAGGATGCCCAGTACGAAACGCCCGCATTGCGAAGCTCTGTAGGTCAGAATCGTTTTCTTCGCCCCAGCCCAATGCAAAGGATTCACGCCATGTTTGCCACCAATGACTTCGAGTGCGAAAGATCTCGACCATCTCTGACTCGGATGGCAACGCCAGACAAAGTCGGTATAGAACATCAGCACGTTCTTCTATATGCTTTGTGGAGTTATGGTGAGCGCTGTCTTTCCGTTGTGGAATTGTTAAATTCGACAAAGCCTCTATGTTGGGCTGAGGTTGACCAATCTGCACATCATGAAAAGAATGATACAATACTAGACCTTCTATATAGGGCGATTTCTTACCCGCTCATGATTCAATAATTTCATGATTGGCGCACAGCCACTTTGCATAGTATCTCAGTTGGCAGTTGCGCTGTTGGCAGCCGCACCCATTGCATGTTGTGGGTCACCCTTCAGAAATATCCTGACTATTTCTTTCAGTTGCGCAAGTGCTTCAAGAACATGAACTGACGCATCCGACTGGACGTTTGGTAAATTCCTTACAGTCACTGGGTCGCCTCGTGGGATCCCCGAAGAGTTTGATTCGAGCCATGATTATGCTCGGATTCATCCGAGCCCTGTGGGACACATATTGTTCGTCGTCTTACACAGTAGACGCACCCTTCGGAGTTACCTGGAGTGAAGATACAGCGGACCTTTCGCCGCCGGCCTGGGCCCATGTAAGTCTATATGCGATTACTTGAAATAACTCGGTATTGTCAGAGGTCCACATAAAGGAAATGCAACTATGCGTCCCCTTCCTCATTCGCCTGGCTGCAGGCATGGGTTTAGCCTAGCCTAAATCCCTTTTTGTTAGGTTCGGACGAGGCTCAAGGGATCGGATCATGCGGGAAGACAAGGGAATATCTTGAAGAATGTGGAACCATTCCATGCGATTCTAATTCGCTCTTTATCAGTTTCGTCCGAGGCAGAACTTGTTTACTAAGCAGATTCGTCCTGGTTTGGACGAATACGAGATATAATCCTAAAGGAATGGAGGGTTTATAGGGGAAATAAAATGGAATAATGCGTCCATCTGTGTTGCGAGAATCCACATCAATCTCCTGCGTTAAGAGCAGTTGCATCACCTCATAATGGCCCTCTTCTGCGGCATGCGATAAGGGTGTTCTGCCTTCAAAATCTGCCCGATCTGTAGCCAAGCTGGAGTGCTTGATAAGAAGTTTGACGGTGTCTGCAAGCCCCTCTTGAGACGCCATAGCTAGGATGCTAAGTCGTGCGGATCTAGAAGCTCTACTATGAGCTTGAGCACTTCCAGCGGAAGAATGGGCATACTTTGGAATCGTCAAGAGGCAATTTACATACTACGGATGCAGAGACTTGTTAGGGACACTATCATACCCAAGCTCCGACGAAGCTGAAGGAACATGCCATGTATGATCCTTCCCCAGCAGCATTGGGGACCTTAAATTTCGCTGCCGGCAATCTGAGAGAGACTCTAAGGGCTATATCTTGGCTGCAACATGACGATAATAAACCAGGCACCAATGCAGGCCCTGTACTCAATGATCAAAAAACTTAAAGACAGCTTTACACATAAGTAAAATAGAGAGGAGGAGAGGGGGAACTTCTTTCGTAGTACCCTTAATCACTAGCTCTCAGTGATCGATAACCACTATTTCCCCTCTCACGAAGAGAGGGAAAACATATCATTCAACGCATTCACTAACAGTAACCAAATCCATAGAGCTAGATAGTGTCGGTCCATGATGAATTCCAGACTGCGATATATATTCTTGGAAGAAACTCTAATGGACTGATGCTAAAATAGTTTAAGATGACTAAATAGATAATTGTTGCACTAAAGTTCAGTATCCCAGCCATGGATGTTGGTGATAGCCAAAGGTGGGCTACAGATTTTGGCTAGCTGTACTGATTTATACAATTTATGACAACTCATGACAACTCATGATCGTATATGATCCACGTATCACTCTTCGTTGGCTGATCGTCGTTTTCACTTGGCTTGCCTTATATGCTTTTCCTTCTCGAAAGAAAGCTTTCACCGTGTCCTGCGTCCTTCCTATTTCGTTCTTCTCAATGTCCAACAAGCGTCATCACAATGCAGCAATAACCGATCCAGAAAGCCGAAGATAGCTAACATACAGAGGTCAGATGATGGAGGACCCAGGAAGGAGATTCGCAAACTTTTCCTCCAAGTGCTTCTCTAGCATTCTCTTATGTCCATCCGAGATCTTCCCTGCGGCTTTCATTCTTTGCGCCAACTCTTCAATACACTCATCCAAAGTCTTCACATTGTCAGTATTCACTTCTGCCTGCTTAACAGCGACAGTATGTGTCCAAAGGCTTTCCAGCTCTTCTCTCCATCCCAGCGAATCAGCTAGCCGCCGCACACCATCATCACACGACCCAAGGATGCACACGTCCGATTGTCGAGTGCCGAAATCCCCGACCTGTTTCATATTCACGAGCATTCTGGGCGTCCCCTCTTTCACCAGACGTGGTAGTCTTGAACATGGCGCCACTTTGAGACTTGTCCCCATAACAATAATCAAGTCTGCGGCAGATACCCTCTTCTCCTCGACTTCGAAGGCGGCAGGAAGAGGTTCCCCAAAGAAAACCACATCAGGTTTGACCGCGCCGCCACAGTCCGGGACCTGGCAGTACGGCACCTGGCCTGTTTCAATTGCCTCAGCCATAAGCCCATCCGGGTATGGCGTTTTGCATTTATGGCATCGCTGGCTTTTCCAGTTTCCATGACAGGAAAGCACTTTCTCTGCGGGGACACCGGCATCTATCTCGAGACCATCGATATTCTGCGTGAATACGAAATCAAGCAGGTTCTTCTTTGCCAGCAAAGCCAGAAACGCATGAGAAACCGTTGGTTTGAGGTTCTTGGGATTGCGGGCTCTGGCTAGCGCGTAGAATGGCTCTGGCGTGTGTCGGAAATAGTTGATATGGAAGATAGCCTCTGGGTAGGGAAGCTTTAATGGCGCCAGTTTATCATAGAGGCCTGTTCCTGGTGATCTAAAATCGGGCACACCAGCTGCTGTAGAGATACCTGCCCCCGCCAGAACGATGATGCGGGCTATCTTCTCACTTCTGATGAGATTTACAATGTCATCCAGGGCATATTGTTGGCTTGTGGGCGGTTGATTAGAATGGTCTGTCATGATTGTAGTTCGGTCTTCTGGCTATCCTGAGGGTATGGAGCTGCAAAGTTAAGGAAAGTTCAGAATAAGTTCCAACTATGTAGTTATTTGTTACGGAAGACCCTTCCTTAGCCATTAGGCCTAGCTTGATTGGTGCCGCGTGGCAGAGAATCTAAGGCTATGTTTCCATCAACTGTGTAAAACCCCGCTTGAGAGGCTGTGTCTGCAGCCAAGCTGTGAGGCTGGACCGAGCCACATGCTTGAACTTTGCCAATAGACCTAGCCCTGCCCCCAAGTCACTTTTTAGTGAGGTAGAGCATGATGAAAACTTCACGAGTCATGCAGTCAGATTTAACCGTCCATCAGTATTATGTAGAAGAAACCTATTGCTACAAACCCGAGTATGGAAAGAGGATCTCTACAGTGTAATGACTTCTCATAGGGAAAAAAAATCAACTCCATAGCTGACCGTACAATGATAACTTCGCACCCCTTTGTATGTGAATAAAAATACACATGTATGGGCTACCCAGTCATAGACGTGAGGTGAATGAAGCAGGTCACCCGATCCGGCTTTCGCGGTGCTCTTATTATTGAATGTAGTGGAGTAGTTGAAAGCGTTTGGTAGATTCACTTGTTCCATAGCGTCTTGCTCAGGTATATAACAAGGCAATGGCTAGTAGTTCGATTGAAATATTTCGCCTCTGTTAGATTGACTGCCTTTTGACCCATAGAGTGTCTTCCGATAAGAAACAGGTCAAGTCTATCATGACGCTCTACATGATATTTCTCTTGTTTATCTGCAATCTGGTTGCTTCGCTCAGCTCTACTCCTATTGCTCCAGATAATGATGGTAAGCAGCAATTCACCTTCCTTTCCACAATTAGAAGTTTTGCATGACTGAACACCCTTATCACCGATACAGCTTCCTCCGTTAGCCAACCCTGTCGAGGCGTTGACAACCAAGACCTTTGTGAGCCGATGCCACATTTGTTGACGGGCGACACCGGTGAAGACAGTGAGTAGAAATCCAAGCAAATACTGCAGATAAAACACATCAAGGACTAATCATAATATCCGAACAGGCCAACGTAGATGTTTCGGCGACGGGGACTGCCCTATCAACTTTCACTGCCACTTGGGATACTGCCTTAGAAGCCCGCGCGATAGTTGGAAAAGAGTTGTCCGTGACGATCTTCAAGGAAAGTACTGCGTTGTATTCCTGACCCGGGAGATGTGGAAAGAGAAACTAACGTAATCACCTGCACTGCAGTAGGCAAGTGTAACACCAGTGTCGACTGTCCTCCAGGATACTACTGCTGGCGTGGAGGCTGCGTTCAAATCCCACGTCCTGCTTCGGAGCCACTTCTCCGTGAAGACAGCGATCGTCAGTATTGCCCCATATCTGGTTACCCAGAGGAGTAAATATTAATCGCCTCTAAATAGAAGATTCGCCCCCTGCAGATGCGCAGCGATGTAAGCATGTGACCGATTGCCCAGTTGGCAAATGGTGCATGGACGGATTCTGCTGGCCATTTGATCAATCCACAAAGCTAGCAGCCCGGGACGCAGATATTGAAGAAGCCTCACATGATATGAAGACTCAGCAGAGATGCCATCTCCATGTGCAATGCGGGCCAGGTGGGCTCTGCATCAATGGCTGGTGCCAATATGTGACTAATACGGTGTCTCTGGATACCACAGAAAGCATTGGAGTAGAGAAACGCGACATGCAGGGACCTCGCAAATGCACGAGTGACCGAGACTGTTACCCTCGAGCGGTCTGTGTGGACGGCAGATGCAATCATTCCCACTGAGGCGAAGACTCGTAATGTTGAACCTTCAGAGAGGAAGACACCTTAAGCTAGTATTCTATATCTGCTAATTTGCAATGGAGGCCTGGTGGATACGTTGCCTTCAATTATTTTGTTCCTAGGCTATTACTTGAGTGGCAGCCGCTGGAGAGACTCACCATACGTAATATCAGATAAGTGGAAGAGAAAACCATGTCCACCATTTTAAACCAGCAGCTTCTCTTCGATACGATATGGTGTATTATTTGTAACGCAGGCCTAGCGAACAGTCTGAAGGTCCTAATACGCCCCACTATCCCAATTACGCCGACTCAATACGCCCTTGAGGTGACACTCCGTTGCCCGTCCCGCTCCCCTGCATTGCTTTGGCCAGTCATTTGCGCTGTAGCCTCTACTTCCACAGATATTTAAAATGAAGCAGCAGGAGGAGACTCGCCCAAGATGAATTACGAATCAGGGGGTGAGAAATTGGAAAATAGCTTTCCGGCGACATGATTTTCGATCCACAGGGGGCCCTTCGTACTGACCCTGCATGCAGAATAATACCAGTCAATCTGTACATCAAATCCTAACCTGGGTTTAAGTTCTGCCAAAAACCTATAAGCTCAGGTATTTCCTAGTGGGTGCTCAGGTTTAATGGTGAGAGGAATCTGGCCAATGGGGGGTACGATCAATCGATTCGGTACGACTAGTACTTATACTCGCTTTGTCCAAACGACGTAAGAGTTGCCCATGACGGTCAAGATGTTGCTCGTCTTGGCAAGTGATATCATGTCATATAGAGAATTAGCAAGATCTTTTCTAAGGTTCAGCCTATCTTAAGACTGGAAAGTCGAATTGTGACCAGCATATGCTGGTATACCGGCACGATGAGAATGGGACACCAAGGAGCCTCGATACCCTTTGTGCTCTGCTCCGCTAGGGTAAACAGGGGCCCATCCAATGCTCTTTGTTTAGGGCAAGCACCCGATCAGCCATCCAGCTTACCTCTAATGAGTTGTATGTTCATTCGATATTTTGGGAAATGAACCCTAGTAAGCCGGCTCGTCAAGCGCCGGATACCTACCAAGACAAAGAAAAGCATAGATCTTGGAGTGATACGACTTTCGAAACCCTCGACATAATATTAGCACAGAGCCGCTTTGTGAGCGCCCCGCGAGATAAAGTTTTCCGCCCTAACAAGCCCACGGTAATCCGACGATAACTCCTGGACCCGAAGTGGCCCATGGAACAGGATTGTGATAGAACTGTGCTGGTTATCCTGCACTTTTACTTATCAGCTATAGCTTGGCATGATTATGAGAATGAGTCGGTACACTCTGAGCCCGTCTGTCATCTCACGTAGATATCAACAAGATCAACCAGGTAGACTTACAGAGGGCCAGGACGATAAATGCAAGGTATGAATAAACAATACTAAAACTTGACTGAAGTAATGTAGGAGCCTTAAGCACACACATATCCCAAATACTAGCCTTCATGAAATATTTGCCCGTCCCCTCAAAGTGGAGAGAGTAATTTGAAAGCTTAGTATAAGTACTGCTGTTTTTCCCAAAGCTTTCCTGACATTCAACAAATTCCCTGAATCCTAGTTTTTATCATAATGGTTTTCTTCCAGGGCCCTAAGCGGCACTTTCTGAGTCTTTTGCTCGCATGTCTTGCAGTGCAAGTATTGTCCCTCTCTATTTCTGAAAGAAAGTGTGACAGTAAGTAGCCACTTCCACCCCTGCTTTAAATTTACCGGAGGTATTCACTATTATTTGGCAAAGATTCCACACCAGGCTGTGAACCAGCAAAAGCCGAGGGCGATAGCAAATCATTGGAGCCACAGTATGCCATCTGTCTACTGACACACATCTGCTCGTGTACTCACCGCAAACGTTATAGAACATGTTCTGGGGCTTCCAGCAAGCAGCGCTATATTGGACTCTATGAGCCATGGCATCTTGATCGTGGGTTTGGTATACTTGAGATATTGGACATCAATGTGGAACCCTGGACCGTGGGTTTAGAACACTCCTTCCACTTGTTTAACCCCTCGATGACTAGAGCCAAGCTGATAGTCTATAGCATCTCTACATGCCCGACAGTCCTTTTGGCCCCAGTTATACTCTTGAAGACACCCGGCTTTTCAAAGACTGGAAAGACTTTACTGATCTGAAGATCAAAAAGCCGTCCCTCAAGACCTACTTATCCGTATTTCATTTTTTGGACGAAGACAATCAATGGCCCAACATAACTCGCTCTTTTAAGGATCGGAAGTATTTCATTGACAAATTCGTTAAATTCATGGAAATGTACGGATTCGACGGTCTTAATCTTGACTTGTCAACTGCATATATACCAGGTATTTTATGGGAAAGTGTCAGTGATATATATTGGCCTTCCTACTGATTGCTCCTGGTATAGAGGATTCGCCTGATGAGGCAAAGAACTTTGTCGCCTTGCTTCAGGAGCTTCGCGAGTCATTTGGTAATCGGTATGGTCTATCAGCTACCGTCGCGGCCACAGAATGTAATTTTACCCGTGAGACTCATTTGAAAACAGGACGATCTAATCCATAAAATAGGCGGCCTCAGGGGTCTCGACCTTTCTGGAATAGCGGATCATCTTGACCATCTCACTTTCTTTCCATATTCTGTCACCAGAGGATGCCGGAAGCAAGAACCGCCAAAGGCAGAAATGGATACCGTATTTGGTGTGTTGTGAGTATCTTCGCTTTCTTTCCAAATGCTAAACTTGACTAGGTATCGAACATAGCCTTAGGCGGTTACGGGAAGCCAATATTGACCCTAATAAGCTTTCAATGGGATTGGATTTGGCTGCTGATACAGACAAATTTGAAGATCCAACGTGCAATACCCCCGGATGTCCTTCGGTACCACTTAAAGGTCAGGGTTTCTCGGCATATGAACTTGAACGTATCATCGAACGCGAGTCACCAGAAGTGCACTATAATGAGTCCAGTGCTTATAGTTGGTTTATCTACCATGGAAATCATGATTACTTCGATGGGGATCGATTGTACCAATCCCCGTCACAGCTTTTAGGAATGAAGTATACTGATATAAAGTAGGGTCAGATTCAGGAATGCCGAAGCGTTGAAGAAAAGGGCCGATCTTGCCAACAAGCATTGTCTCAGGGGCCTTTTGGCTTACATAGCTGAGGGTGGACCGGCATCTTTGAGAAACCCTAATGATTTGGATCCGTCTGATAAGAACATGCGAGGCGCGCCTTTGACCAATGATACAAGATACAGTACAATGGCTACGCCCTTCACTCCGAGCACACAGAGCGCCAGTTTGAGTACTGCAACTAACAGCGACGCTGACGCTAATGGCAACACGGAAGGATTATCCTGTCACCCTGCAATTGGTAGTGTCCATGTTCCAATTGCTCAGCTGGATTGTGATTCTAACAGTACTTCAACTGCTTCTCACAACTCTGATGCACCAGTTAATGCCGAAGAGGGTGCCCCTAGCCCTTCTCCCACTGCTCCCCACGAAACTGGTACCCCCGACGAACCCAGTGCAACGGGTCCTAAGCCCACTCTTACTGTTGCCCACCGAATTGGTAGTCCGATTGATAGCACAAAGAAGGCTGATGATGAGGGCACCACTCCTGGCGAGCCCACAGCTGCTCCCTGAAATCCCACTGGCATATGATAGCTCTATCTTGGGACCCCACTCCGACTTATCATTGGGGCCTCAAGGTGGACGCAATTCCTGCGGATATGTTCAAGGTTGAGTGGCCAAGTTATCATAAAGTGGCTGTCGTATCTTCAAGTGAGAACATCGTACCCTTCCGGGTATAAGAAAATGGGCCCACGTTCAGTGATGGTGATTATTTGGTAAATTTCTATTTTTGTATAATCATTGAGTTGCTGTTGACTTTTTGCCACTATAATACAATAACTTTTTGTGTATTCTTCTACCTACATCAATGCATAAAGAGCATGAATGAATCCTGTTATCTTATTCGACAATTTGCCATTGTTCAAGCCGCCAAAATATATGATTTTTCACAGGAGCCGCACTTGTTGACACGATTTCAGAGGCTATCTCATTGGCGTCAGTCCATAACTTTCATTAGGGCATATAAACAACTATATGTACATCGTCACTAATACAACGCTATCATGGGATCTCATTATACACTCTATCCTCGATCTTTGGCGGTTGCAGAAAGTCTTGAGGCACAGTTTCAGGAAGCTGATTGCGTTCTGCCCATTGCCGAATAGCTTCAAAGTTCCGGCATTTATGCCGTGTATTGAAATCAACGAACGGCTCGGGGTTCTCTGGATGGACCCAAACTTGGCCAAGGACGCCGATGTCAACGGTGCACATGAGCTGCTGTCGTATAATGTCCAGGCAATGGGCTGTGTTCATGATTAGCATACGAAGAGCGATCATATAGAGCAAACTATCAATACGTACACACGTGGCGTCGGACAATATAATCTTCGTTCACGAAGGCACCCTGGCCCTGCTCATGGTAGTAGTCGTAGTTGTAGTAGAGGGACTGTCTGAGGAGATTCTATTGTTTGTTAACACGGTCGCCTTAGTTATAAATAGTGTCAATGGGGAGAAGATAAACATACCAGACAGTGTAGATGATGCAACCCCTCAATGTTTGCAGGATACCCTCCACCATACTTTTCGCTGATCTTCACTTGATCAGGAGCAAGTCCCGACTTTTGAGCCTCTTCTGCAGGGACTCTAAGACTTCTGTCTGCACGGCTGTTAGCTGGATTTCATGCTGCATAAAGCGGCTAGGAACATACAGTTGACACCAAGAGCTTCCCATGCAGCATCTACTTCAGGGCTTGCTTCTTGCCGATATATGTTTTCTTTCAGGAACGAGCCATTGAACTGTTCTTGGTGGTATTCGATCCCGACTTCGGGGATTACGGGGGCTATACTTGTGTTAGATATACATCTTTATCTTCTCTCCTCTCATATACTTTTTTTCTTCCGGGCTGGGGCTAAGAACTTACAGTATTGCGTGAGTTGCCGAGTGCAGACCTTATCCAGATTATGCTCCTGACGTCCCAGAACAACGCCTACTAAGCAGGAGAATACGGCGACTGCGACCAAAAGAAACCATTTTGCACATCTTTTGAATAGGCTCTCATTCTGCTTCTGCTCACGAGGCCAAGTGGCCTCCTCATCGGAGAGAAGCTTCTCGTCCACGTCGGGATCTGATACTGAATGGCGCATTCTGCCTTGAGTGTCGCGAGGAACAAATTATTCAATCGCAAGAGAAAGGAACACGACGAAGAAACAAGGGCGATATAAAGTCGGTGTACCCAGGGTGGCAGGAAATTTCGAAGCCGATGTTTAATTATGGCGTCCACGGTGGCCAACTCATATACGGCGCCCCACAGGAAATGGATGGCACGTTACGGAACTCGACAAGTCATTATGCAACCGAGTACAATAAAAATAGGATGTGAGACAAGGCCCGCCATTTCCAAGAAGATCCCCGAGGCAACCACTGTGTGCTGTAAGACAACAGCCCGCCTAACTGCATGTATGTCTCAGTGGTTCATCTAGCCTGCAGATGACGATAAGAGCCGATCAAATACGAGTGGCTCTTGGCCTGCGGAGAAGCTTGGGGACCCATCCACTCCACCGTCGAGACTGCGGTCCATGAGACAATGATGTAAGGCGTATTGTCTCCTAAATTAGTTCTCTACTGCGAATTTACTCCTCTTCCCATCAAGCTGCTGCCCGGTTGGGTCTTTTTACCGGCATATCCGGTCCTTTTGTGGCGACTACCCCTCGACTGCAGGGCACTTCCTGGCCTGGGGCTTGGAAAAGGTGGGATTTTGTGCGGGTCAAGGTAGCACTGCATTGTTTAGCCACAATGTATCATTCGGAACAGTTGTTATTGGTACGAAGAACGGGTTGAGTAGCTCGTGTCCATGGTGGTTCATCCAACTCAAGAGACATGCCCAATGACAATGCCGGGACAATTTACGAGATGGAGTAACCGATATGAGTCTATATTTATAGAAGCATCTCGGTGATAGCTTCTACGGGTCTCGGAGATCCTATATAAACATTTCCTTCTTCCCTCGGTGATCAGCTTCCATTCAGCAAGCCTCTGAACCGGAAATCCTCTTCTACAATCAAAGTTCAAAACTCTTCCAAGATGCACTTTACAAGCAAGTCCCTTCTGCTCGCCCTGGGCACTCAGATCTTGGCTGTGAACGCCGCTCCAGTCTCGAGTGCCTCTTCCTCCGAGGTCAGTCAGCCAACGCCTCCCGCCGGGGTTGCTCAGTATGGCAACTATGGAGACTATGGCAAGTACGGCAACTACGCTTCCTACGGCTCCTACAAGAGAGATGACGTCCCCGAGGGTGAAGGTGACGATGCTGAGCCTTCCAGCACGACTTCGGCCACTGAAACCCCTACCCCTACCCCTATCAACTATGGCAACTACGGCAACTACGGCCAGTATGGCTCCTATGGAGCGTACAAGTTCGAGAAGAGAGACGACAGCAGCGCCACGTCTACCTCTTCTACTACTGAGACGCCCACTGAGACGCCCATCAGCTACGGCAACTATGGCGGCTACGGGAACTACGGTGGCTACGGCTCGTACGGCTCGTACAAGAGGGACGAGGTCCCCGAAGCTGACGAGAGCAAGACCACTACCGCATCTTCGACCCCTACCGCTACGCCTGTGGACTATGGCAGCTACGGTAACTACGGCCAGTATGGCTCCTACGGAAGCTACTCAGAAGCTGCTGTCGCTCAAGAATAAGCTGCGAGTGACGGTTGTGACCATGTAACACGGTCGCACTTGATGTGTAACGAGGCAACTGCCGCTATGAATGAAATTTACCGAATAATGAGGACTTCCGGCCCATGGACGTCAAGGCTGTCAGCATGAACTGAAAACGTGAGACTGCAAGGGGGAAGTGCCAGCAAGGGATGTGTGACCGTGGTTTGTGCCAGCAGCAAGGATGGCCGTGGTAGATGGTGGATTGGATGGCAATAGTTCACGTGGACGGATAATGCTTATTGAACATTCTTATCATTGATCATATGTCGTGACTAGTTAATTTAAATAGCATAAATATGTTGTGATCCATGTGTGTGCCTGCAGTATAGTGTTTTGATGTATTGGAAAAGTTCACTTGGCGATGCTTAGCCGCACTAGCGAGGCCAAACACTGAGAACTTTTCCCTCGAATTTCTGACAATCTTCCTTTCACAAAGCGAGATTGGACAATGTGCATGCCTGGATTACAGGATTACCCCGGGATCGGCATATTGGGCGATAGTCGTGGTCGATACTTACCCCATGAGTCATGGATCTGCATCGATCCAGCTGGCGGCCGACTCCGGCGTCCACTTAAGCCCGATTATCAGGCCTCTCTGCAAAGCGTATTTGTTAAGCTGATTGCTCCTCGGGCCGATTTAAACTACAATGGGATTTAAAAATCTGACAAGTCCCCCTGTCCCTACTCGTTCTCTGAAAAAAACAAAAAAGCAGCGTTCTCCCTGACTCTTGCTCCTGACTCCTCGGAGCAGCCCATTCCAGCACCATGGGTTTCTTAGGTCCGTGTCGTACGCATTCGCGACTGTACGCAAGTTGCTAATATGCCGCAGAGCCAGAGAAGAGCGCCGATGGCGAACTGTCGCCAGAGGCTCCTCGCTCCCTGATTAACGAGCGCAAGCTGATGGCGAAAATCGACTGGCACGTCGTACCGTGCTTGTGTCTCATGTATTTGCTCGCATTCTTAGACCGGTCAGTTGGAATGCGACTCCTAGTTATGCGCCGATACTAACCGACTGCGCCGACAGAGTGAACATCAGTAACGCGGCGATTCTGGGTTTACAGGAAGACCTGAACATCGAGACGGGCACGAAATACAACACCGCGTTGACGATCTTCTTTGTTCCTTACATCATTTTCGAGATCCCGTCCAACATTCTAATGAAGAAGCTGAAGCCTCATCTTTGGTGTACGATTTCCGTTAAACCTCCATGAATCGAACGAATGTTGACGGTCGCTACAGTGTCATTATGTATGTTTGGCTTCGGCTTGGTCATGATCTGCCAGGGTCTGGTGTCGAACTGGGGAGGACTGATGACTACTCGCTGGTTCTTGGGCATGTTTGAGACTGGATTGTTTCCTGGCTGTATGTTCGACTCACCCGATTTATACGGTGGCGAGCTAACCGCGCAGGTTTCTATCTGATGGGCATGTGGTACAAGCGCAGCGAAGCCCAGAAGCGCTTTAGTTTCTTTTTCAGCTCCACCACCCTCGCGGGCGCCTTTGGTGGTCTCCTGGCCAGCGGTCTCGGCAAAATGGAAGGTTTGCGCGGCTATCGAGGCTGGCGCTGGGTGTTCATTATCGAAGGTGTTCTGACCTGCGTGGTGGCCATCATCTGCTACTTCCTGGTTACGGATTTCCCAGAAGATGCCAAGTGGCTCACTGAGGAAGAGCGCGAGTTTGTCCGCGAAAAGCTCGCTGCCGACACGGGCAAGGCTGCCCCAGATGCTAGGTTAAGCTTGCGCGATGTGTTGGGTGTTTTCAAGGACTGTGAGTACTTGTCACAAATCGTCCGACTTCAGCTCCGTCGCTAACTGTCGCCTCTGCAGACAAAATCTTTATCGGTGGATGGATGTACTTCGGCCAGGTTGTCACGGCCTACGGTATGCGCTGGCTTTTTTTCTTCATGTATTCGTTCCCTCACTGACCTCGCAGGCTACGCGTACTTTGCGCCGACGATCATCAAGACCTACGGATACGGACCCATCAAGACGCAGCTTTATTCCATTCCTCCCTGGGCGGCGGCATTCGGCTTCTCCATGGTTGTCGCATTCCTTTCGGACAGGTTTCGCCATCGATTCGCCTTCGCGTTCATCCCGATGCTGATTGCGATGGCTGGGTACGGAATTCTGCTCAATATCCACGGCGAGGCGCAACGGCACGTGCAGTACGGAGCCCTATTCCTCGTCACCATGGGGTGCTACAGCGCAATGCCAGTCCTGGTGTGTTGGTTTTCCATGAATTTAGGAGGCCATCGGCGACGGAGCGTGGGAACGGCTTGGCAGATCGGCTTCGGTAACAGTAAGTCTGCGCATTGCTCCTATCAATAACCAAGATAACTAACCACGACTTCAGTCGGAGGAATCATTTCGACGTACTCGTTCCTGCAGAAGGACGCGCCGCTCTACCGCAACGGATACATCATCAGCTTGTCCTTCCTGTGTTTCTCGGCGGCCATGGCCGTCGTGTACTTCGTCGCGCTCTGGTTCGATAACCGGAAACGCGACCGAGCAATGGCGAACGGCGCCGTCGATAGCGCCACAGAGGAGCAAGAAGAGCAAGAGGGTGACATGGCGCTGACTTATCGCTACAACTATTAATCAATTAGAAATTAATGACATGTGAATTGCCTCGAAATCTTCGCTTCTTGACGCGATCGCCCCCGATACCGGACGGGAGGTAGCATCCGGAGAAATTAGAGCAACAGTAGTCTAAGCTATGTGTGGATCCTGACCTTGGGGTAGCAACCGAATAATGGGGCGGCCTTCCCGACTCCTCATTCTTTGCCAATGAGAGACATTTAGTGGATCTCGTAGCCCCCATATCTGGATCTCAATCCTCGGTTCCTCAGGGTCAGTTGGTCTGATCGCTAGCTTCGGCATTGGCAGCGACTCGGCGCTTCCGGATCACTTGGAGCTGTGCTTTCATAATTTTGGGAATTTATGCGGAGTTTTCCGTGCTTAACCATCTAAAGAGAGCTGTCATTACCTTGAAGAGTCATCGCTGTCCCCTATTTTACTTTAATACTTCCTTTTCTCCAAATCCCCAACCTGGAAAGGATGTGCGGACCCCCACCGACCCATTGTATAATCTTTATGGCCCTCCGCTGAGTCCTCTCAACAGTATTGAGATGAAGGGGTGTGTTAGCTCCGACACCTCAGAAACCCGTCTTTGTAACCTAGCCACTGCGAGGTATAGCATTTAACTAGATGAGGGACCTGTTGATTTCTCAACCAAATGGGCGGATAATTGCTCGCTGCTGGTTGAAAATAGAACTCTGGCCAGCAGTTGAAAAAAGAAGGCTGAGTAAGTCAAATTCGGATTCTCCTGGTTTTCAAACTACTTTGGTTTCAATACATAATCTCCTGGTTCGCGGTACGATTCCACTAGTATTACATCTAGAGTAGTATAAAATAGAGTAGGGGTATCACTACTGTAGTTGAAAAACCACTCTAGTTTTCGAACGCACATTTAGGGTGCGGCTCTATCCAGTCTTCGAAACAGGTAACAAATAGATTAGTTGTTTCATCAAGTTATCCATAGTTATTTTTATGGGCGTTTGACTTATTAACAGAAAAGAGGCAGTGATATTAAAGAAGCCGAAAAGGAATCCACAGGTACAAAGAAGCTAACACATCGTAAGGATCTTTGTTTCTTGACAGAAGCAGGACAGTTGTTCCAAAGCTGCCTTGGGGCCTGTGTTGACTGCTTCAGGTTAGGAGAAGACCGAGGTATCACATTTGCTATTGCTCTTGACGGCCAATTCCTTGGTAGGATATACAAGTACGTGCCCCAAATATGAGTGCCCTAGTGCGCCTTTCTGTTCAGCGCATACCTTCTCGTAGCGACCCGTTATATCCTCCTCCTTTGATGCTGGAGTTGTCAGAAAGCAATCTTTATTGCAAAATTTTCCTTTGATGCTGTCGCAAACAGCCTTTTCCTTTTTGGCGGCCAGGCCTTCTTCTTTTTCAGAGCCCAAACACCTGGCTCTAACATAACGAGTTGAATCAAGAGAGCTAGGATCGCAAACCATCCTCACATCGCCTGCCTCCATCACGACGCTCCATTTGCCTCCCAGACAATTCTGATTACATCCTATGTTGGTGCGGCAGTCTTGACCCGGAGCGTATTTCGCAGCAGCCGACACAGCAATGAGTGTGGTAACGGCGAGAAGCAGCTTCATGATGGCCTTTTTGGTTATACGAAGGCAAGATCTGTGATTTGCTTCGGTTAGTGAAATGGATAGACATGGTACAGGAGGCTCCAGAAGCTTACTAGGGGTCAGAGGGTGGATTAATATCAATGATGTAAGCCAGGGACCTGGATAAAGGAATCTGTGTGTTGGAAGAAAAAGGCTACCAGACCAGGGGGCGAGACCGTAATTATAATGAGAAAAAGCGCTCAAGAATGTTGAAAATACACTGGTTGCTTTTTCCGAGTGCTGTTTTCTTGAATGCCTCACATCGTTCATCAAGCTGTAATGGAGGACTCATTATAGTAGTTGAATCCTACCTATGTTACATGTCGTAGTTACATGTAGTAGTTGTCGATCTTGAATCGGAACAGGTGGGCCCTATAGCATCGAATCAAGAGGGTCATCAGCCCAAGGTGGATCAGATTTTTCACTATGTAGTTGCAAGATGGAGCACTTGCAGGAATGAAGCATGGAAAAATTGTGACTCTTGTTCATTCAAGGGCTATACGCCCACCCCAAAAGTGACGGATCAATGGTCGATCTTTCCTTCCCAAAATGTAAGGGGTTTGTTGATATTCAGTCCAAAGGCAAAGATCTCAGCTACGCCATATTTAAGTGGGACCGTGAGAGGAGCAATGTATCAGAATTGGTCGAGATATGCACAGTACTGAAGTGGCTCCTGAGTGATTTAGGTCTCATAGCAAGGATCTCGGGGTACTTCGGGGCGGGGCTGGCAGGTTCCTGGTCATCTCATCTCCACTGAATATTGGAATTTGGAATTTGGATTGCATACCATATGATATATCTGGAAATTGAGGATAATGGATATGATTTCCATGCCATATTCTCAATAAGGATATAAGAATGTTTTGTAAATATCTGTACAAGTATAACTCTAACTTCCCTGTCTCTATAACTATCGACAGTTAATACTTGATTATATAGGTTAGTTAATAGGTACTCATACCGCTTCTTGATATTATTTTTTTAAAGATTTATATGCAAAAATTGGATAAATAATATATAAGCTATGAGATTTGGTATATTAGTCTCTTTTTTACCCCCTGGAAATCTGAGGATATCCAGAGACTATTGAGTAGAATGCTGTATCCACCAGTTTCAGAATTGAGGATAGGAGAGAACATACTGTATCCCCAGTTTGCGGAGAGCATATGCAGATAATTATATATCCATGGAGAATGAGGATGTTGCCGCAGTCGAAAGTATTTGCTTCCACGTGCTACCAATATATTTACTTCTCCAAGCCAGCCACAGCCCGCTGCCAAAATAACGATATACATCCCAGCCAATAACCCCATCGCCAAAACCAATCTCCCAAGCCCACCGCGAATTGAAGCGGGAAGCAAGCGGAATGCCAATGCTTGGCAGTCGCGCTGCCACAAAGATCAAGCTCCAGCGCCATTCTTGGCCTTCCAATGGGACCAGATGTCCATTGCACGCGGTTCTACTACAGACGCAGGTGTCAGTCTGTCTCGACTATCGACCGGTATTAGTATGAGGGATGGTGGTTTCAGACCATACACAACCCCCTATGTTCCTGTAGCCGAGTCTTGGCTTCCTGTACACTTGCGATGAGCTCTCGCGAACTTGCTATGTTCTTCTTTGTCACTTTTATTTCAATTCCGTCCAATTGCTGACTCGGTGCACTGCACGCGATGGTAAACGTCCACTGGCTGGGAGGCATGTGTACGATGGGTTTCTTTCCATTGGTTTTCGGGGTATGCCAAAGATCCGGGGCATGGATGGCAGGTATTGAGAAGTCGCGCCTTCCTCCGGGCGAGGTTGGCTACAGTAGTATGGAAATTAAATAGTTTATCGGGTTATAAATAGGGAGGATATTGCGGCGTCAATAGAGAATAGGAATTACTTCAATATCATCACACAGTATGGTGTATACATCTACCCTCCTCTCCTTGCTTGCCCTGTCCACGGGGTCGTGGGCAAGCTACAATGCGAACTTGAACTATCGCAGCCCTTCGACCCGCCACACGGGCATGGGGATCAACATCGACTCCGTCCACCGTCGTAGTCTCGCAAAACGTGATGAAGCCCCCTTCCACCCCTCGCAGTTGAACTTCACCCATGGTGTAGCATCAGGTGACCCCTACGCGGACAGTGTGATTCTCTGGACTCGTGTTGCTCCATCCCTGGAGGCCGACAGAAGCAATGTGACTGTGTCGGGGACCGTGGGGTTGTACAACCATGATACGGAACCGTATATCAAGGCCTCGGCGCATCCTATCTGTGTCGATTATCAGGTGTATGAGGATAAAGAGGGCCAAAGAGTGGTTGATAAAGGAAGGGCATATACTACCAGCGATATTGACTATACACTCAAGGTATGGCGACGGATGTCCTGTTTCTCCTAAATCGTATTGACTATCCGACAGGTAGAAGCCAGCGGACTCAAGCCGTTCACGACATACTGGTACCAATTCCAGATTTGTAACTCGAATGTCACCAGTCCGCTTGGAAGGACCAAGACCGCCCCGGGCGCCGATGATGCTACTGAGGAAATTAATCTGGCTGTGTATTCTTGCAGCAACTACCGTATGTGCGCACTTCTCTCTAGGGTTGTCGGAGCTAACCAAACTAGCGAGTGGGTATTTCAACGCATACGGAAATGCCGTCCGGAAGGACAGCGTCGACTATGTGCTCCATCTCGGAGATTATATTTATGAATATGAGAAGGGCGTAGTCGGACAGGATGAGCGAGCCGCCCGTCCGCAGGCAGATATCTTCTCTCTCTATGACTATCGGACTCGACTTGGACAAGTACCATCTCCCCCACTATTCGTTATGATTCCTACTAAAGATTCGTAGTATCGCACCGATCTTGACCTTACCGCATCCCATCAGAACTTCGCCTGGATTCCTATCTGGGATGACCACGGTATGACCATGCATTCAGCCCGTTAACACCACTCGCTGATGATGTAGAAATTGCCGACAACGGCTACAGAGATGGCTTCAGCCGTCTCAACAATACCGAAGAGTCGTTCCGCAATGACAGCCCTCAAATCAGCGTCGACCAGCGCAAGATGAACGCCGTCCGGGCGTACTTCGAGTGGATGCCTCTTCGGTTTGTGTCCCTGATGGCTCAGCCCTGTGACAATCATCCTAATATTGCTCTAGTCAGGTCGACATGGATGACGGCCTCCGCATTTGGCGCTCCTTCAAGATGGGAAACCTCTTTGATCTGATCATGTTGGATACACGCAATTACGATCGCAGCATTACTGACCTTTGTAAGTATGTCCCTCCTGGCGAAAACGCAAGCTAACGTGTCAGACTGGAATACGGACTATATCGAAGAGATCCACAACGACGCCGGTCGGACTTTGATGGGCGGTCGTCAGGAGTCGTGGTTCGAGAAGCAGCTGACGGCGTCTAATCAGCGCGGAGCGAAGTGGCGTATTATCGGGAGTCAGCTCCGGTTTGCTCGTCTGGGACGGGAGACTAACGGCGAGGTCACTTATAACTTGGATTCCTGGGAGGTGAGTGTCCCATGTCTCCGCAGATTGTCACGTTGCTCACGGAGTAGGGTTACCGCGCGAACCAAAACCGGACCCTGAAGCACCTGTACGATAACAACATCGGCAACAACATTATGATCGCGGGTGATACGCATGTCAACTGGGTGAGTCTTTTCGATCACGGTATATGTGCAGTTCTGACTGGAGCAGGTGAGCGACATTGCCTGGATCGGTGAGAAGCCGTATGACGGCAGCACCGGTGCCGGTGCCATCGGAGTCGAATTTGCTGGCACAGCCGTGAGCAGCTCTGGGTTCGGGGGTACTATCAACAGCGCCGAGCAGACTGCTGCTTCCTACGCACGCAACGAGGATCTGCAGTGGAATGAAGGCTACTACCGCGGGTACTTTGAGCTGCGGATGAGACCGAACGAGGTGGAGGCCAAATACTTTGGTATGCTGGATGATACCGGTTGTGGTTATACATACTAACTAACGGTATAGGTTGTCCTACTGTGGCTACCCGGAATAGCTGGGAAATTCCCCTAGCCAACTTCACGGTCAAGCATGACGATAACCATCTGGCTCGGCCGATTGCTGGTGGACAGGTGGAAGCGGGTTTTGTCCATCAGGGCGAGGTGAAGCACAGCAATCTTACTCTTAACACTGAGACGGGCGAGTGGCAGGTCATTGGGTTTGACCAGATGTTTATCAAGTATCAGTAGTTGGTTGTATGTATAAATAGAGTGTTTGGGAATAGGCAAGTTCAGGCGACCTTCCTGGGAAATGTATATACTACTCAGGCATTGATCAGCTTGTTCAAATCCTTACTCTGGCAGAATGGATGTTGGTATTGACTCCTGTGATGCTGGCACGTGGAAAAACCACGAGATGTGCCTCAACCCTAAAGGCGCTGATCAGTTGGACATAATAATAAAAGAACCTCTGTCATCACACTCTCAGTCAAAACAGCAAGCACGGACCTAAACACAATATAAATTCACATACTTAGTTCAACCAATATCTCACAAAAAAGGAGGCATGAGCAATGATGCCCTAACACGAACACCAACCTCAAACCCAGCTCCCCAACCAAACCCCCAATATATACAACACAACAAACATACATACCAACTCTCTGATTCTACCTATATCCACAAAAAGAAAAGAGAATACCCACCCAATTCACATGGCAAACCGCCAGACACACCGTCCCCACATTTAATCCTTAGCGCTCCCAGCGTCCAAACCAATGTCGCCATTTGCCCCGTTTCGCAACTGCCCAGAAGAGTCCCATTGGGCATAGATTGACAGCACAAGACCCACTGGGTTATCAATCAGCGCTTTGGTTTGCTTTTAGGCTGCTTTTCCATTCTACTCTTGCCTCTGAATTTAAGTCACAAGCCGGATTTCTCTTCATTCGGTTCTTGACTCTTTCTCTTGCATTGTTTTTGTCTTTCACTCGACTCTCCACTCTACGGTTATTCATTCATTTCCCTTCCCTGTCGACACGTACTATAACCACATCGCTCATTCTTTTTTTCCTTCCTACTATAGTATAATACTATCCTCGAACTAGAAAAGAAAGGTTGAAGAGCTTAAGGTCCGCTATATCCACACCCCCCATCCACATACCAACTCACCTAATTAACCACAACCCCCAGCCAAACCGAAACAACCTACATATAGACGAACGAAAATGGTCCTCATTACGCGCAGCATCTCTCTCACCAACTTCCTCGTCGCATCCTCCGCTCTCGCCTTCCAGGTCTTCGTCCTCTATCCCTGGCACAAGCAGCTCGACGAGAGCTTCGAGGATCTGAAGAAGGAGCATCTACGGGTCCTGCAGGTTTTGGATCGGGTCGAGCATGGCAAGGCTGGCAGTAGCAGTGGGAATGTCACTGGGGAGAGTATTCGGGAGCAGATTGAGATGAAGAGACAGGGTCTTTGAGGACTTTGATCTGGGTAGGTGTCATTGGGAGTGGAGGTTAGTTTCTTGGGTAGAGGATATCGACTGTATAGTCTCAGACTCTTATAGAGGATAGATTCATGAATGTCATTTTGCTCGGAGTGTATTCAGCTTTTGGTGTGGTTTATCCTCGGTACATTGTATTCATGGTATTCATGGATTGTCAAGGAAATTTGCGTAGACGTTTGTTTCTTGCCGGGGATTCCCCCATACTTGTTTGATGTTGACGGTTTTTCGGCTCCGACTGTACCGAGTCGGGTCCGACTCTGGGCCGAGTTATCTCCTTTCTTGGTTTTATCTACTGTGGATTGTCTGGATGTCATGCTTGGACACGATCTGGGGAACGTTTAGATACGTAGAAATAACATTTGTGGAGTACTCCGAGCCTAATTGTTTAACCGGGTATGTACATATATCCTTCTAATCTATCTACGCGAATGGGACCAGGTCATCTGAACAGTCGTAATTCATCTTATCTAGATCATGGATTTCGCCGGACGATCGCTGCCAACATCAGAAGACGCTCCATCCAGTCATCGCGGTCATTCATTACAGGCACATTCAATTCACAGATACAAAGAAACGCATCCAATCACGATCCATGCAACAACAGGGATTGGAAAAGGGAAATCAACCCACTATGCAAACAAGTACTTGGCCGCGTGCTCGACGTGGTCGTCCGCGAACGTCGCCATCGTGTAGTAGCTGTGGTCATAGTCCGGCTGGTAGCGGACCTTGAGGCCCTCAACGCCGGCCTCCTTGGCCGCCTTCTCGAAGTTCTCGGGCAGAAGCTGGCCCTGCTTGTAGAAGTTGTCGCCGGTACCCTGTTTCAGTCAGCACAAGTTACATCAACACAGCAGAGAAACAAGACATACCACGTCAATGAGCACATCCAACGGTCCCTTCCACTTCTTCACAAGCTCTGTCGCGTCGTGCTCCTTCCACTTCTCCTGCTGGTCCTCGCCGAAGTAGCCACCGAAGGCCTTCTGGCCCCATGGGCAGTTGATGGGGTTGGAGATGGGTGCAAAGGCGGAGACGGACTTGTACTTGCCCGGGTTACGGAGGAACTATCCGTTATCAATATATATGCATAGCTGGGAAATTCGCGAGAGAAAGGAGCATACCAGGGTCAGAGCACCATGGCCACCCATGCTGTGACCGGTGATACTGACACGGCTCTCATCCAGCTGAGGGAACGCGGCAAAGACGGTTTTGGGCAGCTCCTCCGTCACGTAGGTGTACATGTTGTAGCCACCCTGGTAGGGCGCCTTGGTGGCATCCACGTAGAATCCGGCACCGGTGCCGAAGTCCCAGGAGTCGTCCTCGCCCTGAATGTTCAATCCTCCTACATCCTTGTTAGCCGCCGTCCCCTCTATCGTCGACATGGCTCAATGGTTTATGGCAACCTACGCGGGCTGGTGTCCGGGTAAAGCACAGCGATACCCTTCTTGCTGGCGCCGTGCTGGAAGAAGCCCTTCTCGGAGCAATTGTTGGCCGTGCAGGTCAGACCGGACAGGTAGATGAGGACGGGGACTTTCTGCGAGGGGTTCTGGAAGGCCTGGGGCGGCAGGTAGAGGTTGAAGGACATTTCGCAACGGGTGGAGGTGGCGGCATGGCTGAGCTTGAGCAGCTTTCCGCCGAAGGAGGCGATGGTTGCTTGCGTTGTGACGGACATGATGTGGTTTTTTGGTAGTTAATGATATTGAGGATGCGGAATTGGTGAAGACGTAAAAAAGAGAAGGAAAAACGTAAGAAAAAGAACCGGACTCTATGGGGCTGAGAGGGAGTTAAATTGACGTGTGGATCAATGAGGAGTGGATGAGGGGAACAGAATTGATGAGGGGCAGTCAGTGACTCCCCACCTCCTGCTCACTTATCGTCTGCCGGCTATAAAATCATCAGAGCTTCCCCTCATCGCACACAACAACCTCTTGCACCAAAGGTCTCCACCGCGGGGATATTTTTACTCTTTTGGGAGATCCAGGAGATCATAATGGAAAGAATATACTCATATATTATGGTATGAAGAAAAGGTACAGTCACGCCGTGAAAATGCCCGAATAACAATGCTCCTCTACCATAGAAAACAAACCAAAACGATCATCATCAAGAAACCAAAACAAAACGCTCACACTACCCAGATGCTTATTCCAGAAACACCGATGGAACGCCATAAATCACCGGAGCTGCTCCGTTCAAATACTTCAACACACACGCCGGTCGCGACTGCGACACGGCTTCATCCAAGGTCGCCCCGTCCGATCCGGCATCAAACAAGCCCCATTTATCAAACGTAGACTGCGCAAACCGATCGATATCCTTATCGGTAACGTCCCAAAGGGTCGCAACGAGCGCGGGGCTGCCAGCGTGCAGATAGTTCATCGGCGTGCCGTAAGGCTCGTACTCGCCCGCCTCCGTCAAGGTACCACTGCTGCATCCCATCAGGAATGCAACGGCGCATTGCTCCAGTCGCTTGACCGTCCGCCCCCGAATGTATTGCGCACCGCTGCCGTGTCCAAAGTACAGGAAGAGATTCGTCGTCTCCAGGCCGCGCTTGAACTCGTCTTCGCTCGGCTCGCGCTGCATAATACCAGTCCAACCCTGCAGCGCAGAGAGATCCTTCTCAAATGTGCCCTGTGTCGTGCGAAGGTCGCCAGTCGGGTTGAGAATGTAGGTGCCACTATGGCGGTCAATGCCCACGCCCCGGCTAAGGTCAGAGTTCCGCTTGTCCTGAAACTGCAGAACTCGGTCACGTAGACATTCCAAGGACGGCACGCGGCACACGGGGAATCCTTGTAGACATGGGAGAGATTCCCACGGGAAGAGGTGGAGGGATTTATCGAGAACCAAGACGGTATGGTTGGGGGTGTGTTTACCCCGGCGGTTGCTGGCGGCGTCATGGTAGGCCCGAACCGCGTCCAGGGTTTCAACCACCATCATATCAAAATCAATCTCATCGTAGGCATTGCGCTCGCCCTGGAACTGTAGGATATCCACCACGAAGTATAGAAGGTCCATCAGCGTCTCCTCCGGATCTTCTTGGTCGTCCAGGTCCGCGACACCGATAAACAGTTCCAGCACGTTCGGGTGCAGCGTCAGGCGCGGCCCCTCCGCCCGACCGCCCTTCTGGCGAGAGGGAAGGTGTTTGTCTAAGATGGTCTGGAAGGAAGACGCGAATCGTGCTAGAGAGCTAGTATCATGGGGCAGGGGGGAGAAAATGCCTCGGAATCCCCCGAACCATACATTCTCAATGTTTTGCAACAGAGTCTCCATCCGGCGATCTAGAGCCTCCCGGTTTCTCCACCAGTCCTTCTTCATTTGCCGATCCGTTTGGGCTTTAGCCGCGTGGGAACTTTCGTTAGCCAGTTTGATCAGTTCCTGCATCTCCTCACGTCCGTCGTCGAAAGTAAACTGTTCATCCTCCTCCTCGGAATTGCCTCTCTTCAACGGAAGCCGCAAAAGGAAGGGCGAACGACCTTGATGTAGTCGTGAGACGATGAACTCACTCCGGTCTGCGCTCAACGATAAAGAAAGGACATTCCAATTGTCGGGCAGGATATCGATATATTCTTCTGCAAATTTCGAGCTACACAGATCCTCGGGGTCCGCCGTCATTGCGGAGGGTGTAGGCCAAAGAAGCGGGTCGTTGTATTCCGCCAGCTGCTTGTCAAGGTCAATAGCGGTATGCTCGCGCGTAAAGGCACCGATACGGCCAAGTTCTATCCGGGTTAGAAGGTGATAGGCAAAGGAGGACTTGTAGACTTACCATTAACATTGGCTGGAGGCTGCGACCAGGCGGATGTGCTCTCAGCGGCCGTAACATGAGACAGCATGGAGATACGACTCATCAGGCGTGACGCAGAGTGGCTATCCAACGTGGAGCCCACGGTGGTAGCAGTAGAAAACACATTGTTAAGACAATCGCCAGCCTTGGAAAGCATCACAGCAAAGTCTTCGCTTGCGGTCTGCGCTCGGGACCGTGTCCCTCTGGCGGGGGCGCGAGGCTTTCGGGCCGTAGTTTTGGTGGCAGCCTTGGATGTACCGGTAGTCTTACTTGGGGATTGCAGGGAAGGCAGCGAAATGGTCGACTCGGGAAGAACACAGTATACAGCATGAGAAGCAAAGTGGCGAATAGCCTCGGCGAGGAAATGCTCACTTTCCCCAAGGTGCACGGAGATCTGACTGTCCCTAGAGACTGCATATTTCCGGGCGTTGTTGAGCAGACATGAGGCTTTCTCGAAATCTCGTAAAGAGCGGCAGCAAGCGGCCTGTTGCCGTAGGATGTCGCTTCTGATCTGCAGCAGGGACTGTGATTCAGTGACGGTATCGGCGGCTTTCGAAGGGGTGGCATCTGCCTTGGTGGGTTTCCGAGTTGAGGTAGTGGCACGGGTCCGCCGAGTGGTCGCGGCGGGCTGCTTCGTCCTTCTACTAGCCGGTCGGATTCGGAGACTCTCCATTTTGTCTTCTAGTTCTGGGACACCCGAGGAAACTGAAGCCGCATCAGAGACATCCGGACTGCCAAAATCATTCATGATCCGGTCCGCCTCCAGAAGGGCCTGAAGTTCCTCACGGTAGTGGCCCTGCGCTCTGTAAAGAGAGGCAAGACCCATCTGCAGCGATGCGAGTTCAACACTACTCTCTAGCTGCTTCGACAATGTCTCGGCAGCTGTGAGGAGCTCTTCACCTTCAGAGATATGCCCCCCGAGAATCCAATGTGACCCAAGTTGCGCTTGAGAATTGATCAAACGAACAGGCGCGTTCAGGGTCTTGTTAATCTTCAACGCCTGCTCGCCGTAGTAGATGGCATCCTGGAACAAGCCGTGGTGTGCAGATAGACTCGCAAGGTTCAAGAGAGAGGTGTGATGCGAGCCGATGTGCGGCCAAAAAGGGGCTCCCTGTGTATAGACAGAAGTCGTTGTATGGTTCGCCTGTGATACATCAAGCTTGGCCATGGTTTCAACAACGTTGTCAAGCTCGGAGCTATCCCCTACGGAAATAACGGGCACAGGCAAGCTCTTTTCCTGTTTCCTCTGCGAGATTTTCTCAACCTTGGCCCAGATCCTGCAGTTCAACCGGACAGATAGCTTAGCAAAAAAGAGAGCGTCCTTGATAACCCCCTGAGCGAAGGAGAGCTGTGAGCTCATAAAGGCCGCATCCGCGACCAATCGTTCCCAGGCAATCTTGGCCAGAACAGAGCAGCCGTTCAAATCTTGCTTTTTCTGGTTTGACTCGTAGAGACTTCTAGCTGCTGATAGGGTGGCCGCCGCCTTCTCAGTCTCGCCTATTTCGATAAGGAAGGCTACCCGTGCCAGTTTGTGTGATAGGGTGGCCAGGCAAGAGACGTTAGGGCCGAGGTACTGCTCTGCGCGAGTGAGAAGATCGCCGGCCTTTTTGCAGTATCCAAGTCGACAATACTGCTGTACCAGACGCGCGATTACGATGATGGCTTCAGAAAAGTCACCGCCTTCTTGAAGCTCCGTGACTCGGAAGACCAGTTCGAGCGTTGAGAGCTGGAGCTTCCAAAGCCCATGGATTTCGGTGTAGTCGACTATAGCCTTCAGCTGGAGGAGGTAGTGTTCAACATCGCCAACGTATTGGATCAAGGTAACTCCATTGTTGCAGTTGCGCATCAAAGAGGTCCACGACGATATCATGAGGTTGAGAGTTTCAGACTGTAAATCCCCCTGCAGAAGGCCAACACTCAGACGCACAGAATTATGCAAATGAGTCGCTAAAGTCGCCAAAGCACCATCCTCGGCGTAGTCCCCAGCCTCGATAGCCTCCAGACCTTCCTCTTGCAATTCGTGTAATACTGTCGACTCCAAACAGTTCGGGCGTTCCAGGGACGAACGCAGCCCGCCCAAGACTACTCGTAAGCGACGAATGGGGTAAATCTCCGGATCGTATAGCCCAAGCAGCTTGGACACAAGGCAAGTAAAGTGTGATCGAAAGGCTTCATCGCTGGAGGCATGGGAATGTAGCTCTGCCAGGATGCCCATTTGCCATTCCATGATATGGCCTCTCACCAGCAGCGATTGCGACTCGTCGTCAAAGAACCCGGTAGACTTTGACTTCCCACGCAGCCTCAGTTGCAACTTCAGGTATGCGGTAAGGACTCGACCAATCATGAACCCGTTACTTTTGGGATCCTGGGAAGTTCGGTGAGGAAAGTTGGGACTGGAAACCAAGCCGTCCAACACTCCTGTGTCAATATGCTCTTGGATGGCCTGGGAGAAGGCCTGCTCGGCTTCTGCGCCCCTATTTCCTTCCATGTAAAGATATGCAAGGCGTTCATACTTCAAAGCCGCGAACCCCGTGATTCGTTGTTCTGGTGAGCAACTGGACAAAAGATGCGCAGAGTGCTTCACAAGAGGCACCAGCTCACGATATCCCTTCCCACGCTCTTTCTCCTTCAGATAACGTGACCAAAACAGATTTGACAGCCGAACGAATGCCGCACCAATTTGATCAAGTACTGACGGATCAGCTTCTTCGTCCGCGACGTCAATAGCCGTCAAAAGACGCTGGCAGTCGGTCAATGCGGAAAGAACATCTTCCCAGGGAGGCCGTTGTGACATGATTGAGAATTTACCGACAGCGAGCGCTGAATCCACTGCCGAGAGGACAATGTTTCTGCACGCGCGAACCCGTGTAAGAAATAAGTCATCCTCCTTTGGCTCATTATCGGACGAAGATGGTCGACCAACGTAGCGACGCAAAAACCGCAAGAAAGCAGGGAGATATTCGTAGATTTGGGAAATGTCAATACCATTCTTTTCCCCTGCCTTAGTAACCAAGTCTCCATAGGCGCTCATGGTAAGCTTTTTCAGTTTTGCTGCTTCAACCAGCAGCTCGTCGAGGTCACTGAGACTCCCTTTCAAGGGCATGCTCAGTGAGGAGGTCGCATCAGATACAACATTCGTAACCTTGTCGAGCGATGGTTTGGAAGACTTGTTAGCTTGAAGGTGCAAAGTTGCAATCTTGCAACGAACAGTGGCGAGCGAGAGGCATTGTCCGCTTGAGAGTGGGTTGACGGCTTCGGTAAAGAGCTTCAGAGCTTCGTCAAAGCATCCAGCCTCTTGAGCAAGGTGACCTAATATAGTAGCAATTCGGGCAACCGAGACATTATCTCTCAGACTAGCCGTGGTGCGCTTTTGCGTGTTAGCAACAGCGGTCTGAAGTCGAATGATTGTTTTATAGATGGACGCAAACTCGGCTTTCTCGATACCCTTGCTGTGGTGAGAGTAGTTGGCAAGGTATCGCGTCAATGGGTCCCACATCTCTTTGCCTTCATCACAGGTATGACCAGACAGCTTCCAGCTCATGCATCGAATCTCCAAGGACAGTAACTGAAGGGACAACGAAGTGGATGGCTTCAGACGATCGCGTGTTGTGAGACGATTCGATGGCTGCTGGACTCCGGCTAGGGATAACACAGTATTGGAGAGCAGTTGGAGTTGAAGTGCTGCTTTATCTGTGGTGAGAGCACCCGATTCCGTGGCCGCCACGATGACATTCGCTGGGCTGCTCAATTCGGACAACTGCAGTGAGGACGCGACTTTCTGGACAGTTGCAAGTTTCTTTTCCGATGCTATCAGCCGTAGGGCATTAGATTGAAAGGGAACAAGCACGCTTAGCACCGGACCGGCGTGGTCAAAATTGGCAAACGTAAGCAAGTCAGACATCCGTTCTTTGGCGCTTTCCTCCTCCTGAACCTCATTTTTCCTCCTGCTCGTAGTTTTTGATCGCATTGTAGCCTGGCTGTCCAGATACTGTTGTAGCCTTCTCTTAAGTCCTCTCAGTTCTTTAGAAGCCATGTCATTCAGCCCCAGTGACAGATACCTCCCCGCCAAGACGCATGCACCTTGCTCCAGCTGCATGTTCGGAAATCCATCCTGCTGGCCAGCTTGCTCCCCTTTTAAGCTCCGTAGAGACGACAGAGCCATACTTGCACATTCCGCCACAGCCGCCAGCCCAGTATCCAGTTCATCCTCCTGTGACGTCTTCAGCTTTCTGGGCGATTTCGCGCCACGACTCGGCGAGGAGCTACACGCGGTCCGAGCCCGAGCTTCATCGCGTTTAGCAGGTAGCTTGGATGCATCCGAGAGGGTTTTGAGGGTTGTGTTAAAGACATCTGTGGCGAGGACGAGCTTCTCTTGACATGACAGACGCGCAGCATCCATTTCCACGACTGTGTTGATGGCCGCTTCATGTGCGGAGACCTTCGTCCCTCTCGACGACTTCGGCCGAGTGGAAGTCGCTGTGGTTTTCGTCGTCCTAGTTCCCCTCTTCACTGTGGTTTTATCAGACTCCGGTGACGTCTTCGATAGTCCGCGGAAAAGCGTCTGGAGGGAGATGACGGTGGCATTCGAACATGTTGACGTGGAGCGAACGGCCTGCTTCACCGATTCCACCGAGGAATCGGAGAGAAGGGAGGTGACCGCCATTGGTACAGTTGTATCCTTGCTGTGAGTATGATAAGTTAGTAGTTCAGGCCATTCGGAATGTTCGATAACGTGGTCGCTTGTGTGGCTTGTCTCCGTGACATCTGTGATGGTTATCGCTTGCCGTAAGCCAAGCCAAGCGGCCGTTGTCGTAGCAACACGGGAGCCACTACACCCAGAGTGGTCTAGCGGTGCCAAGGCTCCGAGACTCCGATGTCCCAGGACTCTTTTCAATATCTCTCAATGGCTTCAATTGTGAATTCGACGTCGCAATCCCTCACAATACGCCCAGGATTCTGGCAAACATGTCTTTCGTGAGACTTCCTACCCGGTTACTCTCCATTGCACGAGCTACACCCCAGCTTGTTGGGCACACTCCTATCCGAACGCCACACCAAATTCGTTTCGAATCCACGAGAGTCCCACGATTAGCCCAAGCCTCGATCTGGAGCTCCATGGTCCCTAAATTCATCCGAAACCGCGGTTCCAAAGAAACAACGGCCGAGTCAGCGAAATCGAAAGAATGGAATCCCGCTAGCTTCTACATCATCATATTCATCTTGATTGGATCACAAGCGATCCGGATGATCGCGCTAAAGAACGACTACCGCGCATACACGCGGACGACAGACGCTAAGATCACGCTTCTACGAGAAGTCATTGAGCGGGTGAAGAATGGTGAGAAGGTAGACGTGGAGCGATTACTGGGGACTGGCGATCAGGGCAAGGAGAGGGAGTGGGAAGAGAGTTAGTTCTCGTTCTTTTGCATCGAGGGTTGGTTACTAACTTCTGCTGGCTAGTTCTGCATGAGATCGAGGAGGAGGACTCGTTATGGCATCAGAAGTCGAAGGATCAGGAGCCGGATCAACAATCTCAGTCGAAAGAACAGCAGGTGGAGAACTCGCAAAAAGACCCAGTTATGCCTGCTGAAGGCGCCGGAAATGAGGAGCCACCTGCAAATAGCCCCTCGAGACGGAAGATAAATTTCTTCTGAGAGTATTTTCTATGGGATTAGCCAGCTTGGGGGTACAAATTTCAGCTGTATATCTTGGCATTTAACCAATACGGGGGGCTCCGACCGGAGAGTATGGAAACCTCGTGAGTTACCTACTATGCTGCTGATGCGGCGTTACTGTGATTGGTCATTAATCTGGCCGTTCTGCATCTCTTGATAAGCGGTAGGTTGCATTAATTTTTGCGGTGCTGTATAAATGGGCTAACGACGGGTATATTCAAGGTCACCTGGTTGAGAAATTGTTTTCCACTTACACATCCACTTCCTATGTATATCTACGGGTCTGTACCAGCTCTTACAAGATTTTATGATACCCACGCCCTTTGGACCTACCATCGTATTACTCTGGTATATATTACATGTGTTTGATGTCCAATTCATAACATATAATTCACACAATTCACACCAAATCAAGGTACATATCACACAGTTGGTACCTGTACATTCGTATATAGGACAAATTCACACGGTCTAGGACATCTCATGCAATTCGGGAATAGTGCAAATCTCTATCCCTTCCCCGGTCTATTCCTTTTTGATACAATGTGCAAATGCAAGGTGATTCTGTACGGGCATAAGAGAAAAAGAAATGGCCTTCCAATCAGAACCCCGGGTACTAAGCCAAAAGGAAACAGTTCAGACAAACAAAAGAGAGAGAGCAGAAGGTATTTCCAATCGAAGACAAAAGAAGGCAAAAACGGAACCGAAACGTCGCTAGTGAATACAAAGTCATGCTTTAGTTAGTGCTGGGTGTCTGCATAAACTTGGGCCATTTGTCGGCCTGAGGAATCTTGACACGGCCAATGTTCTCGTCGAGATCAAGGATCAGCTTCAGGGCGTTTCTAGATCTGAGGTATGGCAGAGGAGCCTTGGCGCCCTGGAGGCCGACACCGGGCTCGATCTGTCCAGTTGGGGTGACTTCTTCCTGGCCGGGCATAGGCAGCCACTTCTGCAGAAGTTCATATGACGCGAGAGTGAAACCGAACTGAGGAGAAGAACGAACGATACGGGCAGGACCACCCTTGAAGAAGGCCTTGAAGCCCTCCTCCTTCAAGATCGTCTGGGCACAATGACGCAGACCAGTGTATCCGACCTCGCCCTTACGAGCCTCAACCTGGAGACGGGTCTTGATGACATCGCACGGGGTGGTCAGATATGCGGCAGGCATACCAGCGATCGCACCGGCAGTCAGCAACTGCACGACACCGAGCTTGTGGGTGGGCGATTCGCCAAAGAAGTCGCTCTTCAGGTGAGCGTAGGTCGGGAAGTAAATCGCAGAGAATGGAACTACCGAGTCACATCGATTAGATTATGGGTCCCAAACAGGCAAGGCAGATAGAGTCCTTCTTACCATCACGCAGCAAACAGGCACTGGCTCCCTTGTACAGACCGACCAGACCCAAGTTCTTCACAATCCACAGGGCCGAACGACGAGGGGCACCCTCGACATTCTTCGCAATTTCACCCTGAACCTGCAGGCGAATCTTGACGATTTCAAGAGGGTTGGTGAAAATCTAGGGAGGGTTAGCGGTGAGTCCAGAGCGATGGCGTAACGGTGGGATGCAGTGCAACTTACCACTTGGCAACCACCGGCCGTACCACCGGCAAGGATCTCGTACGGATACCAAATCTTGCCATTCTCCTTATTCGTAAAATGGCCACGGACCAAGTCGTTGACCGTCAGCTTGATGGCCTTCTCAGGCGCAACACCAATCAGCTGAGGGATAACTCCGGAATACAGGCCGGTGAAACCCTCATTACGGATAACCTTGCGCGCACAGTCGAGTGAGTTGTTATACAGTCTTTCGCCGACGCGCGTAGACCGCTGGTTCTGCATACGAGTCTTGACCAAGTCAATGGGGTAGACCATGAAGGCACCAAAAGCTCCTGCCAAACTGCCCAGCGCGAAATGGTGAACCGACTCCAACACGTTGTACAAGACCGACTTGGTCTTGTCCGCCGCCTTATGAGCGGTTGAGACGGCGGCTTGACCAGCAATGGCAAGGGGCATCCGCCATGATGCGTCGATGACCTTGGCGAAATCCTTTTGAGCGAGACGGCCGGAGGGGGCATCCAGGCCCGCGAAGTGGAACAAGATGTCTGCTTCCATGGGGGTGAACAGGGAGAAGCGAGTGATTCGGGCCGCCTCGTTCAGGAAGTCGGCGCGGGTGATCTTCCCATCATCACTCTTCTGGGTGGCCTCACGCACAATGACATCGATCATGTCCATCTCGCGCATGATGTTCTGGAAGGCACGGACGGTGGCATACGAGATCTTGGTGCCGGTGGAGATGTTGCACAGACTGGGAAGGTGCTCCAACACGTAGTCGGACAGCTTGTGTTTCGAGGTTTCCAGGATAATGCGCTGGAAGTCTTCGGGCTCGATGTAGCCATCACCGTCCTTGTCAAAGATGTGGAAAGCTTGGCGGATGCGCTCCCCTTGCAAGCCTCGGAGCATTTGCGCGAATTGCGGGTAAGTCATGTCATGGCGACTCTTCGTGCGTCCGGTGTAGAGGGAGGCCCATTCCGAGTTCCAATCAAAAGGAATGCTGTCCTTATCCTTGTTCACGTTATACAGATTCTTGAAGGTTTCCCACTTCACGGCGCCTGTGCCGTCGGTATCGAACAAACGGAAGGCGATCTCATATTCGGCATCGGGCTTCGTGAGGAGGTTCTCGAAGGTTGCCCAATCGCTGAGGCTGAGCTTGCCAGTCTGCTTGCGATCCGCAACCTTAAAGAGGATTCCGTAATGTTCACGCTTGATCTTGTGCTAGAAAGGGCGAATTATCATGTTAGCTGAAGGTCATGCGAGCTCCGCGACGGCGATGACACATCATCGTTGTCGCAACATGAAAACAGCACCACACTCACATAATCCTCATGCTTGGGGGCAATAGCATCGATGAAATCGTCTTCCGTCATGTACAAGTCTCCGGTGCCCTCATCCTTGCGTGCGTGACGAATGAAATTCGTCTTGGCCTGGTGTGATGGTTGTGACTGATCCGTACTGGAGCCAACCAAGGACTCTTTTACCGTGTCCTTGACAGTCATTGTGATATCTTTATATACGAACGCAAAAAACGAAAGGAAGCAAGCAATTGATGCAAGTCACTGAAGGAACCAAGCTCCAGGACAGATGAACACTAACTAGGAAGGCCAACCCAAGGGATCCGAACAGGAAAAGAATGGAATTATGAAGGGGTTGGGTTGGGATAAGGAAAGTGTGTGGAGAACGGAAATTAGTTAGGGAAGAAAAAATGGGGGGAAGCGTAAAGTGATAGTACCAAAGAAGATCAGTTGTTCTGGGGATGAACAATGACTGTGTTGGCTTTTTGTCTTGAATGAATTTTCGGCCGTTCTATGAGGGAATAAAAAACAAAAAAAGTTTTGTCTCTATTTTATTTTCTGGTTCCTTTTTTATCTTCTACTTTTTTTTTTTTTTTTTTTTTCCCTCAGGGCGTCTGACAAGTTTGAGGCGTT